CTGTAAATGTTCTTAGAAAAGACACAGAGTTCATATGCTTATTTCGAAAAATTTAAACTCGATTTTCAAGGTTCAACTATAACAGAGCCCCTGTAAAAACAGGGATCGTGCCAGTCAGTGATTTATAATCAAGGTCTCTCTGTCCAGGAAAGAATAATAAAAAAACAGAACTATGTGATTGCTGATTATCATCGCTTACTTGCATACACGGGTTTATTTTGGTCGATGTAGGCCTGTTAGTTAAACGAGAATTTATCGTATTGAGGACAGATAACAAACTTTTTAGGGGAGATCCAATCAAGTGAATTAAGGGGGATACGTTTCTGAGGAAACTGTGGCGCCACATCAGAGTGGCAGAGTGGGTGGAAGGAGGGGGGTCTACGAGATAATTTGGCATTATCAACTGAGTCGAGAATGGGAATTGGCCACCGTAAAAAGATTAGCACAGTTTCGATTGACAGCTTCGACGATTTCCCTTACAATCTTTTTATAGTAACTATTCAAGCGAAGAAAAGGCGCCGAAATTTTAAATAATCTAAGGAAGAAAAATTATTTTACTATAGGAATAGGTTGGCTCAATATTGCATCGAAGTCAGAGAGACATTACTGATTGAATGATTGGAACAAGTGAGATGATTATTACATTATTTTTTCCATTTGGGTGAGTCTATACAGATGGTCGAATCTAGTCGCAGGATCCCCGCAAAGTATCGAATAATTACTTTCTGCGCGCAACCTTAGGATGGTTAAGGATACTGATTGCAAATGACCAACTCGAAAAATAAATACGAACTTTTTTTGGGGGTTCAGTAACTATGACAAAGGTCTTTTACTGATAAAACTTATGCAAATCAATGACTCATTAAAAAGATCTTTCTGACCAGGAAAGAATACATAAGAATGCAATTTATGCGATAACTATGGGGTGGCAGATAATAATAGCTTAGTCGCATGTACCTTTTATTTCACTCGAAATAGGTTTGTGGATCAATAAAATAATAATCTGAAAGTTACGAAGCTTCATCTTATCCCTGAAACAAACTACGGACTTTTCACTGAGAGAGCTTGACAAACTCATCCGAACGAAGAGGACAAGCTTTGGAAACTCTAAAGAAAAATGTTTTGGAAAGGTTAGTACTTTTCGACTGCCGATCAAGGTTAGGCACAAGCTTTTAATTGCTCACCAGCCAAAACCTGCCCAATTACCACAACGACGTCACCTTTACAGTATAGTAAAATCTTGGTATGAAAAAACCACGAGGCGGCATCATTGGACCATGACGGTAGTAACGAACTCGAAATAAATGAACCGTTTTAACAGTCTAAACGCGAGCGACCGCGCACCATGGCAGCGTTTTTCGGGCTGGAATTCTTCTTCACACCACAATTTCCTTGGTCGCATTTGCTTCTGAAGATATTATAGCCGCGAAAAATATTCCAACTGCTGTGGTCCTAACAGTAATCTTGGCAAGGCAAGTTACTGGAAGTTTATTGGATCGGGGATGATTTCATTTGGGACTGGCCTTGGCGAGGCGACAATTTTGTCTTTGACTTCGTTTCATGGCGAGCTGATATTGTCTGCGTTAACAGCTGGAACAGTGTGATGGTTAGTGTGATGGGGAAATCATATCTTGCAACGCTATCTTACATTAACAAAGACTGGGGCGAAAAAGCTTAATTCCCGTACATTTGGATTCTATGTATGGTTCAAACCATGTATCTTCTGTTTTTGGTTCTTGCGGCCTGGTACCGCTTTTTATCGAGTGTTTGGATCGTTCTTCTCCTTGTGTTTATCAGCGGAATAGTCGCTGGTGTTCTTTATGTCAACGTGGTGACATTTTTTTTACACTGAGCCCTTGTTACGTAAACACTGCCCAACCCTCATGGATAACACCGACTTCTGCTTAACAAGATCACAGTCTTCGGATCGTTTTACTTCATCTTGTTTAGTAAAACGCGCATGACATCTCTCAATTCAGGCTTTTGTAGTTAGGCGCTTGTTTGGTCACGAACTCGTGGACCAAAATCAATCCTTACAAGCTGACTTTGGTACGTTAGTGGCCTCGTTGGTTGCGGATTTATGTGTGCTCTAGATCTAGAGATGTATACGCTTTCTATTTTATAGTATTGAAATCTCTTTTTTCCGCGGGAAATAAAACAGACAGGCCTTTTCAACGGCACAAAAAGGATTTATTTCCTTGCTTTTTCCGGAATTAGGAAAAAATCACTGTAACAATCTATTTGACTCCAGGTAATGGAATATACAGTTTACCTGTCTGCGGGTCAAGTTTAGCATTATCTTAATGCATGTTGTTGCTCTTGGTCTCCCAATGGTTAAAGTCAGCTCTGCACATAAAGACTGGACATTATATAAAGTCATTTAACATCATTGAAGGTCAAAAGACAGCATCTACTATTCCTAGAAACCATTGACCGTCATAAGAAATCTGCACCGTCCTAGGAAATCATTTACCATCATTAGACATCCTTCCCCGTCACTAGACATCATTTACCGTCACAAGAAATCACTCGCCGTCCGAGGCCATTATTCGCCATCACATGACATTTGTTACCATCAGAGCGCACCTTCACCTTCACATAATATCATTCACTGATATTATACGTCACTAATGATCTTTCGAAATCATCCATTGTTATAGAATGATTGAGATTTCACGAGCACAATGATTGGTCAAGAACCTATCGTCAAGAGAATATAAATATCTTTCTGTCGTTTATTGCACCGTTAAATGCCGGCATAGAAAATTGGAACATTTTAAGTTTATTTTAATGTAGTGGAAACTATCGTGAGCGTTATAAAAAATTAGACATTGTTCGGGATCAATTCATCGAGACTTTTTATCCCATATGGTCACTCGGATAATATGCCCTAAGTTTGCTGCCAATCTAGGGTTTAATTTCTTTTGTCAAAAATAACTACGGTGTTGGACAAGGATTTCCAGCCCTGAGAAAAGCCGTAACAACACACGTGAAAAAATAAAGTATTTTTCCACGTATGTTTGATATCGCTAATCAGCTGCTGACACATCACTCGCCTTTCGCGCCACTCGGTCAGGTTGATGAATGAACGGCAAAGCCTTCACAATTCTCAATCCGCGGTTGTTTGTCGGAATTTTCTCGGATTATGGCTGCTAAAACACTGAAAAATTCGTATCGCTACCGACAGTGACGTTCAAACTTTCCTGGGAGGGGAAGAAAACCAAAATACGGAGGAAAAAAAACCGAAACTAAGGTGGATTTAATGCGGCCTTTCCTCAAAAAAGTCCTTCAGTTTCTGTCGTGCAATTTACGGTACAAATGTCCAAATTGAATGGACCTGGAAAGACTCACCGAGAGTGTATATTTGTTGTAGAACTTAAATTAAAACTTCGCTCGCTCTTTTCACTACGAACAAATTGCTTGAGAAAATTCAGGTATTAAATGAATAAAAATTCCATTGTTTAACTGTAACGAAATACCTCACGTTTCAACTTTCTAGGTACTTTTTGTGGACGATTAATACAAACTGCAGACGGTTTTTAGGCCGCTTGTCGACCAACGTAATGACGCTACTGTTTGTAAAAATTCATTCTGAAACCAATTTTTCTCTGTCAACCAAAGTGATTTGAGAGAGAGAAAAGAGAGGATTCATAAGTTGTTTATCGGCTTGAGGTAGTAACCGACTTGTTTGCTTAAAAATACTACCCAGCCGGAAAAACGAGATATATTTATGAAAAATGGCTACGAAATTTGGAATGTACTCGGCGATTCACGAAAGCGTTACCGTGGCCCGTGGGCAGTGATAAGAAAATACTGACCGGGTAAAGAACCAATCAGATTGCAGGATTCGTTACCGTGCCCTCTTAAAAAAAAATAAAATGCAATCTCCACAGGACATTAATTACCGATGCGTTCTTATTGAATTCCGGTATATTACAATAAATTCTCAGGCCAGAGGATGTTACCAGGTAGGATGAATGATCTGCAGCAATCGAGAGAGCTAGCTTTGAGATTACAGGTGTTTTAAAAGGAGAAAGAGATTAACATACATCGAAGTAAATCATACTGAATGATCACAACAAAATAATTGATAAAATAGATTATGCTAATATTTTTCTCAATTTGAGCGATTTTGCATAGATTGTTGAGTATTCTCGTAACACTTGTGATATCACGAAGTGTCGGGAATATGATCATTATAGTGACTGTGCTGATGTGCGGAACATAAGATTATCAAGCACACAGATTACAAATAATCACCTCGGCAAATTGTTTAATGCCCTTCAACAGTGAGAAATTTCTTGAAATCAATAACAAATGAATGTCTTAAGATGTGGTAAGACAGATTTTGTTTGATCAGGTAAGCTTGCAATAGAACGCAATTTAATCGATTAGCATAGATTATTATCATCCTTTCATTAAAACGCGAGGTCTATTCATAGGTTTTGGTGGCGGATACAGTGATTGCTAAACGTCACGAGGCTTCATATTTTCCTTGGACCTGTTTCCCTAAACAACCTTTGTTTACACTCTTAACAAAATCGCTACGAAGTTTCAGCTTCGAAGGAGATCGACAAACCTATTCAAGCGTAGAGGAAGTGTCTACGATTTGGCTGAAAAGTCTGAAGAAACGCTTTTTTTTTCGACCTCCAATCCATTTTGCGTATTAGCTTCTTGCTGCTCATTTGCCTGAAGTTGCCAAAGAACCACGACACGATCAACTTAATCATGTAATAAATCTTCTCGGTATGGGAAACTTTAAGACGAAACCTGTGCAGCATAACGATGGTAACAACCTCAAGATATATCACGAGCCTGAGCGCGAGAGATTACGCAAAGTTATTGCGTTTTTCGGGCTGGGAATTCTTCTTTACATCATTTTCTCCCTGGTCATAGTAGCAGCTCAAGATATTCTAGCTGAAACGTATATTCCAACTTCTGTTGTTCAAATTGCAAACATTGGACCAAATTTTCTTGTTTCTCTAATCGTACCGTACTTCATGCAACGTATTCCATATGTTGTTCGTGCTTTCCTCATCTTCTTCCTTTCTGTCACCGGTGTCATCGTACTCGCGTTGGCGAGGCAAGTTCAATGGAAGTTAATCGGGGTGGGAATGGTTGCAGTTGGTGCTGGCCTTGGTGGACCGACAATTTTGTCTTTAACATCGTTTCATGGCGAGCTGACATTAGCTGCGTTCTCAGCGGGAACGGGAGTAGGATTTGCAATTGCACCCTTGTATTATACAGGTGTGTGTTGATATAGTGTTTAGGCTAACCTGTTCGAAATTCAAACTCTTGGTATTTTCAATTTCCTAATGCTAAATCCATTTAAAATTAGTCTTGATATGGTATTGCCCGCACTTTATCGAGAAATTTTATCACAGTGTTCAGCGCACTGCCACACTAATGAGATTAGCAACAATGCTATTTACTTTCATTGCTTTCTTTAAGATTTTCTTTATTGTTTTGTAGCCTTGACAACATGGGCCTGCGTATCACCAAAGGTTGCTACTCTTATCATGGCAGCGATGATGGTCCTGATCTTTGTCTGTTTTTACTTCATCGACAACTCAGAGACAAAATGCACCAGTTCTCTATCGGATGATCTTAGTGGAGTGCATTACTCAGCTCTTGAGACCAATGGTATGTTTGGTGTTTAGAGTTCTAAGTCTGAATATTTTATTAAAATTGTTATTATCGAAAATAAATTTGATAATTACTTTAGGTTGAAGAAATTTTAAATGGTGCAGTCGAATCCTCACAAAATTGTACTGGTTCTATTCTGTAGGGCTTTTTCTACTAGACATAATTATTCAGTTTCAACGAGGAAGCAAATGGTAATCAAATTGATTTCTGACCAATTATTATCCATACTTGGTGGGTAAATACCCAAAATACAGAACAAGCATTTTTGTGTCCGATTAATTGCTAATTACACGGGAACGGGTATCGACAAATTTCAGCCGAGCACTCAGTGACAACCAATGGATACTTCAACTTATTATATACTCAACAAAATATCGCGTTTCTGATTGGTCAATGATGAATGCATAAATAGGTTATAGAGTGCAATAGAGGTTATAGAGTGCAATACGGAGAAGTTGCCATGGAAACACCAGGGAAGCGCCAAATTTGAACACCAAATTATAAAAAAATCGAGAATATAATAAATAAAAAATCGTATGAACCTGCTCGTGCATTTCGTGATTTATGGTCACTCGTGATGTTTTGAAAGTTCTCAAATTGCACTCGCCTACGGCTCGTGCAATTTTGAGAACTTTCAAAACATCACTCGTGCCCATAAATCACGAAATGCACTCGCGTTCATACGATTTCCTATACTTATTTCATGGATCATTGATCCCGTAACGAACCATTGGGTTTATATTCAAAATGTATTTAGGCTCTGATGTTGTAGTCTTAAGGTTTTCAAGCACAGTACTACCCACCCAAAGGTAACGGTAGCTGAAAATTAAACAAGGATGTTATAAAGATGTAACTCTCTTTTTATTCTTTCCTTTCAAAAGAAAATTTGTGTGACACCTCAAACAAAGATGATGAAGAAAATGATGAAGGCACCTCTCTTTCTTGGCGGGAAAAAATGATGGTCATTTGTCAGCTGCTGCCTCATATGTTACCGTTGTTTATTACATGTTTCTCTGAGTACATTATCGTTCAAGCCGTCATTACAACCCTGGCATTTCCCAGCTCTCCTTTCAAACCTCGTGACCATTATGAGTATTACATTGTTGTATTCGTTGTGGGTAAGATGGCGGGGAGGTCTTACCTTTTAGTGCTGTCCTACATTAAAAAAGACTGGGGAGAGAAAGCTAAATTTCCATATCTTTGGGTTCTGTGTCTGATCGAAGTCATGGATCTTTTGTTTTTGGTGTTGGCTGCATGGTACCGTTTTTTACCAAGTGTATGGATCGTTTTGCTTCTTGTGTTTGTCTGCGGCTTTAATGTGGGTGCTTTTTATGTTAACGTAGTGATAATTTTTAGAAATTGTCTCCAACAAAAGTACAAGGAGTTTGCCATGGGATACATCGACCTACCTTTAACGGGAGGAGTTTTAACAGCCGCCATGTTGGGCCTGTACATTGAGCCCCTGTTGCGTGAACATTGCATGATCCTCATGGATAACACAGACTTCTGCTTTACAAGAACACAGTCTTAAGATCGATTTTCTTCATATTGCTTTTTTAAACATGATTGAAATCTCTCCAAGCCTCTGAAGCTATATTTATGGTGCTCTTGTGTAGTTTAGGTATAAGTCAATGAATTCCTTTTGATCCTCTCTCGAATATTTATGTCTCTACGGTTATTACAATGCTAAGTGTTATATTTGCTCAAGACTTCTGGCCCTTTTATCCGCCTAAGGTTCATATGCGTGGCTGTATTCTAAGACTGACGTTTCGAGCTTTGGCCCTTCGTTTAAGCAGATACAGGCTGTGCGTGGTTTATACACAGAAAAAATGGAGCTACACTATTGTAGAACACGCATGACATCTCTCAATTTAGGCTTTTGTAGTTAGGTTGTGCGTGGTTTATATACAAAAAAAATGTAGGTACACTATCGGTTGGTACTTGCCAACGTGAAAAACACAAGAATAAATTAGCTCAATGAAAAGGTTAACATGTCTAGCGACTGGTTTAAGATGCATCTTTGTCATCCCTTTCCATCTCATGAGGGTCGCCTAGTCGTCTTCCCGTTTCACCGATGAATGACATTTAGCGATTAGTTCATGTGATGCAGCAGATGACATTAGCGGAAGTACATTCGATGCTTTGGTTTGTTAGTTGATGATGTTCAGCAATGTGATTGTTGACATTAACATTTCTCGTCGCTCGTTTGTGTTCAGTCAGGCTTGAGTTGAGGTTCCTGTTAGACTCTGTCGGAGCGCTTGATCTTGTATGCTGCTCATTCTTCGTTGTTCGGTTCGTTTTTGTTTTTGAAGTTAATCAGTAATAGATGTATTGAAGTGATCGGTCTGTGTGCAATAAGTTGATAGGTGTTTCGTCTTGAGTGAAGTGGTCGCTGTAGATGTTCTTAGAAAAGACACAGAGTTCATATGTTTATTTCGAAAAATTTAAACTCGATTTTCAAGGTTCAACTATAATAGAGCTCCTGTAAAAACAGGGATCGTGCCAGTCAGTGATTTATAATCAAGGTCTCTATGTCCAGGAAAGAATAATAAAAAAACAGAACTATGTGATTGCTGATTATCATCGCTTACTTGCATACACGGGTTTATTTTGGTCGATGTAGGCCTGTTAGTTAAACGAGAATTTATCGTATTGAGGACAGATAACAAACTTTTTAGGGAAGATCCAATCAAGTGAATTAAGGGGGATACGTTTCTGAGGAAACTGTGGCGCCACATCAGAGTGGCAGAGTGGGTGGAGGGGGGGGGGGTCTACGAGATAATTTGGCATTATCAACTGAGTCGAGAATGGGAATTGGCCACTGTAAAAAGATTAGTAAAGTTTCGATTGATAGCTTCGACGATTTCGCTTAGAATCCTTTTATGGTAGCTATTCGAGCGAAGAAAAGGCCCCGAAATTTTAAATAATCTATGGAAGAAAATTATTTTATTTAGGTACAGGTTGGCTCAATATTGCATCAAAGTCAGAGAGACATTACTGATTGAATGATTGGAACAAGTGAGATGATTATGCCATTACTTTTTCCATTTGGGTAAGTTTATACAGATGGTCGAATCTAGTCGCAGGATCCCCGCAAAGTATCGAATAATTACTTTCTGTGCGCAACCTTAGGATGGTTAAGGATACTGATTGCAAATGACCAACTCGAAAATAAAGACGAATTTTTTTTGGAGGTTCAGTAACTATGACAAAGGTCTTTTACTGATAAAACTTATGCAAATCAATGACTCATTAAAAAGATCTTTCTGACCAGGAAAGAATACATTAGAATGCAATTTATGCGATAACTATGGGGTGGCAGATAATAATCGCTTAATCGCATGTACCTTTTGTTTCACTCTTTTGGGGATCAATAAAATGATAATCTGAAAGTTACGAAGTTTCATCTTATGCCTGAAACTGTGTCGTTAAACAAGCATTGATTTCATTGACAACAAACTACGGACTGTTCACTGAGAGAGCTTGACAAACTCATCTGAACGAAGAGGACAAGCTTTGGAAACTCTAAAAAAATATATTTTGGAAAGGTTAGTACTTTTCGACTGCCGATCAAGGTTACGCACAAGCTTTTAATTGCTCACCAGCCAAAACCTGCCTAATTACCACAACGACGTCACCTTTACAGTATAGTAAAATCTTGGTATGAAAAAATCACGAGGCGGCATCATTGGACCATGACGGTAGTAACGAACTCGAAATAAATGAACCGTTTTAACAGTCTAAACGCGAGCGACCGCGCACCGTGGCAGCGTTTTTCGGGCTGGGAATTCTTCTTCACACCACAATTTCCTTGGTCGCAGTTGCTTCTGAAGATATTATAGCCGCAAAGAATATTCCAACTGCTGTGGTCCTAACAGTAATCATGGAAAGGCAAGTTACTGGAAGTTTATTGGATCGGGGATGATTTCATTTGGGACTGACATTGGCGAGGCGACAATTTTGTCTTTGACTTCGTTTCATGGCGAGCTGATATTGTCTGCGTTAACAGCTTGAACAGTGTGATGGTTAGTGGATGGCTGTGCTCTGGATCTAGAGATGTATACGCTTTCTATTTTATAGTATTGAAATCGCTTTTTTGCGCGGGAAATAAAACAGACTGGCCTTTTTAACAGCACAAAAAGGATTTGTTTCCTTGCTTTTTCCGCAATAAGGAAAAAATCACTGTAACAGTCTATTTGACTCCAGGTAATGGAATATACAGTTTATCTGTCTGCGGGCCAAGTTTAGCATTATCTTTATGCAAGTTGTTGCTCTTGGTCTTCTTCCAATGGTTAAATTCAGCTCCGAACTTAAAGACTTGACATTAATAAAGTCATTTAACATCATTGAAGGTCAAAAGACAGCATTTACTATTCCTAGAAACTATTAACCGTCATAAGAAACCTGTACTGTCCTTGGAGATCATTTTCCATCACTAAACATCATTCCCTGTCACTAGACATCATTTACCGTCAATTGAAATCACTCGCCGTCCGAGGCCATTATTCGCCATCACAAGACATTTGTTACCATCATAGCACTCGTGAGCTATCGAGTTAAACACTCGAAGAGAAATTCCATATCTACGCGCGCCCATGTATTATTCTCTCTCTCTCTCTCTCTCTCTCTAAATATATATATATATATATATATATTACGCAGTTGACGAAGAGTATGCGTATTAGTGTTGTTATTTAGACGCTAAGGCTTAGCAAGATTTCCGCCCACTTTTTCGTTGAAGAAAGTAATCGCGAAAACAATAGAAATTTCTTTGGAACTGCGGTTTTGTTTTAGAATAAGACAATTTGGTTTAACTGAGCTGATAATGCAAATTGGCCACCTTAGAGAGTTTGTAAAGCTGACGTTTCGAGCGTTAGCCCTTTGTCAGACGCTCTGACGAAGTGCTAACGTCCTAAGCGTCAGCTTTAGAGACCATGGACCGGTCTAGAGTTTGTCCACGGTAATCAATTTGCATTATCAACTCAGTTGATAGAACCACATTATCTTGTAATACGTCCCACCGACGCAGCACCACAATTCTTTGGAAAATTACCCCCTTTATTCACTTGCGTTAGAACAGCTTAGGGTTACGCTGAAATCTTTCTGAAAGCTTTTTAGAGTTCACACACACGATGCAAAAGCTAAACTAATTTTCAGAAATCAATTACTTCAGAAAGTTATTCCTACCGAATCAATAGCTTAAACAATACCTACGCAAAATGGGCACATTACACTTCATTCGAGACAATGCATTCAGTACAATGCAATCTCCACAGGATATTAATTACCCATGCGTTTTTTGTGAATTCCGGTATATTACAACAAATTCTCAGGTCAGAGGATGTTGCCAAGTAGGATGAATGATCTGCAGCAGTCGAGAGAGCTAGCTTTGAGATTACGGGTGTTTTAAAAGGAGAAAGAGATTAACATACATCGAAGTAAATCATACTGAATGATCACAACAAAATAATTGATAAAATAGATTATGCTAATATTTTTCTCCATTTGAGTGATTTTGCATAGATTGTTGAGTATTGTCGTAAGATGATATCACTAAGTGTCGGGAATATGATCATTATAGTGACTGTGCTGATGTGCGGAACATAAGGATTATCAAGGACACAGATTACAAAGAATCACCTTGGTAAATTGTTTAATGCCCTTCAACAGTGAGAAATTTCTTGAAATCAATAGCAGAGCAAATGAGTGTCTTAGATGTGGTAAGATAGATTTTGTTTGATCAGGTAAGCTGGCAATAGAACGGAATTTAATCGATTAGTATAGATTATTATCATCCTTTCATTAAAACGCGAGGTCTATTCATAGGTGTTGGTGGCGGATACAGTCATTGCTGAACGTCACGAGGCTTCATATTTTCCTTGGACCTGTTTCCTTAAACAACCTTTTTTTACACTCTTAGCAAAATCGCTACGAAGTTTCAGCTTCGAAGGAGATCGACAAACCCATTCAAGCGTAGAGGAAGTGTCTACTATTTGACTGGAAAGTCTAAAGGAACGCGTTTTTTTTCGACTTATCGGTATGGGAAACTTTAAGACGAAACCTGTGCACCATAACGATGGTAGCGACCTCAAGATATATCACGAGCCTGAACCCGAGCGACTACGCAAAGTTATAGCGTTTTTCGGGCTGGGAATTCTTCTTTACATCATTTTCTCCCTGGTCATGGTAGCAGCTCAAGATATTCTAGCTGAAACGTATATTCCAACTTCTGTTGTTCTAATTGCAAACATTGGACCAGTTTTTCTTGTTTCTCTAATCGTACCGTACTTCATGCAACGTATTCCATATGTTGTTCGCGCTTTCCTCATCTTCTTCCTTTCTGTCACCGGTGTCATCGTACTCGCGTTGGCGAGGCAAGTTCAATGGAAGTTAATCGGGGTGGGAATGGTTGCAGTTGGTGCTGGCCTTGGTGAACCGACAATTTTGTCTTTAACATCATTTCATGGCGAGCTGACATTAGCTGCGTTCTCAGCGGGAACGGGAGTAGGATTTGCAATTGCACCCTTGTATTATACAGGTGTGTGTTGAGATATAGTGTTTAGGCTAACCTGTCCGAAATTCAAACTCTTGGTATTTTCAATTTCCTAATGCTAAATCCATTTAAAATTAGTCTTGATATGGTATTGCCCGCACTTTATCGAGAAATTTTATCACAATGTTCAGCGCAATGCCACACTAATGAGATTAGCAACAATGCTATTTACTTTCATTGCTTTCTTTAAGATTTTCTTTATTGTTTTGTAGCCTTGACAACATGGGCCTGCGTATCACCAAAGGTTGCTACTCTTATCATGGCAGCGATGATGGTCCTGATCTTTGTCTGTTTTTACTTCATCGACAACTCAGAGACAAAATGCACCAGTTCTCTATCGGATGATCTTAGTGGAGTGCATTACTCAGCTCTTGAGACCAATGGTATGTTTGGTGTTTAGAGTTCTAAGTCTGAATATTTTATTAAAATTGTTATTATCGAAAATAAATTTGATAATTACTTTAGGTTGAAGAAATTTTAAATGGTGCAGTCGAAACCTCATAAAATTGTATTAGTTCTATTCTGTAGGGCTTTTTCTACTAGACATAATTATTCAGTTTCAATGAGGAAGCAAATGGTAATCAAATTGATTTCTGACCAATTATTATCCATACTTGGTGGGTAAATACCCAAAATACAGAACAAGCATTTTTGTGTCCGATTAATTGCTAATTACACGGGAACGGGTATCGAAAAAATTTCAGCCGAGCACTCAGTGACAACCAATGGATACTTCAACTTATTTCATGGATCATTGATCCCGTAACGAACCATTGGGTTTATATTCAAAATGTCTTTAGGCTCTGATGTTGTAGTCTTAAGGTATTCAAGCACAGTACTACCCACCCAAAGGTAACGGTAGCTGAAAATTAAACAAAGATGTAAAATTATAAAGATGTAACTCTCTTTTTATTCTTTCCTTTTAAAAGAAAATTTGTGTGACACCTCAAACAAAGATGACGAAGAAAATGATGAAGGCACCTCTCTTTCTTGGCGGGAAAAAATGATGGTCATTTGTCAGCTGCTGCCTCATATGTTACCATTGTTTATTACATGTTTCTCTGAGTACATTATCGTTCAAGCCGTAATTACAACCCTGGCATTTCCCAGCTCTCCTTTCAAACCTCGTGACCATTATGAGTATTACATTGTTGTATTCGTGGTGGGTGAGATGGTGGGGAGGTCTTACCTTTTAGTGCTGTCCTACATTAAAAGAGACTGGGGAGAGAAAGCTAAATTTCCATACCTTTGGGTTCTGTGTCTGATCGAAGTCATGGATCTTTTGTTTTTGGTGTTGGCTGCATGGTACCGTTTTTTACCGAGTGTATGGATCGTTTTGCTTCTTGTGTTTGTCTGCGGCTTGACTGTGGGTGCTTTTTATGTTAACGTAGTGATAATTTTTAGAAATTGTCTCCAACAAAAGTACAAGGAGTTTGCCATGGGATACATCGACCTACCTTTAACGGGAGGAGTTTTAACAGCCGCCGTGTTGGGCCTATACGTTGAACCCCTGTTGCGTGAACATTGCATGATCCTCATGGATAACACAGACTTCTGCTTTACAAGAACACAGTCTTAAGATCGATTTTCTTCATATTGCTTTTTTAAACATGATTGAAATCTCTCCAAGCCTCTGAAGCTATATTTATGGTGCTCTTGTGTAGTTTAGGTATGAGTCAATGAATTCCTTTTGATCCTCTCTCGAATATTTATGTCTCTACGGTTATTAAAATGCTAAGTGTATATTTGCTCAAGACTTCTGGCCCTTTTATCCGCCTAAGGTTCACATGTGTGGCTGTATTCTGATTGCAGAAGTTTATGTCTTATGTCAAGCCTTAAGTCCCTCAAATTGTTTGCTGCACGGTCGTGTATGCGACTATCTCGGATAAAGCACGAGTGGGGTGTCAACTGCTAAGTTTAAAAAAACTCATATGAGTGAGAATAGAAGTGCACAGCATTTTGATTATGGTAGAGAGAAGAACGAAAGCAAAGAAGTTTTTGTGATCTAAGACTATTGTTGCCTTTCGCATAACGAGGTTGCTACTCGTGATGTCCCCTAACGTCCCAACAAAAGTTTCGTGCAGTCACCTATGAACCAATAAAATAAATTGTAACCCAAAATCAATCGATAAGTTGCCTAGCGGTTTTTACTTGCGCTCTGAAGTCAGCCGCGACGGGGTTGGGGCCGAAAGAAGGGAGAATGGAATGCTTTTTATTAGTTTGGTCCATTCGGTTTTCTGTGACTGGAGAGAAATAAATTGAAACGGCCTTTTCAACTTAAGAAAGGGAACACTCTTCCCGTTTTAACAAGAACTACCGGAAAATCACGGCACCATTTTATTCGTTCCACTCGCTGCATATGATGAAGTAAGGAGTATTTGCCTTTTAGGCCTAGTTCAAACGTCGATCTTTACATGTATCGAACCTAACGTTTCTATTAAGTACATGTAAAGATCGACGTTTGAATCAATTAGGATCGGCAGATTTGTATTCGGATCGACAGTGCCGTTCTATCCGACTCGGCTAGTCGGATAGAACGGTAAAAGATCGGCATTGATTCATACGTCGTACTTTACATGTACCGAACTTAATGCATACATTATACATACGTTAAAATAATTATGTTTTACCCACAATTCAAGAAAGTTCGCTTACGTGCCATGCGCGAAAGCCTTCGAACCATTCAAACAATATGGCGGGAAAGGAGGAAGACTCGTGCTCCTTTTGTTTTAAAACCACAAAATATACCTGTCTTACGTGTAAGGAGTACTTTTGTATGCCATGTTCGGTGTTTGAAAACGACGAAGATGTTGTGGGTTGGATGCAAGGAAGGCAGCAAGGTTGTTTAATGCTAACTGCATCTTGAGTCGCCTTTTTCTACCCTCCTTAATCGCATTTGCAAGAAAAACAAGCTCTTCATTTCCACAAGTTGTGCTTCCCGCATTTTTTTCCGCCATTTTGGTAGGCATTAACCGCTGACTACAATGGAGTTATGTTCAGTTTTGCAATTAGGATCGACTAAATTCGGATCGACGTTTGAATCAACTGCCGCTCTTAATTATTCGAGTCGACCCAAATTGCAATTAGGTTCGGTACATGTAAAGATCGACGTTTGAACTAGGCCTTAGCTGAACATGATTTTTTCTTTTAATTTTTGTTGTTTTTTTTAATCAAACAACGTTATGGTGAACTTTAGGCATTAGACACACGCTTTTACTGTTTCATTTCGATTGGGAAAAAATAACTTATGATAACCTATGATAGGTTCGTTCCTTGTAAAAGGATTTATCACTACAAAATGAACACTTAGCTAGCTGTGTGTCAAATATTTCAAAATCCAGATAATGGAGAAAATTTTAAATCTCTCACAACTTCAATCTACATTAATTTCACAAATGGACATAATAAAAATTATTTAAAAATGCATTCCTGGTGAATTCAGATGTGACAAGTTTCTCCACTGGACTGAGAATTCTTGATGAATGTTACGCGTAAATCTTCTAACTAGCCGCAATAAGGTTGTATTATCATAAGTTAAAGAAACAGCTTCAGGATAAAGATAGTTCAGTTTAACTCTCCTTAAAAGAGGGTGCAAGACTAACATTAGAGAGAAATTAAATGAACCGAATGATCAAACCAAAAATATTTTTAAATAATTCATGCAAATAATTTTCTCCTTTTAAACAAGAATGAACCGAATGATCAAACCGAAAAAATTTTGAAATAATTGATGCAAATAATTTTCCTTTTGAGCAAGTTTGCAGAGATGATCGAATATCACAAAGGTGCAGAGTCTAGAAGGATGTTTAAGGACCAACTGCAAATGCACAACTCGATAAATTTAGACGAAACTTTTTTGTGTCTTCTAATTGAGACAAAGTTGTTTAAAAACAATAGCAATGCAAATAAATGGCTGTACGAAGATCTGGTTTTCTCAACTGAGTTGATAATTTGAATCGCCTCAACGAAGGGCTAACGATTGACACGCTAGGTTTAGAACCTCTCTTGACCAGTATACATTATAAACTTAGTTAATGACGCCAAATTATCTTGTGATACCCCACCACTGACGTAGCACCACAGTTTCTTCAGAAACGTACCTCCTTTTTACATGCAGTTCACACGAGGTTTAACTCAAACCACGGTTTTACGCAAGCAGTGGGCCTCAGGCATTCTCTCTAGCATCAGCACCTGTAAAAAGAGAAAGAAAGAAAACAAAGTAATTCTGTCTGGGTTTGTGAATTTACACAAATCCCCGCGCGCGGCACGCAAGGAATTCGATGTCGATTATTTACGTACCTTGTTTACGTGACACAAGATAACAGCCAGTTGAAAACCTTACTTAAAATCGTGCAGGGAACTTTCAGTCCAAATCCTTGAGTTGAGAAAGAAACGAACCATGTTTTCTTGGATTAGCCCCTAATGGTAAGTGGCATCGAAGAAGTCGGCGCAAAAGCAGAGTGACTCTTATTGACAAACGGCAGCATTCGAAGGTAAAACAGTTAACGTTGTTTGACTTGGTCCGTAAAAACTGTAGAGAAGGTTGAGCTTATCCAGTTTAGGGTCAGTTCAGAGTATGAAAATTAGTTTTTTCGACTTCTTTTCGAGGCTCTCAAAATTTATTCTCTTCTCGATACAGCTGTTTCATTGGCTCAAAAAAGTTCATCTTTCTTTGCTCGATAATTTCAAGAAGTTTTGCTTCAGAACACAAAACAATTCAACTTATTCAATTCATATGCAAAGAAGGTTGGACGACCTTGGACTATTCATGCTCTGAGGAAACAAAGTCTCCTCAGAGCATGAATTAATTTCCTTCTGCTCTCCAGGTTTACTGCAATTCCTACAAACTCGGAATAGTTGATCGAAAAATCAAACTGGGGTTTCAGTCCTTATAGGAAGCTACCATTTTTTTTTCGTTCGAAAGATATATTTTATAACATTTTTTCGGGAGTTTTGAGGTTGACGCCTAAACCTAAACAAAGATTTTGCAAATTGTATGTGTTTACGTGTCCTTTGTTAGTCCCATATACGAAGAAAAGGTTTGCGTTTACAAACCTGACAGATGATCAAGTGAATAGAACCTTTCTATTGTGAAAATTGCAGTAGATTTATTAGCTTCCCCAGGCAATGAAGAAACTGCGAATAATCTAGGAGACGGGTCAACGCTAGAGAAGTTGAAGAAAAATTACCGTGGGTTTTCGTACTGGGTGATACCGAGGCAGGTGGTTAAAATTCACAGGTGTCTGTCGATTCGATCGCATTTTCAACCAAAGGTTATTGCCCTCTATTTAAAATACAGGGCTGGACTTATTTTACTTTAAGGATAATCTTACACACGAGTGTCTAGGAGTGAGCTATTATATTCAGTGGCCAAATTATAAACAAAGAACCATCAACAATCCAAACTGCGGGTGACCACTTGGTCGGAAATTAGTGATTGTATACATTGGAAATGAAAGTCGGATCGGATCGATATACCGCGACTAGTTGCGATCGGACTTTGTGGTTTTACAGGCACGTTCCGATTTGCCACCTTTCCTCTCATGTTCCACGCTAACCCGTAGGGCAAATACTATTCAAAAACGTTTCAAACTGATGTTAATTTGCATAAGCTAGTCCACACTCAATATTGACATGTGTTTCATTTTCGCCAGGTTCAGATGTTTTATCCGCGGTTAACTAATAGAGAAGGAAACTCCTTGTAGTGAAGACACGATAACTTTGAGAGAAGATATGAAACATTCCAGACACAACAACAGCATAATTTAGTGGCAAAAAGGCTTTCTACGTGTAATCCGGGGGAAACGTATCATTCTGTCCCTCGCCGTAAGGAGAAATTTATAATGGAGGACAAAACCGAAGAAAAACATGCGACCCTTATGGATTTATTCCCTGCGAACTCCGACACAGATACATCACGAGAAAAGCCAGGAACGATTTGTGCTTTCTTTGTTTTCGGCTTCTTGATCTACGCAACCTACTCATTGATAATATCAGGCGCTCAAGACATCCTGGCTGGGACCTTTGTGCCAACATCAGCCGTGCTGGTTGCCAATGTCGGGCCTTATTTTATCATAACTGTTGTAGCACCATACTTCATTCAAAAGATCGCATATTTCCCGCGCATACTGGCCATATTTTTCCTTATGGTTACCGGACTTACAATGGTAGTTTCCGCTAAACGCGTTGGGGTGAGGTTGTTGGGAATTTCTCTCGCCTCGTTTGGATTTGGTTTGGGAGAATTATCTTTTATTGCAATGACGTCCTTCTATCATGGAACAGCTGTTAGCGCCTTCTCAGCTGGTACAGGAACTGGTATATCAATGGCACCGCTCTATTACACAGGTATCTCTCTAAAAAATAACTTTTTATCTTCGTCACCGTGTGCAATGCAACCCTTCCCTAAGGCGATGAGTAAACACACGGTAGAAACACATTCCAAAGCAGCCTGACAATCTATCTATTTTAACCGACTAAATCAACATTTGAAAATACTGAATATGATCCTGTGCCTGAGATGCCAATTTAATTATGAAGAAGTATGTACACTTATTGATGGCTATCAGATCAAAATGAAAATTTCATGTGCTAGTTAGTTTACTCTTTTGATGAGTAGTGTGCTCTGCGATTTCACTAAAATTTCGTTGGTCCGTGTTATGGCTGTTTGGAATCACCTGGAAATTTACTTAAAGGACAGATACACCCTGAAAACGTCAATTCACGCTCACTTAGCTGTTCAGGCTAACTGATTTCTTACGCGCAGTGGTCAGCTTGGTGACCCCTCTCTTTCCAAAGTTGATTTAAGAATCAATGGTTTATCATTCCCAAATCTCTCATTGTTATCTGATAAAAAGCAGCAAGCAGTGACTAAGGAGTTTTGAATTACTTTAAAACTTGGATTGTCATTTTGCCGAGATACTATGGCGAGTCAACGAAACTCTAGATAAAATTTGCCGCCATACGAGTTACGATTTTCTCCTTAATATTGTCGTGTGCTGTTAGCTACAAAATGTATAAATGACTGTGGTTTTATGAAAATCATATATGTGAATTGCGGTTAAAAAAATGAATATGAAAGCGATCTTCGAAGTAATGAACACTTCTCAAGATGTAGTAAAAATAAGACCGGAAAAAAAATTCAGGCCTGTATAAAGTTATTTGATTCTTTGAAAGCTCACGGCGACTGTAACATCGTGCTTGTGAGGTTTTTTGTTATCACATTAAAGGCTTCTTAGGACTGTAGAGAAATGGCCAATTCACCTAAGGCTCGATAAGCTTAAGTCGGGTGCACGAGGTCGAAGCTTTCTGTAAGCTTTGTGGAATGCGAGGAAGACTTTTTTTTACAGCTAGCTCACCCAGTTGTAGATGAGGCTTACAGGAATAGACTGGCTGAACCGCTGAAGGAAACTTTGTTGTTTTTTTTTCTTTTAATTTTACGTTTTCCCTTTTTTTTCTTGTAGAAAAAAATTAAATGTCTAATTTTGTGAACTTGATAAGGCACTTCGCTTTCTTTTGCTTGAAGATATCAACGTGGGGTATTGAACTTCTGATAAAATATGTTTAATAAAACTTATTCATCCAACGCGAGTACCCTAGCCCACTGAAATTGTTCTCTTTCGCTCTCTTTTTTTACAGCTATGACAACGTGGGCTTGCGTTTCTCCTTCCGTAACCATCTCCATTATGGCTGTCAGTTTGGTTTTCATGTTGATTTTCTACGCTCTGATGGAGAGAAAGCATACCCAGGATGGTCAAGCTGCGGCAAAGGGAATCACCCGCAAAGACATTCAATATTCACCAATTGAGGAAGAAGAACAAGACATAAACCCTGGTGATGATCTTTTAACATGGAAGGAAAAATGCACAGCAATCAAAAAAGTTTGGCCGATTATCGCTTCCATAATCAGCGCGTGGATCGCTGAATATTTGATAATTCAATCGGTCGTTACTACAATAGCGTTTCCGAGCGCTCCTTTTCCACCTCGGGACCATTATCAATATTATATCTTCGTCTTCTTGTTCGGAGAACTGTTCGGTAGATCCTACTTAATTGTTCTCTCCTATCTTCTGCCGAACTTGGCCCAGAAGCTTACAGTGCGTAGAATATGGTTCCTCTCAGCGGCGGAGATTTCTCTTTTAGTTTTCTTTTTGCTTGCAGCCTGGTACCGCTTTTTGACTGATGTTACGATAGTGTTAATTCTCTCCTTCATCGGAGGTATCATTATAGGTATCATGTATGTGAACATGTTATCGGTTTATTCCGAGATCGAGGACCCGAGATCCCGAGAATTCGTTCTCGGTTACGCTTCAGCTGCAACCGGCGCTGGTGCGATCACCGCTGGCTTGTTAGGATTATTAATTGAGCCTTGGCTGCGCAGTCATTGTTTAATAGTGGCCGTTCATAACAGCTTTTGCTTCACTCGATTGCAGGGTGGTGGAGTTTGTAAATGATGAGATTTCACCACAACTTCAAGAAAAACAATTTCTTTGTAGGGATCCTCCTATCGAGTTAGAATTAAATTTATGGACACATTCTTCTAGTTTACTTTTACGAGTCTTGAAAGGAACACCCTTTCTTGTTCGAGTATAGCGAATTTCTGAAGAATGTTGCTATGCCTTTCCATAAACGTGAGGTATATATTAAAATGTTAATACTGTTTCTTTCTTGTTACGTGAAAAAGAGGAGGCTTGAACTTACAAACAAGCTAAAAGTGTATGATTTTGCTTTTGAATGCAAGTTTATCATGTAAATACAGCCTCGTGTCTCTGAATAATGAGCGGCAATATTAGGCCCGGGTTTGATCCTGCCTGGTACATGGAAATGATTACATAATTGGTGTAAGCTATAGGTAACAATGATTTACTGATCGAACAAAATAAACGTCTTGTGATGATATCCACCCTATAGTATGTTCGAAGTTTAAATGAGGAGTAGTTTAGTTTTTAGTGTTACAGGGGTGGGGAGGGTAGGGCAGGAAAACTCTTGGACTTTTTTTTTAATATCTTTCAATTTTTCATTTCTTGAAAATGAGCTCGACCTGTTGTCAAAACGTTTCTTAACCAGATAATTATATCAAAAGGTCTGGATAGAAGCAGATATGTAACGAATTTAGGAAAATGAACGACACTTTTAAAATTAAAAAACTTGTTTGGACAGTTCTTCTGTCATCTTCAGTTCTGAATAATACAAAGTACAAAGCTGAATTTAAAGTGTGTAACAAAATGCTGAATGGACAAAACAAACAACAGTAACAGAAAAATGTACGCATTTACAAGGAAGGTTTTAAATTAACGTAATAAGGTTGATGATTAGGCGTAGGTTTCTCCCTTTGAATGTGGAGAGCTTCTTTGATTTTAAGTCAAAAGGTTGTGGAAACGTGATCTAGGATGTTAAAACACTCATCAGAACAAAGAGTGCGACATTGTGGAGAATTTTGTAGATGTCTGAAAATGTGAGAGGTCATGTTAATTTAAAACTTTCCTTGTAAATGCATACATTCTTCTGTTTCTATTGTTTGTTTTGTCCAATCAGCATTTTGTTACACACTTTAAATTCAATTTGTATTTTGTATTATTCACAACTGAAGATGACAGAAGAACTGTCGCAACGTGTTTTTTAATTTTAAAAGTGTAGTTAATTTTCTTAAAAAATTATATCAAAAGACCACAAAGCTTTCAAGTTCCTTAACATTTGGTGAAACGTGCTAAAATGTCTTGTTACTAAGTACAAATGAGAGATGTGTGGAATTTTTATTCATAATGATAATATAATTATTCATTTTGTATACATACATATGTAGTAGTAATATCATTGTTAAAAATGAAAATGCCTCACAGCTCTTAATTTTCCTTAGAAACGAACCTTCTTAGCACGCTTTACAATATATTAAGGAGCCATGAAAACTTTGCGATTTTTCGATATAATTATAATATCTGACTTAAGAAATTTTGACACTATATAAATATCATTTTAAAGAAATGAAAAAAAAATTGGATGCGTTCTTGTTGCGTAGAAAGATACTAAAAAGGGTGAAATACCTTTTTTGTAAATATATGCGTAAAGTTTTCTTTTAACTTGGAAATTATCATCTTATAAGGTTCTAAATTCATTCTTTGAATACTATATCTTTAGTTACTCATGTTTTTTATGACTCTAGAAATATCAGAAATTTCCCCAAAAGCACCACGTGGTTTTCATCGCGGAATCATAGGAAACTTTGCAAATGAAAGTAATTTACCACAACACCCCATGATTCATATCGGTCGCTGTAATTTTCTTTGGGCCGCTAACCAACTGGTGGACTTTTACCACCTGCTTAAGAGTCATTAATTTTGCTTTTCTCGATCAAAACGTCACCGATTATCAAAGGACCTTGGAAAGCTAAAGCATTTTGAGATGTGGATCTGATATTCCACTTGTTTTCGATCAGAAAATCTGAACTACATTCGCTCGTGCTTGATTCTCAGTTGTGTGGTTAGAAGACAGGAACAGCCTAAATCATCTGCTAATCTACCTTACATACAACGGTGGTCAAGAACTAACCCTGTTTCCTGTTTCTTTCTGGCCACCAGGTCGTATAACGTAAGCGAACAGAATGTGTCCTTGAACAATCAAAATTTTATTGACGACCTTAGCTGCCAGATGACGTGAGTAAAAGGACTTTTCTATCCTCTTTTGGTTCCTTTCGCGGTGAAAATTACACGGGATAGAAACTGATATTCTATCAAAGTTTCACAACTACCACCAGAAGGAAAGGAAAATAACCTACTGGAATAGGATCCTTTCAGGTCGCGGGTCATAATGGAAAAGGGTACGGAGATTGCAGAGGACAGGAATCTGGAAAAGGACATTAAAGAAGAAAAAGGTGAGGAAGGCGACGAAAGCAAAGATGTAATCAAAACTGCAAAAGCAAAAAGGGAGCCAATGCGAAATCTCCTGGCCTTCTATGCTTTTGGTGCATTGATCTACACGGTATATTCTGTCATCATTTCAGGCGCACAAGACATTCTGGCGGGTACCTTCATCCCAACTGCCGCAGTGTTGGTGACAAATGTTGGTCCGTATTTTCTTGTGACAATGATCGCGCCCTATTTTATACACAAAATGCCGTACGTCGTGCGAATAGTGGCAATTTATGCATTTTTTACAGCAGGTCTGTTTATCATTGTTTACGCTAAAGAAGTCTATCTGAAGTTAGTTGGAATATGTACGACCTCCCTCGGAGCCGGAATTGGGGAAGTATCGTTTTTTACATTAACTGCCTATTACGAGAAGGTTTCTGTTGCTGCTTATTCAGCGGGTACAGGTTCTGGATTTATCTTGGGACCTCTTTATTATACTGGTAAGTGAACAGGCATTCCACCAATATTTACATAATAAGATCTCCGGTGAAATATCGGTGCATTATCGCAAACATGGAAGTATTTCAGAGCGTAAAAGATGATAAAAAATTAGAGGTCTGTTTTCGCTTGAAAAGAGATGTAAAACTCTAAGAACACCGCGTCTTTTGTGAGGTATTCATTGCCATGAAATGCTGATCACCTGATTTCAGTTCAGCGAACTGGTCGGTATTTTTTTCGGAGCCTGGCACTTTTCAGACCTCTGGAGTCTAAAATGTTCTGTTGTGGCTCCAGTCGATAAATAGAGTAACTTAACCTCAATTTTAATGAGTATAAAATTTCCACAAGCCGTCAATCTCTGTTCAGACTGACTCCAGTGAGATCGCAGCGATACTCTGATAATACATCTATTTATTGAAATGAGAACAGTTTTTCTAAGGACGTGCGCTACCATAGTAATTTAAGCAGCATTTCAGGGTTTTGTAACTTGGTTTGAAAATTACTAGAGTTTACGTGCTATTTTAGTTATTGTTGAGCAATATTGGCAATATGTTGTACAACATTTACCAGCCCTGCTCAAAGGAACATTCAGTTATAGAATTTTAGAAGACATGTCATCTCTTCGTGACTTCGTAAAATTGTACGATTATTCAACAAGTGACCTGATCAACAACATTTAAGTCTTGACAGGAAATTTTAACAGCTTTGATCAAAATAATACTGTCATTGGTGTTTTAAAAGGATAACCCGGCTATGAAGAAAGCAGTGGCTCATTTATCCAGAAAACTGACGAGTATGAATAGATATCTTTCATTTTGTATATCTGAGCCTAAGCCGACGTTAAGGCCGCGACAGATTGAATATTTATTCACAATTGGGTGATGCTCAAAAAAATAAATTCGGTAAATTAGGATAGTTTTATACGAGAAGTAAAGCTCATCGTATTTGTAAATGTGGGTGCAACAAGGATGTTTACTTTGGGTACCAGCTTTGTTTTAAAATGGCGTCAAACGCTACCTGTTATCTAATTCAGTATAAAGTAAATATTTCAAACAGATTTCTGAAAAGAAAAATTTGACAAGTTGAATTAACGTCAACATCCGACATCAATTAGATTCACGCTCATTTACCCTTTGTTGTACCGGTTCTGTTTATTGTAGGCTGTCGGGGAAAAAGCTGAGCAAATCACCTCTTTGGGAGGTTCATTTTTTTACAAAAGCAAAGAATATAGTCAGTCGTAGAAGTAGACTACCCTCAGAAGAAAAGAATTAGTAGATCATTACCCAGTCACTTCGTCGAAGTACAACCAGACACCACAACCTTAGCTTAGCCTCTAAGGAACGACATTAAAAACAGCTAAAAATGAAGTGATTTACAGAGTAGAATGTCTTGAGTATAACAGCTTGACTATAATTATCTCCTATTCATTCACACTTCTGAATAAGGAAAAACAAATCGTGTCGCTAATCTTGATATTTTGGATGAAAAAGGATTTTGTCTTAAAATCTCAATCACCTCTGATGCTATCTTAACACATGCCAATCTTTTTAATTGTCCGAATGTTTTCGATGCACTACATTGTTATTGCACCCTTTTCGATCGGTCAATGGGGTTCTTTCAGACATCAGAATTACAGTCGGATGTGCTCGTGCTGTGTTGTTGCCTGTTTCCGATTGCTCGGTGCCTTCTCTCTGACATCGTGTCTAATTCGTGGGTGCTCAAATAGAAAGTTTTCATCTGTTCATCTGACTCATGTTCCTTTGTAGTGAGCCTCTCGTGTTTCTTTTTTCCAAGATCGTACCAGACTCGTTAGTATTCGTTCTTGGTAGTTTCTAGTTTCTGATTGGTCTGTCACCTCTAACCTCCACCTGGTCCGACTCTAGGTTCTCGTGTTCGTTAGTTTCGTTAATTTCTTTTGGCTTCAAGTGAGTTTGAAATTCTGTCATATTTGAAATAGTGCCACTCGCCTGAGAGAATACTTGATTTTCTTCCAATGCTCTAAGGGCGTTATCATACACTCCATAAAACATATCTTGAAGATGGTCAAAAGAAGCCATGGGTTCATTCTTTTACTTAGTGATGTTCTGTGATTGGTTCTGAAATCTAACGCCTTGATCTTCTTCGTCACAATCAGACGCAGAACTAAGACAAAATACGACTTGGTTGGGTGAAATTCGCGCAACTTCACGAAAATGAATGGACAGGCGCTGGAAAGCATTTTAAAGACTTAAACCCTCTGATTCATAATCTCCCCTTCTTTTTTCAGGTTTGACAACATGGAGTTGTGTATCACCGAACAATGCAATGCTGATAATGGCTGGGTCACCTCTTCTCTATCTAATTTTCTATGCCATAATGGAGAAAAAACATTCTGTGGCGGCTGCCACATCCGGGGAATTAAATGAATCGGAGTCACAAGCAAACATGGTCACATGGAAAGAAAAACTTTCTACAGCTGGAAAGATCCTCCCATTAGTTGGATCTCTGTTCATAGCTTACGTCAGCGAATACGTCATCATTCAATCTGTTATCACCACTATGGCATTTCCAAGCGCCCCTTTTCCGCCTAGAGTTCATTATAGATACTATATTTTTATATTTTTGAGCGGTGAATTCATTGCTAGGTCATACCTTGCTGTGATCGCATCCCTGAAGCCAAGCCTTGTCAATGTGTTCGCGATTAGACGTATATGGATTTTATCATTAGTCTTAGTGGCTCAATTAGTGTTTTTTACTCTAGCAGCCTGGTATAGATTCTTACACGACGTGTGGATCGTTTTCATTCTAATTTTTATCGCTGGTCTTGGCGCGGGTGCAGCTTTTACAAACGCTTTTGTTGTGGTGTCAGAGACTGACCCTAGATTTAAGGAATTTGCCATGGGATTTGCCACCATAGGAATGGGGGCCGGAACTTTTTGTGCTGGGGTAGTGGGACTACTTATGGAACCAGTGATTCGCGATCACTGTTTACTTGTATCAGACGTAGGAGACTATTGCTTTACGAGACCTTTTGGCGGATGGAATCAAACCTTAAGTTGCTGACACAAGCTGCATATCGATGGTGTGAGTTAAACGTCCGAATGAGCCTAGTCATGAAAAGGACTGATGTTGGTAATATTGCCTGGCTGCCTGACTCTTCGTCAAACAAGAGAAAAGCCATTGTCAGAAGACCCCCAAAAAGTGACTCAAGTAACTGTGATGACGACTTGCGCTTAGGTTGTTGTGATGAGTTGTCAGTCATCGTAACGGACACCAGAAGACCAACCCTCGCCAGGCAGATCAACCCTCGCCTGGATTGTCAGATTACATAATCGTTCCTTAATTCTGAGTTTAAACTATTTTCTTTTAATCTAGGCTTATGAGACTTATTGATTATGATGATCTATTCTTGAAACTAGCCTCGCCTGTTTTTTGAATCTCATGTGTTTTATCCCAAATTTCACATTTCCCGTTGCTGAATTTAGAAAAAAAATTGAATTGTCTTTAGCGTATTTACCTAGCAATTATATGCAGGCACTCCAGCTGCTTTTTTCTCCTTTAACCAGTAGAAAAAATTCCCCCATAATCGGCAGATTATTTGGCTGCCTTCCTCGTAGTGAAAAAGCTGTCTCGTTCTTGTTTTGGAGATTAGGAATATTACATTTTTACATTTATCTGCCGGGGCGACTGACACGCTGTTCAGTTGAACAACTATTTATAATTTAACTTAATTTCTGATGAAAAAAGGGGATATTTGACGCACACATACTGCCGACACTGACTGTTTGTTTAAATTTGCCACCTTAGTCTTTTTATTTTAGAATTGCTTTTGATATTACTAGGGATATCCTAGACCTGGATGTGCATTAGAATCGTTAATGCCGAATATAAGGGTGTTTTTGTTACGTCGGTCAGAAAAATAAATTTAAAAAAGACGACGAAAAAAAAAAAAAAAAAAAAAGCAACTGGCACGAGAAGCTTAGAGATGAAATAAAGATGTTAGGAGCGCCGTACCACATGATCCCTCTTCGGTTGACTCAATGCAACTAAACAACGAAGGTTCAGTTATATTCGGGTATCAGAACGACCGTGGGGGACTTGAACTGAATGGTCCGGCATCTTAACCCTTTAACTCCCTCCCCTTTAACTGAATGACCAAGACAGAATTTCTCCCTACAATATTAATACAATATCAACCAGTTAAGTGATGAGAATAAAGAAAAATGTTAATTTGGGAATAATTAGTTGATCCAACACTAAATTCTCTGAACTAACATTATAAGAATTGTATGGTTGACAGTAAGGAGAATGACAAATTTTATCTGGGAGTTAAAGGGTTAACACAAAAATAGCCTCATCTATGAGATTTTTATTATGATTTATCAAGAGTAGAATTTTGCCTCTTTTATTCAAATTCGTTCTGCATCGCTGTTTTAAATTGTTAGAGTGTGTACTCAGGGGTAATAATCGTTTTATGTTTGTTGCAGCAATTGTCGTTGATGGATCGCTTTGTGACTCGATATCAGTTTGTAAAGCTTGCATGTTCAGTTGTGACTGGAACCCATGTGATGACCTCAGTGTATAATAAACAAGTTTTTCAAATGGTGTGTAATGTCTTCATCCTTGTTATATTGATCATAGAAAGTTTAATCGTCTGTTTCTGTTTGCAGAGTCACTATCAATCGCTGATAGTAACTTAGTTTTCAATTGCTCATTATTATTCTTCGTCGTAAAACACTGAAAGCAAGTTCATTTGACTATAATTATGGAGGAAAAAGGTTTGGACGTAACCCTTTACACCCTTACATCAGTATCCATATTCTCCAAACTGTTCTCTCTACATTTGCTATGGACTTATAAGGAGAATTTGTCTACAATCAAGAGTTTCCTAAGTTGAGTTTGCCTCCATTTCCTCTATTCTCATTGTAGTGTATTGCGTTACCTAAGCGTTACTATAGTCACGCTATATCCTGTAAGACACGATCGGTACATGATTGTAAAAGTACATTCCTATGTAAAAGTAGTATTACTGATTCCTAGTATTGTATTGTGAATATAGCTTGTTGATTCTTTAATAAAATTCAGTTGAGCAATAGCAATGAAAGGAATAACTTGACTGAGTCTAGACGACACAACACTCATGACCTTAATGTTTGATTCAGGTTTGATACCATTGGGAGAAATTAGATGCTGGTCACTCTTAGGGGTCAAAGTGTTAGACTGCTTTTCGCATATGTCTAGGTGTGCACTTCGTATGGGTTTCACCGTATTCCTATGTGTAGATATTGGTCCCCTCCCCCCCATAGATTTGCTGTTATATTGATCCTTCATCCATAGCCCCTATCATGCTTCTTGATTGCACGTATCTGCGCTCACTTTGCTTCCGTAAGCTCCATTGAAGAATGATGGAAGCTTATATGGATGATTTCTTTAAGGGGGCATAAGCATGAGCCCTACCGTGAATTCAAACAAGATTAAAATAGACAATTTGATATTGACCGATAGAAGTAGCAGCTGTTTTAGAAAAAAATGTACTTCGAGGCTCCTTTACATCATTGTCATGCTGTCAAAGAACCGAATCCCGTCATAACAAAAACGTTGAGATAAATTCAGATCCCTCTCATAGAGCTTGACTTACCATCGTTTTCCTCTCAGTTTTATCCAATGCTTCAAGCTTATTACGCACTTAACAATTTAGAATGACAGTTATTTACATATTTCTCTTTCTCAAACAAGTGGCTTAGAGAAGTACTTAACACTCTTGATTCATTGTGTTTGCTTGAAACGAACCCAGCCAATAGGAACGTGAAATGATTAATTAACTTCTTAAAATGATGAAACAGCCATTGATTACGTTATTACCATATCAAAGAACTTGACAATTGTTTGAGAACACGAGGCTTAATTGTAAATAGAGACCGCACTGGGGTAGTGAAATGTCAGGTAACTGTGAAGTTGTTTGTGCTTGTTTTAACATTGTATACTTCATAGTAGATGCTTCAAGAAATATTCAACATATTGATAAAAAAGGTTAAACCGTTTTAGTGTGTGTCTCCATGGGCATTACCTAAAATTGAGAATCCTATGTAAAGTGAAGTAGGAAAGGGAATATTTGAATTCTACGTCCAAACACCGTTGTCAGGTAAGTTGTGATGCAATAGAATATGCAACTTTTTTAAACAAATGTTTTTCAGGTTTGGCTTGAAGAAAATTAAAAGTCTGTTAGAAAAGGAAGACATTCATTTAGTGGATTATAGTATGCACGGCTTCTACTGAGTGTGGTGCGGCTTACGTTTAAGGGGGTTAATTGAGAAAGAGTTGCCAGTAAACAGCTTCTATCCGGATATTATTTATATGTTTACATAGACAATGGCGTTCTTCATCATCGTGCTTCAAGTTTAATGTGTCTGAATTAACATCATTCCGAGGAAAAGCACTTATTTCTGTGAGAAAATTCATTATCCATTATGATAATGTTTATCGAACACTTCACTCCTATAATGATAGTATTTTTGTGTAGAACAAACATGGTATTTTTCTAGGGCAGGAAGTCAAAATTGTTTAAGCAGAGGTCAGATCAACCTTGACTGCGTTTGTAATAAGTCACGAAGCTCTATAGAGGAACATCAATTTGAGAGATAAAATTGATGTAACGTCAATACATTTTTTAAGAGTAGAGGTTTCAGTCAATTTTGAATTTTATACCCGAATGATTCTTCTTTTTGAAGTCAACCACAAAGTTGCTAGTGCGAGGAATGGAGACGATAAAAATTTGGCGTCTATCACTGTCTTATAACTGTATGATACCAATTTAAAAGGCTGACTCATATATTCATGTGCATTTCTCTCTAAATTACTGTATTTTTTTCTTTAGAGAGAGAGAGAGAGAGAGAGAGAGAGATCACGTTGTCGCACGCTGTCTTCGAGCCTATTCAGGTATTCCATCATATATGCTATCATTTTAATATTAATATTATTTTAATTAGAAATCTCGATAGAGTCTCTCGATACTTGTTAAACAAGGAAATATATCTTTTATGGTTGTATAATGAATTTTATAGAAAAAATTGATACCCAGTGTGGGTGATAGGCTGTTTCGTTACCTTTGGCTGGCTTAACTGTTGCACTGTATTCCATCTGTTATTGTTCTGCACTGCTAATTTATTCATGAAATGATTCTAGTTTTCACGGCCATCGGTCAATGTGGCCAAATTCACGTTTCATTTTGCTAATCTTCTTCAAGAAAATGCGAAGTTTATCTATCGTTTATTGAAATGATGAACTGATTTTGTTGCTTCACGTGAAAAAAGGGGCTGAGCATACATAGGTGCAGTAATGACTTGTAATCTTCATTGTTCAAATGCTAGCTGAATTGAAAATGACAGAAGAAGACCAGGGGAGTCATTTTGATGATCTTGAAGAACAAGATCCTATCAAGGTGTCAGTAACTTTCAAGCCACAAGAGCAAGACGTCGAAGATAGACAAGGCAACTTGAACCGGTCTTGTGATAAGGACAAGCCTATCTTACGGGACCCCCACACGAATGGAGATGAGTGTAAGGACTTCGAGGGTGAGGAACCTAGCCTGCCCGTCAACCCGCCTGTTACACCTATTCCGTTGTATCTGGACGCAGATAATGCTAAAATCGAAGGGGATACAACTGAACAACAAGAAGTGTTGAAAGTAAGCACGAAAAAAAATTAAAATATTTAAAAAGAAACCTTTGAAAGCATTCCAATTCAGCAAGCATCATCGACTTCGGCGCGAAATTTTCATTCAAGTACAATTTGGTCGGTAGATGAGCGAAAAATTCGTTTGAAACGGCCTGTACAATATGCCAAAAGATACGGATAACATTAACACATAAGCCATTAATACAATAATAAAATGTTGCTTCAGAGAATTGATCATCGCAAATTGCTTCACGCAAAACGATTTGATATAACTCAAAATTATCTTTGGATTTGCCTCACTGATTGTAGAGACGTTTTGTAAGTGAAGATTTGAAGAGCATCGAAACAAAAAAATAATGGGGCAGAAACAGATTATTTTCATTTGGACGAGTCAATAAGGATAGAAGATTTGTAAAATTCTGCTTTATGTGCTATTGACTGAACTGAGCAAAGCTAAGCTCAGTTTTTGAATACTCGTGTGAAAAAACAAAATCCTGAATAAAACCACATGAGGAAATGATGAACGAATCCTGAACACATCGCATAATGTCTGAGTGGACAACTAGTATAATCTTTTCTTTGAATATTTTGTGTCCCAGATCACGCGTTTGCTTAGCTTGGAAAAACACTCTCTTATTTCTTCTTTCTCCAGGGGTGGAAGGGTTACAGTAACAACATCTATATTCGGCCGATCATAGTTAACCACGCCTCCTGCGGAGACTGTCAGTGTCCAGCTAATCAAAAAACACAGCGCAGACTCACAAGCGAGGATCTACGAAAACAAATGCGTCTCCGAGAGGCAAACAACTGGATCAGGAAACACAACGAGAGAATCCAGAGCACTGGAACGTTACGATCAAAGACTCATTCACATGAACTACACAGACAACAGGAAGCAAAGCAGATTCATAATAAACCAAACAACAACGGCAACACAAAATATAAACAAGAAAAGAAAAAAATCCATAAAGGATTTGTTTGCAGGACATGGGCTTCAAATTTCTTGTCAAGTGACGCTCAGAAGAGCGAAGATGACGAGTTCACTCCGTTCTATGTCCGAAGATATGTGGATAAATCAAAATCGGCCCCTCCTGGTAAAGTGAGACGGAATGCTCCGCTTATACAAAAACACACAACATCCTCAGAAGTTTTATTAACCCAGAGGGAAGTGCATGATCAGTCGTCAGAAAAGTCTTCCCAGAGTGAAATTGAAGTTCAACTGAAAGAGAAACTCTCCCACGATGAGTCTTATAACAGGAGAAATAACGAAAAGCCTAACTCTAACATTTCCCACGCCCAAATGTGCTCTTGTGGACAGATTATACATCACGATAACGACAAGCGCGTTTCTGGAGGAGGTTTTCAAGCCCCGAGGCCCGTTGGAGTTGAGAGAACGCAGAATTCTAAATTAAAGTTTTCTATTGTTCTTCCAATAAAGCAGTTTCCTCCTATTAATCCACTTGAGGAACTGAAGAAACCAAATTTTCCAACAAGGAAAAAGCTAGGGGTCTCACTAAATCGCAGACCACACACGGTAGATACAGCGCTTCTGTCGAGAGGAGTCATTTTGGTAAATGGCCATCACAATTTACCAAATTTTATGGGTGCAGACAAAGCTTTTAATAGACAGCGTGATGGTCAAATCACCTCTAAATCTTCTTTTGAAAATCTAAGCAGGGAGAAACAATTATTTTCTAGAGGTCGGCAGAAGCATGAACATGGGCAAGGCAAAACATTCGATGAATCTATCGAATTGGTGCCTTGGGGCTGCGGCAAAACAGTCAAAGATATCGGGTCATCCCATCAATGTGTCTTATATAAAGACCCAAACAATCGAGAAAAATGCGGTCGAAAGTGTTCTACGGGTGATCCACGAAGAGCGCCGAGGTCTCTCGACGAAAATGGGAACAATTTATATCGGAACAGTGCGGATAGTTTAAAAGGACAGCGGCGTTGCGTGAGAACACCGTTACACTCATTAAATAGCGAAGATGACGTCCCCAAAACTGAGTCAAATGAAACTGGTCTCGGGAGTGAAATTGAATATTCTGTCGATGGTTTAGCAAAACTGGATGTTTATCTTCAACCCAGAGACGTGTGTTTCAATGATAATTAACAAACTTTTATCTTAGCTTTTCCAAAACTTGTTTGTGCGCTAATTAAACGTTTTTGAATGCACTTGGATTGCGTTGTAATTTAGTGTTACGAACACTTTTCGATAACGGCACCATCTTGAGTTTGAATACCAAGTAGACCCCAAGAATGCAAATAGGATAATGTTACTTCAGAGTTTCTCCGGTTTCACGTACCAAACGAAACTTATAAGCTTAGTGTGGTTAAGTAGAATAAAATAAATGAAAACAAATTTTTCATTTTCTGGGCCGTTTATTTACTGTTGTGACTTAACTTTATGTCAAAAGTACATTTTTTGCATCAACCAAAGCACATAATTAAAATTGTCTTTAGTAGGGCAGTATGTGAATAAGTGAACCAGTCACACAGTTTTCCCTGACATTAGGCACATGAAGATCATTTACATTATTTACTTAATAGATCCGCATCCCATCCGGGATAAGGGGGATTGGTAATGCCCCCAGTCGCTTCATGCTACAGAAACTCGGGTAAGTTCCAGCCGGATGGCCCTCTTGGTTTGAGTGTCGACTTTACCTTTTTCTATCTTACACTAGTTAGAAATAATTTTCAGTGGTGTCGTCATGGTTACGTAATTTTACACAAATATCAATTCGTTGTAGGCAGAACTGTGATCGTAAACAAAGTCTTTAAGATGATCAGCCTTTGTCGCGTTACTGAGCTCACAAAGGCGAGTTGGTGCGTGGAAATTAAACGAGTAACACAAGCTGTGTTTGATGCACATGAACGCGCATTCCAGATCGTCTGCTGTCACGCGTGACACTACAGTATGCTGAAGGAGCGAGTGTTGCGTGATCACCGGGTGGATGATTGCGTTCGAGGTTCTGGCAACTTGAAGGTAGAACAGCAGAAATACAATTTGAGTGAAAGGAGAAAACATAATGATTTAATTAGTATTCTTTATTGATGAAATGTAGAATTAATCTGTCATGAGCGCCAGTCAACCAAGGTCTCCGTTACTTAGTCGTTTGCCCTCAGGTGGCAATTACTCGAGCACCTCGTCAATAAACAAAGGATTATGGGTAATTCCGCGCCGGGGACTCTGAGTCTTTCATTCATCTCAGAACTCGTACGACAATTCGCAACTTTTCGTAACCATACTTTTCCACGCAAACATTTTAGAATGATAAGAAGCAGTATAAAAACAGTTAGTCTGGGTATTGGCAAAAGAAATTCTTTTTCTCCTTAATTATTTTACCCTGTTTTTCCATGTATGGATACACTACCATCCAATTTTTCGATGGACGCTCTCGCATTTGAGACAAAAATTTCATCATTTGCGCTCCTCCGAATGCTAAAAGTTTTTGGTATCGATTACGTAACCATCCAATCAATTATTTCAGTTAGGCGGTAAATTTGATTTGTTCAAAAGAAAATAGAGAATACAACGCATATCTTCACGCACAGGAATGAGGGTTTAGGGACGGGGAGGGGTGACTGACCTGCACAAAGAGCCAATGCAATGTCTGAAGCCTTATCCGAGGGTAACATTTGCCTCACTGAGGAGAAGAGAAACACGTATTGCTCCATAGAAACCATAGCTTTTAATTCGGTCATTTCGATCCCGGAGCCAATTCCCAATGCAAAGATCACTATTCCGTCGTCCTTTAGGTATTGAGCTTGCTTTCTTGTCAGCTCAGCTGGGAAAAACATTGCGAATGAATATAAACAAAACTAATCATGAAATACGTTATATATAGCGATACTAGTTTATCTCAAATAGCGATACTAGTTTATCTATAAGTAATTGTTCTTGGCTGTGCACTGAATGAGGAAGATGGTAAATTCTGATAGCAGTCGTCGAATGGACAAATATGTTGTTCGTATTGTCACAAGCGTGGGGCAAATAACTTAGGGGGAGGGGAGGGGAGTCCAGCGTTTTTCAGATCCTTATAAGGCTTTGTAACATTCTAACGATGCCTACATAATGGCAGTCAATTGGCAGTCAACTTTTTATTGTCGACGTCCCCCTTTATACTCTATTGGTTACGACTGACCCCCCTTCGGCCTCCACGAAAAGCAGTTTTTATTTTTGAAATATTTTTATTAATGTTATTGTAGTCAGGAAGATAGTCTGGTATATTAATTGACTGATGAAAATATCGTGTATAAATAAATTTATCGAATCGTATCGTATCGTAAAAGCATGTGATCCCACCAAAATCCTAATTAACTATGCTACAGATACTCGAATAAGCTTGATTTTTAATGAATGGCCCCTTGGTAATGGCCCAACTGACCAACGAGTTTCCTTAGCTCAGTAGTAGAACATAGGTGCAAAAGTGGTTTTGAAGTTCATAGTGGATTTCTCATGTGGGACCACGAGATTCTAGTCTCTTGGTGGGACTCACACATTTTCATACTGCCCATCATTCGTGGCAAAACGAATAACATAATTCGCTTGCTTATTTGTTTTCTCACCATTATAACTTTTTCCATCAGTAATCACTAATAGAACGTGTGGCACATTCGTCCTCATTCCACCCTGAGCAGAGAACAAATCTATGTGGACTTTGTTGAGGCCAAGATGGGTGTGTGTAGCGCCGCTTTGATAGGTAATGTTAAGAACAGACGGTTTTATTGCGTCCACGGTTTGCTTAGATGTGAATCTTATCTCTGTTTGCGCCTGGGTACTAAAACTAACCACACCCACATGTGTGTCTGATGATTAAAAAGGAAGAAATATATTTACGACTTTGTTGCTTTCCTAAAAAGGTGTTAAAAATTAATTACATAATGAAAGAAACTTGAAAAAAAGAAAAAACAGTTTGTTAGATGGTAAAGAAACACAGATGAAGTATTTATAAACCAAAGCGGAAAGACGAATGTAGAGGATGATTAAGATTTATCCCAAAAGACATTAAACTCTTTTACTGCATTTTTCTCTACAATGCACAAACCATGGCGTGGCCCTAATATCTCAGTACTATATAGTCTAAATAGTCTTCTCGCCCTAATCTTCTTGAGAGGCGCCTAGGGGGGATTAAGGCGAGGAGGCAATTGGCCCATGGGACTATGAGTTATCTTTTTGGTTGTGGAGTCGTAGCAGGTCGAGGTCAGGTCAACAATGCAATAACCAAACTGGTGAGGTCCTAAACAGTTTAAATAAAGTTTTTAAGTAACTAGCTGAAATAATATTTGCTTACCTTTTGGAGATATGTAAAAATGATCAATGACTTCGTTGATAAATCTTTTCATGTCCAAGTAATTGTTTTGTCCAATGCTGCCAGATGAGTCAAGGAGGAACGCCACATCCATTGCAAAAGGGCAAACTGAGTGAAACAAAAATGTAAGATAAAATTTCCAGCTAAAACGACGACAACAGCAACAGTAGTAGCTGCAACAACGGCAGCTTTACAATCTTTGCCATCATTTCTATTTCCATAGGGGAAAAAAAAGCAAAAAATTAATTAAGCTGTGAATTTTGGACACCTGCCTTACTCTAGGAGCAATTGACAGATCGGGGCTTCAGGGCAAAAACCGGAGGTAGAAAGTTCTAGAGACATGAATTGCAAAGTTCATGGAGATATGAGTCATATAGAGATTTGAGTCATTTTTTTTAACGGTACTTTCTAGGTGCGACCCTGTGCAAACTCGGCTCTATTTTACGTTGCCGTAATTGACACACGTAAAGTTGAATACCATGGATAAGAAAAAAGAAATATGGACAAATAATTAACGAAACCGTTTCATTGTAGGCTACAACAATTATTTTTTTTGCATTATTTATTGTCTGTCTTGTCTGATTAGAATATAGCCACAATTTGTCTGCGGGCAGCTCGGATCTCTTACATAACTTATCTAATAGGGAAAGTTTGTAAATTCTTATGTATTAATTGGCGTTATTTGGTAAACTTTATTTTAACCTTGAACTAAAAAAATCTAATGATAAAACAAATAATGGCGCATGATTATCTGTTTCCGACAAGTTCCAAAGAGTAGACGGAAGTTTTTAGACTTCGTCCGCGTTGTCCTCTCATGCAAATTTTTAGGTTCCTTAGCGAGGGAACGTGATGCGTACGGAAGAAAAATGCTTATAAAACGATGAGCTGATTAGCAAGCTGATTCTGAATAAGTTCAAGAATTAACTGATTCATCTCACCTGCAGCATGTGTGGTTAGAAATGACACCTGCAGCTGCAAGAGAAGGGGAAGACAAAATTAGCTTATTCACGCAGTTTTTCCGTATTTTAACATTCTCCCCAAGCTGAAATCGGGGATGAGAGAGCCACGAAAAATGTATTAAATTCGATGAATTAGTTTGTTTGACCAGTGTTCTGCAGTGCATTAACTAAATACAGTTCAGTAATAAATGCTCTCTTCTTACCACACAGTACATTTAAAAACACTGTTTACCGCCCGGCGAGAAGGCAGACGGCTTCCTCAGTGATCATAATAAACGATGTTCATAACTGTCCGTTGGTCAGTGGATTGATCCCCGCACTTAACTCTTAACTAGGTCTCCCAATACTTATTCTGGTCCGAAACCATCCTTAATTTTCTTTAAAAAAAAAGCCATGATAGTTTTCGATAGAAAAAGATGTTTAGACAGTACTCGACATTACGCGACTCTGAGCATTAGTCACACTGCTTTGGCTTCAACTTGAAGCAGAGCAAAAAGGGAGAAAAATATTGACAATCAGTCTGCATTTTCATCAATCATCAGCTTGAGTAAGTCCCCTGATTTTTCCTTCACTAATTGTGTTAAAGAAAATATTCAATTGCTTATCCCTGTACTGACCTGCAAAAGGAAGACTGCCTTTTTCACAATCATGTTTGGTTCTCGTTCTTGCTTTTCAACGAATTTATCAATGTTGACGAGTTTCTTGTAAAATTAAATAAACACATTAGTGGTTAGCCTTTGTGCCGGATCATTGCAGCGCAATACAGCTGTCTCGAACGAAGGAAACCAAGAAAGGCGCTTTAAAAGGTGTGAATTAAAAATTATATGTTTGTCCTCGCAAATGGACACCTATCAATTTCACATGCGACAGTTCATTTAGCTCTCTATGACGTATCAAGTTAGCCCCTCAAGCAGTTTCCTGGAGTCGAGGCTGTTATGCAATGTGAATCAAGATGGCGGTCACCTTGTTTAAAGGTTTGTTGTTTTTGTTGGTTGTTTGCTTAAAAAACTGACTGATTTTGGCTCTAATTCTTACATGATTATATTTCTAAAACGCTTAGTTATTTTCCCACCCTTTTTTGTTTCATTTTGAGCGGTTAATATGGCATTTTGACGAATTATTTGACGTCGTCTGATTTTTAACGTAAACGGCCAGCCGTGATTACGTATAGCATTCATATTGATTGCTGCACTCAGAAGATGCGCGGGTTATAGGTACACATGCTGGGTGATTTATTTTCTTTTAGGAGCATAATTGTATGTATTTTTGTTATCTATTTATTGTATGGGTATAATTTTAATTATCTAAATTTGATGGTGACTTTATGCCTACTTGTATAAAACGCGTACTGTTCATTAGATGAAGGCACTTGACTTTTGAATTATACACTGTAAACAGTGCTCTACATGCCATCCTAGAGGTAGCTGGTGTGGGATGGTACTGATTGAAATTTTTGGAAAATGAACCTTTCAATCTTGAATTTTAAGGGGTTTAAAGCTCAAAGGAAACCAGATTGTTTTCAGGAACGTGTGTATTATTGTTCTTTCACTGTTGAAATATCAGTTGTATAAGTCTATATGTCTTAGTAGAGTAATTATATAAGCAGACTCTTCATAGCCAAAAGTCTTCATTTATGCACATATCTTCATGTTAAAAAAAAGTGTTGCCATTAGAATATGTCAGTATTATCTTAACACTATCCATTTCTGAGGGAAAATATATTACATATTATGTAACTTTGCAACATTTGTATCTGTCTCTTTGACTCATGTGTTTTTTTTGTCAGGTCGCAATGGTTTGCCTGCTCTAAGTCATGGATTCTTCAACAGTGTAATGCTTTGGAGGGCAGGACCTCAGGGGTTAGTGATATCTAAAAGATACCTGGAAATTTCATTGACAGAACAGACTAAAAGTGCCCCTTAGACAAAATGGTGCACAAAATGTTCTGTTGCCTGTTTTTTCCAAGAGTCTTACCTCAGGTGGAAAAAACTTGTGATAGCCATGTTATCAGTGATCATTCACTGAAAGTTTTCATAAGTTTCTACTGGAAACTTAAGTAGTAAAACAGTGCAAAATGTTTGGCAGATACATTGTATCTAAAGAATTATTTAGATACTGGGAGAGTATGGAATGACAACTGTTGTATTTTGTGTGGAGATTTTTGAGGAGGACTGTACTTTTTATTGGTCTAAACATTTGCTCTCTCTTGTAAATTTTCAAAATTGCAAGTGTTTCTCTTTCCTTTGAAATATTTAAAACTTAGTTGGATGCAAAGACCTTATAAAATCTCAGTATACAGGTAGGTGACATCTCTAGATGACATCTCTAGATGTTTTGGTTTGGACTTTCTTTAAATTTTTTTTTCTTCACATTTTTCTCTAGGCTTATAGCTGCTAACAAAAACCAGAGTATAACCACAGGCTTTTCTGCCAAGCCTAAAGGAAAAATTGACAATGCTGCAGGTAATTACAGTGTATATTATTTAAAGTGTGGTGAAATTAACATGTTTTCTTGTTCAGCTTTATCAAAATTTATCATTTTTAAGAAACTTTTCGTTCCTTTTCCAACATTTGGTTCAATGAAAATGAGCCAAATGTTTAACCCTTTAACTCCCATGAGTGACTGAATCAAAATTTCTCCTCACAATATCAATACAATATCAACCAGATAAGTGATGAGAATAAAGAAAAATATCAATATGAGGATAATAAGTTGATCCAATACTGAATTCTCTGAACAAACATTATAAGAATTTTATGGTTGACAGTAAGAAGAAACACAAATTTGATCTAGGAGTTAAAGGGTTAAAACACAAGTTTTGTGACTGTTATAGCCACTAAATGTAAGTAGATTTGGTACCAGAATCAACACAAGACCAGAAACCTTGTGTCCTGATCATTACAAGGAATGCTTTAAATGAGTTGCTCAATAACTTCTTTTTTTTGCTCCACTATAACCTTTCTGCAGAATTTGTCCTAGCCACAATTGATGATATAGTGAACTGGGCTCGCAGGGTAAGACTGAGTGAAAAGATTTGTACAAGTGCATGTTGTGAACACAGTGATAAGAATATGTTTCTTTATCTTTTTGCTGTCTTAAGGTGTTTATCGGTATCAATGTAACAGAAAATTTTAGTATGTATATGGCTACACCACCATTGTAGTTTGATATTTTGTAGTTGATGCATAGATATAGTACTATAGACTGTACAGCAACTTACAGCTTTGGATTTGTTTTCTAACAGCTACATGTATATACACTTTGCTTTTGATATTGCATTGTGTTAATATCCTTTCTTTTGCTTTCAGGGCTCCTTGTGGCCAATGACATTTGGTCTTGCCTGTTGTGCTGTGGAAATGATGCATTTTGCTGCACCCAGGTATAAAAAAAAAGAAGATTGTGTTTTATATTATTTACCTTTTGATAAAGACAGTAGTAGTAGTAGTGATAATTGACTCTGAGACCTGTTTGTACTTTTCTTTAGGTATGACATGGATAGGTTTGGTGTTGTGTTCAGAGCAAGCCCTGTAAGTATACATACAACAATCATTGATATCATGTGCTACCATTTTAATAGTTGTCTACACTGAACACTTTGTTTTAATTGACACATGTTACAACTTCTGCCATACATTGTTGACTGTTATTTTTTAAGATATGAAATACATGTAGATGATATTTGAGTTAGGTTATTCAAATTACCATTTAGTTAATATGTCATAGTATGACTTCAGAGTGGTGAAAAACTTGATAGAAAGTTAGTCAACACTTTGGAAGGCACAACCAAAGAATACTCATCAGAACTACATGTACATCACATATGGGCCAAGTGTAAATTTATGTACATTTTTCAACCCTTAGCAGTTCTTGGAAACAATCTCTTTTACTTTGTGGCTGGAATTTAAGTTAAAGGCTGTGTTGCTGCAATCTATTTTTGTTAATGTAGGGCAATTGATAAAAAAAAAATAGTTGGGTATTACTGAGACACCTTAGAGTGATCTACAGCTGTACATGTAGCTTATCAATGTTCATTTTTATATCATGCTTACCATTCTCTAAACTGTTGCTTTGGGCAGCGTCAAGCAGATGTGATGATTGTGGCTGGAACTCTGACAAATAAAATGGCTCCTGCTCTGAGAAAGGTACTTGTAGATGCAATGGTCCATGGTGGTGAAAAATATTTTTTGAAGTAGTTGTATGGTAGATATGTAATATTCTTGGTTTGACTTTTTTTCATTTAGAATCTTTAAGAATACGTGCATACACATAAAATGTATACACTTTTCAAAATCTAAGTGACAGTTGCATGGTAGTTGTTACAAACTCAGACAAGTAATTTGCACAACTGATTACTGCGCCAATTACTGTAGAACAGTAGAAGTGCTGGATTAGTCAGGCTTTGTTATAGTGAAACTGATTCTCTGTAGATGTTTCTAAGCCACTTCATATTCACCCACTACTTGATCCTTGTTTCAGGTCTATGACCAGATGCCTGAGCCTCGCTGGGTTATCTCAATGGGAAGGTATGAGGTGACATTTTTCTTGTGGTGTGAATGGTTTTTGTGTTACTGTATAATTTTCTGGTGGGTCATTAAGACGGCAATATTAACGAGGAGTTGAGAGGGCCAGATTTTAGCCCTGGCAGGGTCATTGTTTTGTGTTCTTGTGCAAGATTCTTTGTTGAGCTTAGTCCATCCTGTGTATGGGAGGCCAGTCCTTTGCAGGCTATGCCCAGCCTTTCCTCTCCCCCCTCCCCCCTTTCTTCAGCATTTTTATTGGCTTCCCAGACGGATCACCATCACCCACTAGATATGGTTGGGAAGAGGTACTGTGACAGTACAGTGTCTCATACAATGACACGGCAGCTAGATCCAGTGCACTAACTGTTAGATCACCGTTTCTATTAAGGAGTCTAAATGGCATACTCGTAACCTATGATGGACTTACGTCACATCCAAGGAGAGAAGCAGAACTCTTACTTAAAGGCATATCTTGTCACAGAAACCCTGATAAGCTTCTCTGTCTTACAGTTAAGTTAAACTTTTGATGTCTCCATTTGATGATATCTGCTTTTGCTTTCTCATCTGAACAGCTGTGCAAATGGCGGAGGTTACTATCACTATTCCTACTCGGTTGTCCGTGGCTGTGACAGGATAGTTCCAGTAGATATTTACGTCCCAGGCTGTCCTCCCACAGCAGAGGCTCTGCTGTATGGAGTGTTACAGCTGCAAAAGAAGATTCGCCGCAGTGAGCCTATCAGAATGTGGTACCGCAAATAAGGTTAGTACATAATAAGATATTTCTGTTAGATGCCCGAAAAGCTTCCCTTTTTTTTTTTTTTTTTTTTTTTTTTTTTTTTTAAACCCCTTTAAACCATATCATCAGTATGCATATTCTCCTCAGTGTTCTCTATACATTTCCGAAGGTGTTGACCAAGAGAATTTGTCAAAGAATGAAGAGTTTCTTTAATTGGTGATCATTTCCTTTATTCTCGTGACCTTAGTGTGTGATTCAACTACTATACTGTTAGGAGAAATTAGACGCTAGTCACTTTTAGGTGTGAAAGGGTCAAGAGAGGCACCTGTCATCGATTGAATAATAATAAAATTCAAAGCCAGTGAATCCTCTAATGATTTCCCGTAATCAATTCAAAATTGCTTTCTGCTTTTCAATCAAAGTTTGTTCCGATCGTATGTTATTTACATTCATTCTTATTTTTGATTTTGCTTCAGGTTTTCGCTGCTTCCCGTTTTGATCCTTTGCTGTGTGATTGTTGGTTTAAAATTCCTTTTTTTACTGTACATATAATGTAAAAGCGCTTGTCGCTCGCAATTTACAGGCTTTGACATTGAAATTTCTGATTTCACAAGTATTGCAATCATTTCCTGCCCTAATTTCCATATCACGGATATTGTGCAAGAGGTAACGAGATCGAAATGACTGTCTAACTGAGATAGGAAAGTCTAGATGTTGCCCTTTGTTTGACAGGTAGAATTGTTCAGAACTAGGAATTCGATGTATGGTGTTTCAATCCTCGGAGAAAAGTGAAAGTAAATGATATTAAAGCCTATTTGTATGATTGGTGCTTTATTTGAATCGTTTTAAGACGGATGGCTCTGTATTTTTTCTTCAGTTGGGTTACCCTTGGTTGCTCTAAGGAGAGAATGTGACGAAAAGGCAGGGAAATTGAAGCTACAAAAATTTTTTTAAAACTACGGATCTGATACTTATGAAAGCTGGTTTCTGATCACTTTATTTATTATTTTTTTTATCGATGACGAGAGGAATTTTATATCCCATCCCGCATTTTTTTTAAGGCTGTAGAATTACGTGAGTTTGCACTGCCTTGTCCTAGTTGTTTTCAACCGTGCGTACGTGTTGTAAGTGTCCACCGTTTCCTGTATGGCTCCGGAAGGCACATTGGGGGAAAGCTGTCTCTGAACAGGCTTTTAAATAACCTGCTTTAAATTAAAGAACAAATATGATAATGCTAGATGCACTATCTTCAGATTTTCAGTGTTATTTTATTGTTGTTGCGTATGTTCTTTGCATTGAGGACGTTTTTTCTCATGATTTGAATAATAATAAATTCCGGGCGCCATTTTGGAGTAAGGAAGGTCTAATTCCGCCCACTAATGTGGCGATCTTGAAGGCTCGTAATGAAAAGTGAGGCTTGATGCTCTATTGTTGAAAGCGCCATTCAGTGTGCTGTTCTTAGGTAGCGAAGATTTTCTACTGATTCCAAGCATCATAAACCTCAGCCCTTTGCGGAAACTGGGAAGACGCCATGCGTACAGGAATGGGTTGATGGCAGAATTGCAGATGACGCAGAGAAATGAAGTGTCCCTCAACCAGTGGATTGCCTCGCATGAGCAGTTTGTACATAAATTCATGATGTATATTAGAAGGCAAGGTGTCGCGTAGCAGATAGCGAATAGGATCAGGATGCAAGTAAACGTGGAAGTCAATTTTTCCTCGAATAATGTTGCTTTCTGATTCGCAAAGCAGAATCCTCGAAGTGTTTCCTGTCGGAGTTTTTTCCTGCTTTGGATAGTCTTGATAATTTTGAAATAAGCGTAAAGGAGAGAGCACAGAGTCACCAAAATCACGACGTTGGCAAATAAAAACGAAAAGGTGCGATAGCCCATTGCGAAATAAGGACTTAAAAACACGGGCGATAAAATCCAAATCATTCCCGAAACCACGAATACTCTGAAATGGTTCACATTTCGTCTGTATTTTAAGGGTTTTGCGATCGCGAAGAATCGCTCGAAGGTAAGCGCCATGATGCTTAGAACGGAGACAGTGCAAGGCAAGAAGTACAGCAAATGCAGTAACCTGACAAAACTTGTTGAAGAAAGAGCTCGAGCTTCCATGAGGTGATACACCACTGACATAGGTTCTGTTGTTATTCCGACAAGAACGTCGGTCATGGCGAGGTTGACGATGAAATATGTGAATGGTGTACGCAAGTTTTTAAACTGGGGTGGACATTTAAGAATGACAAGACACACCAAAACGTTGCAAGGAACAGTCACGACTGCCAAGAGTGCAGATATAGCGGCAGTGAAAGAAGACAATGAGGTTGGTGGAGGAACCGTCATACATTTGTCTTGGCCTTCCGTCGCGAACATGGTCGACGAACTACTCAAAAGCTTCAAGCTTAAACTTCACAACTTTTTAAGTTATTAAATTTGTTACCAGACGTGCGAGTTTCATGAGAACTGTTTTCCTTGTCCTCAGCGGGATGTTTATTTAGTCCTGAAAGTAAAAAAAAATAGAGTATATCTTGATATTGCGTTTCCGTTATCAAAGGCTTTTTTTTTTTTAGCCGCCAATGCAGAATCAGATCCATATCCTGATATCTCAATTAATAAAAGCGGGATTTCTGCCCCGGAGGTACCCTATCTCGTGGGCTTAAAACAGAAAGAACGCATTTCTAAGGGATGATTTGTCTAAGAATTGTGATCCTAAATTTCACGTCTCTTAAAAGACGCTTTCATAAACATCTAAAACTTCAAAGACAGTCACTTATGTTGAAATTGACACTTTGGCGCTTGTAAGAAATTTCAGATTGACTATTCCTTTTACGATGTTGATAATGGTAATTAATATGAATGCATTTTGGAAACTTTCACCGCTAGAACATTCAAAAGGGTATCTTGATATAAATCTATTTTTGTTCGAAAACGTGCAGCAAAACTTGTTCATTCAATGTCGTCTAGAGGAGGGTGACTTGGTGAATAGGAGAACTTCACAGCAATTGGATTTCGTCAGCTTCGACAAATTAAACTAAAAAATTAATTATTCGCGAACGTGATGCTAGCTCCTCAACCTTCCTTACGCCAATTAGAAACTTTTAAGATGAAATCAAACTAAAATTTTAAATATCCTTCCCTTAATTAACAAACGTTTTCTATCCGCGAGTACTCTGGAAATTTGCTTTTCGAACTCGAATACCTGGTGAGTATTTGTAGTTTAAGAAAAGACGTTTCCGACTGACGAAAATTTCCGTCAAACTTTAATTGATATCTGACGTCTCAGATAGCGAAAAGTACGTTTTAAGTCGGAAATAGTCCTCGTGATGCTTAAATTCACGTTTTTGGGTTGTTCAGCCACAAATTTAGTTCGACGTGAGCCTTAAGGGTGTTTGTTCTTTAAAAAAAAAAAAGACAAATCTGGCTTAAGACGCACGAATCGTGACGTAAGCGAGTTCACGCTCTTACTGTCATTAGCTTATCTTGCATTTGCAGCATTAAATTTCTAGAATAACATAGCGCTAAGAAATGATAGATGTTGATGTGATTAAAAACGAATTCAACTTGCAAGAACTACTTCAGTCTATATGTCCTTACCCTTCAGTTCATTTTAATGGTGATGAGAGCTGCCAAGTAATTTGAACGCAGCTGTTCTCGTCGTAAATGTTTTTCGTTTCTTTTCCTTCCCGCAAAACTTTTAAATCATCGGTTAATTTTTCGAAAAAAAGAATGAATCCTTGATTACCAATGGGATGAAACCTCCCTTGACCTACAAAATCTGTAATCATTTATCACGGATAACAGTCTTACAGCAATTGAAGCAAAAATGGAGTGGAAGCCCTTTTGGTGATTTTTGAGTGCAGGTTTACTCTTGTACGAGGAAATGTTGTAGGAATTATATTTCGCTTATTAATATTGAAGATTTGAGAAAGAATTTTTCCAGGCAAATTTCAATGGGAGCGTGGTAAGATTTGGGATCCAATAAACTCCATCATGTTCTTTCTATTAAAGCCATCTATTTTGCAATACAAACCTTTTTTTTTGTGATCGATGGCCTTACTTGAATTAGTCATACGGGAACATTGTTTATTTCGTGTGCCAGTACGTAAACAGGCCTAAAGCGATAAGAGTAAAGAATAATTGTGATGAAAAAAGGAAAAATTTTGTTTCATGTTACACGCATTGTTTTTAAAACTGAACGGTCTGTGAACTGATTGACCTGCGTGTGCATGCGCACGTTTGGCCTATAAGGTAGTCTCCTTTTCAAGATCATACTTCTAATCACAGCTACGAGTATTTTTATTTCAAGTTACCATGAAAAAAATACTAAGCTTTTGTAGCGTGTCTGTTTTCCTCTTTGTAGTGTTGTATTTTATGTCATGGCTCACTTGTTTGGCCGCTTACCTTTGAGTTGTTGCCGGAGTAATCGGGGTTTTCCCGCATCAACTTGCTAGGAGCTTGTAAACTTTCTGTCACGAATAATCGAGCATCTTCCCTCTTTCCCAGTTAGGCATCGCTTATTATAATCCACCCCATTATAATCCATCTAAAGCTACTTTACGTCACGTGGTAAAAATTCACCGGAGAGTTATCACGTGATAACCCTTGCCTACGTCGATATTTGCCCTTAATAGAGGTGAAAATGCGATTATGAAGCGGAAACAAATCCGGGATTTAGACAAGCGACCGCTCAATAAGGGATGACTGCTTAGTACAGTGCGGTCTCGATTGGTTCTGGAAAGAACAAAAATGTGAAGCAATTTGTTGTTAACGCGCGATAGGAAAATTAATGGGCCCGGGAGGGTTATAAGATAATTAATCAACTTCCCCATATTTCTCTTAAAATAAAGACAACAACAACTTTGTGTGGCTGAAAATGGGAAAGTGGGTGACAAGGTGTTCAGTTAAAAGTTTTTAGCCTCATGGACCCCTAAATTAACAAGAAAAAACTCTAAAACGAGATGACGATGACTGGATGACGAGAAGGGAGTTGGTCTTCTTGCAGGGTCACTGCTAGCATTACTTGGTAAAGAGGAGGGAGCTGGGCCTCCTCTCTGACTGGAGGGAGTGGGCGTCCATAAAAAAAAAAAAGTCCAGGGGGTAGAGATTGGATAGAAGTGGGCCTCTGAAAAGCGGCATTCCCCCATTGACGAACCCCAAAGAAACTGAAAGGCTACAAAAACGAGAAAAGAAAAGCATGCAAGGATGATGCAACGTTACAATTTTAATGTATAACATAGCTCTCCTGGAAAATCCAGCGCTTTTCCATGCTGTTATGACCCCATGATAAAGCTCACAGAAATAGTTCGCTGTTAGTAAAAACCGAGCTTGTAGAGTCTGAACTTTCGCTGTTGCCGTGGTGGCATTTAAAATGGTTAGCTCATCAAACACTTTGGGTTAAAACAAAGTGACAATTAACTAAACTCATGATGTGATACTACGGAATGATTTGAAGTAGGAGACGTAGTAAAAAGATGTCTATTTTTTTTCGTTATGGGTAATACGTCATCAGAAGCGTGCCACACTGCTACGACGGCCAACAGTGATAGGAAACAGGTTTTATCATATCTGAAGAAATATTGAAAACTGTGATAAAAAAAAGCAGATGAAGGGAATTCGGCATAATTTTAAGTCATACGTTCAAAGTCACCATTCAATTTCACGAGTAGATCACTTGGTTCCTTCTTTGCAGTTTATTATATTTTAGCAAGTGTTACAGTTGCTCATGTCTTGTGGTCAGTAAATTAATCGATATGTCAATGCAGTCATCAGTCTCCGTGCTACCAACATATGACTTAATCAGCGGTGACACAAGATAAAAACCCAACCCTTGACCAATCACAACTGCGATGAACAGCCATGTGCTGCATGTCATAGTGATCAGCATCAGGAAATAAGCGAAAGATAGCTCCGCTCTAAAAAAAGACACTTCTTTAAAAGCTGAATGAAGGCTTCTGACCTGAAAATTGTATGTTTTTGGTTCATGAGAAGGAAAAAAAACGTATTGCCTCAAAAAGGGGACATGTTCAAAAAAGCTAAGCTTTGGTATCATCTTCACATCATGAAAAAAGATTTTGCGCATCAAAATTCCATAAAGTTTACTTTCCGTCAATCTTGCCCCTTTTTTATTTTTGTCTGTTTTGTGGAAGTTCACTAATATTTGTAGTGTTGTACAAACATCGGAAAGACACATTATTTCTTTTACAAATGACTTCTGATTTTTGTCATAGGGCGCCGTGTAACTGAAAAAGCGCCTTGAAAGTTAAAAAAAAGTCTCATTTAATGTCCTCGGAATATATCCTATTTTTCATCACAGTCACTCTTCCATTCTGGTCTTTAATGGGTGATCGTAGATGCACGTTTAATCCTTTTGCGCATTCGTATAGCACAGCCAGCGCCAGAACTGCTACTATGGAGCCGCTAACGCCTATAAATAAATAAATATATATATTTGAAAACTGTATATAGCAGTTTTCAGAAAATTTACAATTTGAAAATATACACGAAATATAAATATCTTTTGTTTTCTCATCCAAAAAAGACACTTTTTGATAAGAAAACAAAAGATGTCTATATTTCAGATTATTTTCCATACATGTATATATATATATATATATATGTATATTCAATATATACAATATGATCAATATATACAATATGATCCCACAATTGTGGTTTCATCCAAGCCATACCAGAGGGCTCGAATTAGATAAACTAGTGAGAATGCACAATGGTGAGACATGACTCTTCCTAGATAGAGCGCTTAATTTGAAAATGAAAGCAAAGCTTTGTAATAACAAAGAGCCATATCTAACTGCAGAGTCATATCTAACTCCGGCTCAAACTTGATGCCAGTTCTACAAGATACTTTGAGGTAAATGTCTTGATACAGTTGCAATCAAGTTGTGCGTGTTTTTCGGAGGTAATTCACAAAAAACTGATCGAAATTAAAGCATTAAAAATGATAAATCAAGAAAGTAAACCGAAGAAAGTTTAAAAGGAGAGAAAATAATTTTTATCGTGAAAAATGGAGGGGGGGGCAGGAATTTTTGCAGGAATTTTTATATTTATATATGTAAATTATTTATCCGATATGATCCAACGTTATGTGGTGAGATGCAAAGGAAAAGTTGAGACAGCGAGGAAATCGCTTTAAAAATCTTATCAATATGTTCGACCTAAAATGCATCTGTTCTGGCTGAACTAACGGACACATGTGCGGTCCTGACCAATTTGAGGCATCCGTCTCACTCAAGAGCTCGTGCCTTCCAATCCAATTGGAAGCACGCGCACGCTTACTTATAGAATTGTGTGTTCCTCACATAGTCTGTCGATCTTAAACCAGATATTTTCTTGGAGGTTTACCCTTGGCAAGTGTACAAAGCAAAATATGAAAAGTTTTTCCTCGATATGCCCTCTTTTCTGAACACAAGTACTTTCTTGTCTCAACAACAAAATTTTCTCTATTCCCATTCCTTATGGCGATTCTTTTCTCCTAGGCCCAAAAGAGCTTGGAAAGCTTCCATTCGTCAATGCATACCACGTGCACTTGACTGATAGTGATTAGCATACATGCATAGGCATAACGACATTGAATAATACATATTGACGGTCACGTTATTGCAATGCATTGAACAAGTGTCACTAATTTTTGTATGCGAGCGTTTTGGAAGCGATTCTAAAAATATACTTTTACGGGTACCTTTGGTGAGACGAAAGCGTAAAGGAATTCCGTAAGGTTTATTTCTAAACCTACCAATATCCGTTCTGTTCTCAGACTGATCATGAAGTATAAATGAGTTTACTAACCTTTCATTGTAGTAACTCCATTGTTGAAAAAGTATAGATATTTGACGAAGTTCGGTATTAAAGTACATCTGAAAAGTCAGAAGCAGATAGGGGACAGATATAGCTTAAGTATAAAATCAAAACTTAATACCACGTGCGTATTGAAGAATTAATCTGTGCTTTTCTGATGTAAACGCATAAATATGCTGTATTACGGTTTACTAATGATCCTCAAGTTTTAAAAATCATTATTTTCAATCTGTGTTACTTCTGTCTTCGACCATTTCAGATTTCTTTTTTTGTTGTTCCACGAGATGCATCGGTTACAAGTTTATTAATTGCCAGTCATATCTTACACAATACTCGACCTTGGATTACATTTAACTATTACATTATGAGCCTAAGATTTCTATCGCGTGATAGATGTCGAGAACGAAACCTGAATCAGCTAACACAAGATGTATTCTCTTGGCTATTATGAATACAGATCGAGAGTGAATAATCTTATTATTTTAACGTAAATCTACCAGTCGTTCAAGACATTCTGTTGCAACAAGAAAGGCTCCTATTTCATTTTACATACAACCAAACAATGTTATACTTCTTACTTTTCTCTTTATCTACAGTGAGTAACGTAACCAAGAGAGGTACAGTGATACATGGCATCATTTTTGGAAACGTCGTTCATCTGTGAAACTTTTAGCGTTGGCTTTGTCGACAGTTTTAAGTTAAAGTGATGGATCGTAAGATTTTAATCAATTTGCGTTTAGCTGTCTTATAGATGACAGTCATTCCTTCAAATTGACCTGAAAATAAACCCAAGATGGAAAATATCAACGCAATTCTTTCATCAATTTCCCGATCGATAGACTCAATTTAGTGACTCCCTTCTCTAGATGTAAAATTGTTGCGTGCTATAACGACGCACTTTCGAATCCGTTCCTTTTCAGCGTTTCATAGCAGGTTAGTTGAAGTTAAAATTGTCATCATCAGTTCTCAGCGTTATTTCATAAACCTCAAATACATTAGAAAGGAGTTGGATGTGATTATGCACACTTCTTCGTTCTGCTTCTTCTAGATAAAACTGAAATTCAAAGTTGTTATGGATAACATGACTGCAGTGAAATGAAGATGATATTATAATATACCTCCTCACATTTGAACCTTTCAGTTGTCTACATTCATTTGGTGATTGAAAAAGACGTCATTTACCTCGCTGAACTTGATTTGACCAATTCGCTTTTCTTGTCTCTGGCACTAGTTTAGTTTCTTTCGTATATTTTCACTTTTTTTTCTATTTCTGCCTTTAAGAGTTAAACTCATTCCGGAGGGGGAACTGATATTTTCGGTCAAATTTCTTATCAATATATAAATGCTTTTCAGACGTTTGTTTATCAGCAGGATCGATATAACTATATAATGCATGCAGTACGTACTATAAAAAGTAAACGTAATGATCCGGTGCAATACACAGCCCAAGAAACTTCCTAGTTATATATTGTCACAATTCCTAACAAATAATACGCATTGTTACCTCGCATATTCAAAAGGAGTACGACACAAGATTCTCTAGTATTTTAATAGGCTTATAGGAACAGACATAAACTACGCAGTAGAAATCGCTTCAATCTGGATGTCATGAAACTGTAGTACTGTTAAAGGCCTTTTGTAGCTACCTTACTGTATGTATTAATTATTCAATTAAGATGTGAGATCTTAAACCAAACGACCAGTGATCCTTCCAATCTGCTTAAAGTAACCAGTCGAATTGCCTTTCTTCAAACCAGCTCAATACCAAAACAATAAAATATTTGTACGAAGGAAAATAACCTGTATTTGAGCGAGTACATTTCACGGTTTCAAAGTAGATTTCATTAAATGGAGATTGAACTTTGTGTCATGCAATTTTGGTCCGAAATCATACTTGAGATTCGAATCAAACTTGCGCAGCGCGCTTGTGCGATTTTGAAATCACACGTATGATTTCGTCAGACCTAATAATATACTTCCAAAGATTTCAGAACGCTCATTAGCCAAGAACAAGTCGATTAATCCCAAACAGTGCACAAAGTTGCTATTGAATGCAAAAGTTGAATTGAGCGCAGAAAGTTGAAATTAAATTGATTGATAGGTACGGCGTGAAAGCACAACAAAACAAAATGGCGGAAAAGGGAAGTAAAAGCTAAAAGACACAACCCGGCGGAAACAACTGGCTAAAATTCTGGAGGTCTTGGGCATCAAAAAACAGCCATGAAAGTATGAACCAGAGGCCCCAAAAAAGTTACAGGGGAGTGCTGCGAAACAGTTCGTTCTAAAGACGGAGAAGATTTATACGAGCGCGATGGCTTTCGTGTTATGGTTACTGCTGTCGACCGATACCTAACAGAGAAAGAGTACAAACGCCCCATTATTCGTGATAGAGAGTTAGAAAGCTTGAAGCAAGTTCTTGAGGGAAAAGCCTGCCTATTCCAGCAACAAAGCAAAGGCAGGCGGCCAAGCCGGTGAGTCAAGGCAAGGAATAAAAACAACTAAAGGGGAAGACAGAGACAGATTTTTGCTTATGCATTGTTAAGTAGTAATCACATAATTTTCCCGTGAAATTTAGGATAAATATGCACTTGTAAATTGAAGACTACAAATTGCATTCTCTTGTGCAATTTGGTCAGCCTTGTTAAAATTTACTCGTGCCGATTTATCCCAAATTACACTCGAAATCATGTGATTACCTATATAAACTGCGCTCCACTCAGTTTAATTACCATTTTGTAAAAGCCGGAGCACTTAAGGCAAGCCGTATGCGTAATAACAACAGACTCAAAATGAGCTTTCAAGAGAGCGTTTATTTTAAAGTCAGATAAATTAACGGCTAAACAGTAAAACATATGGGAGAATGATCGCCAAATTGGTGCCGAAAATTTAATCTGTGTCCATGCAATTATTTAGATTTAACCGAGCGTTAAAATTCTGATTAATGACCTACACGCAACTGAACAAGGAACGGAATAACTCTCAATGCAATTGCTGTGACACCATCCCACAAACGCAGCAGCAACAACTTGCAGAGCGTACGCTTCGCTTAGTGCGACGAGTACTGTTGTTTGGAGTGTGGCTTTCGGCTGGCATTACGTGAAACTCAATACCAGCTTTACAATCTTTGATGGTGTCGAGTTTTTTGTTCTTAATCTCACTAGCCACGCTGCTTTTCAATGAAGCTCCAAAGGCTCCTGTGGGAGATAAAAAATAAGAGAAATTTAGCAAAGTTCGAAGCGAAAACTACTCAGTGTAGCCATGACTACACTGAGTAGTTTGATAAAAAATTTCTCTTAAATTGTGCCGTCTTTAAGTCGACCAACAATCGTAATTGTTGAACTCTGACGTACTGAATAAAGACAAAATTACGGCAGCAAAAATAAATCAAGGGAAGTTAAACGAGACGAAAACCAAAAAGAAGAAAAGGACAAGAAAGCAAGAAAAGAGCAAAGTGGAATTTCTTTGAAAAGACTCTATCCAAAAGTTTATTGAAAACAATTTAAATGTACTCTCAAGTGTATTTTTTTCTGTTTATCTATGCTTCTTAATTGGATAATAAATTTCAAATCAAAGAAATCATATGCCGAGAATAGTGCCCTAACCGACCAACCTGGAAACAGCTTGTCCAATTTCGTGACGATTTGCATCACTCATGAACACTTCACCATCTTGAGATAGTAGAGTGTGGTCGTGTAGGCTGAGGAGTTTGTGTTTCCAGTGGAAAGCATTTTGCGAAATTCTTCTTTTTGGAAACCACGGCCTTCCAGATCTGCGCTCTTCAGCATCTTCATCAGATCAATCTCGTTTGTTGAGTATGTAGGATTTAGGATTCTCAAGGTAATAGTTTCGTTATACCTCTGGTCTGCAACATTGAAATTTTAGAAAGTTAAATCTGCTGAATCTTAGAACAGACATACTGGGCTTCTGGGCTTCTGGGCTTCTTTCCCCATTCTTTCTCTGTCCCTTTTGGTTCCAGATGAATTTCGGAAAAGCGTTTGACGGTAAAAATTGACTCTTAAGGTTGATTCACAAGGAACCCGATTTTACATCTATTGCCCAACTGTTACCGTTAAAAGCCAGATACAATCGGACAAAAGTTTAGATAACTTACCAACTGCAGGGTGAGTGGAAACCAAACTTACAAGGACAAAAATTATTAGCTCACAAATTAACTTCATTTCCAGTCAGGTCTGAGGTACTCTGGTTTAGATTACTCGCTACACCTTGGCACAAGCTGATTGCTAAAACGAGCATTAATCGTGGTCATTTATAGCTGCAAGCACGGCCGAGAATACGAATAATGCAATACGTGTGTTTATACTGATCAAGCATCAAGTTGGACGGATATAAATTGGACTGAAACAAGGTCGAGGTCTATAAACACACAAGTTCAGCAAAAAAAGCATCCAATATCTGTTCATATTGACTGAACAGGCCTGTTCAATTTGTCTTTTTGGTCGAAAGATTACACCATTTAAACCGCCAAATAACTCTCATAAAATGTCATGGCTTTCATCGTGTTGGTTATCTTCAAAACATGGTAAAATTAAAACGTTTGCCAAAAGTTACGCAATATGGAGGGGACCTAAAAGAATTGCTAAGCAGAACGCAGTCAGCCGAGACCGACTCATATTGCCCTTTCGGAAAGCCAATTAAAAGACAGTATTCCTGTAATTTTGTCTAAAAGACGCGTCAGATAACATTGATAACATAAAATTTCTTTTGGCTCGAAACTTCCATTCTCGTCCACTTTTTGCTGGAGACGTTGAGGCGTTTTGATGCCGCTATTTTTAAGCTGAAAGGAAACCCGAAATAGCTCGGTGATGATGAATAACGAGATAATTGATAACCGGTTTTATAAGTAAATCACGGAAACTGGTCTGCTCGAACCGGGTGTGGACTTTTCGTTGTAGTTATGACACCATTTTAATGTTGAGCCTTTTCTCAGCTTCAGTTTGTTGAAGAGGAACTTGAAGGGCTCTTAGAATGCCTGATTATTTCGCCACGTTTCCTAAATAGTCGCACGGAATAGGCTTTTTCGATTTCAAGCAATTGAAATGATGAAAACAAAATGCCAGAGATAGTTCGGTGATGATTAACTTGATAATCGAGAATTAGATAATATCATAAACTTAGTCTGAAAATTTGAGTGTTGTTAGGACACTATATTGAGGTTCAAAATATTTTTGAACATGCTACTGCCTGAAATAGTTCGGTGATGATTAACAAGATAGCAGATAATCAAGCAAGTCATCTTTCCGAAAAGGATTTGGCTCGAATTCATTCCATACATGTTGGTGCTGTTATGATTTCATAATCAAGTTCAAAACGATAATAAGCTTACAGATATAGTTCGTTGTTGGTTAACACCGAACTTGTCGGATCTGGACGTTCGTTGTTGCCATGATGACGTTTTAAATGCAAAATGACCAGGTCATCATACTCTTTGGATTTATAAAATACATATTTTCACCGGTGCTGAAGTGTGTGTTAAGTGTTAAGTGTTAAGACCATGCTTAAATTCGGATAATGTTTTTTAATACAAAAAGTGTAGAGGTAGAAGTTGAGCTCAATTGAACAGACTGATGGTATTTTCATTTACCCGGCTTAGCTTTTGCTAAATATATGAGACGCAGTGCATGTGTCTGTACCAGCAGTATTTTGTTTAGGTGAGACTTACCCCAAACAGATAATCTCTAGGTGATGTAAGGAGAAATCAAAGATTGATAAATATCAATTGGATTACGTAGAGGAAAATGTGTCTCCATTTACAACTACACCCATAGTTTTTTTTTTTTTAATTTTCAACTTGAATGACCAGTTAAAACTCCCGCAAAGTACTATACATAATCTTTGCAATAAAGAAGGACATTTATATTTTTCTCATTGCTAAATTTTCTTTTGTTAGGTTGAAAGGGTGACTTATTTTGGTAAGAACGAGATACGACCAAAGCATTAGATTTTTTCGACATGCAGGTTTAACCTCAGTATTTAAAGGTTTAACCTCAGTATTTAAATTTTTGTTAATAGGATGTATACAAAAAAAAATAGATTTTTTTAAATTCCACACTGAGCCTTGCGGAACGTCTCGTGTACTAGTGGATGTTGTTTGAAGATTTTTGATTATTCTGAAGACCCCAAAGCACATTGGTTTGGAAGGCATTCGTCCCTCTCCTGAAAGTGGACTCTTCTTCCACTTTCACATGTCCATAATCAACTGACATGAAAGCCTTTTAGCTTTGGTTTTGGAAGTAAAACACTTCTTAATGATTGAGCCCGAAACTAAGAGATCCAACCCGGCCCTTATTTCATCAAATAACAAATTGTGGTTGAGATTGCACATAACAAAGGGTTAGCTTCCAAGGTTGTGATTGTCAACTTAATAGGACACTGCCCATTTCTCCTTGATTTTTTCAACGGATTAAGTTTAAAGATGATAGAGTTCTCTTAAGCTGTGATGGTTTTCAGATCAAGAGGACCAAAGTCTGAGGATCTGCCTGCTGAAGCAAGAATGAGCAGCATACTTAGTTTAAGAGTCAATGAATCATTAGAAAGAAAATTTGGTTTTATTAACTGAGTCGATACTGTAAATTTGCCACCCTAATGAGTTAAAAAGTCTTAATAAAGGCCAATGTACATTATCAACTCAGTGGATAGCAGATAACAGTGGGGGGGAGTTGTTTTTTTGTCGCTTGCCCTGCCGGCTCTTCCTCCTTCTGCGATTCGTTTTTTTAACCCAAAATAACAGTGGGGGGGTAAATGTTTTTCGTATCTTTTCCTTCCCACAAAAACTTTTAAATCATTGGTTAAATTTTTCGAAAAAAGGATGAATCCTCTCTTATCAATGGAAGTATCAACGTGCGATACGAAAATTAATGGGAGGGTTATAAGATAATTAACCAAGTTTCCTCAAAATAAAGACAACAACAACTTTATGTGGCTGAAAATGGGGAAGTGGGTGGCAAAGTGTTCAGTTAAAAATTTTAGACTCATGGACCCCTAGAGTACCTTAAAACCTATGGGGATGCACACGATGGATGACGAGAAAGGACTTGGCCTTCTTGCAGGGCCACCGTTAGCATTCCTTGGTTGAGAAGAGGGAGTTGGGCCTCCTCACTGGCTGGGGGGAGTAGGCATCCACTAAAATAAAAACTTTCAGGGGTAGAGATTGGATGGAAATGGGCCCATGAGGGCAGAAGTGTGACGAAAAGAGCAATTCACCCCCACAAGATGCAAAGTTTTCTCCCATTAACGAACCCCAAAGAAATTGAAAGGCTACAAATACAAGACAAGGTATGATACAATGCTACAGATTTTAATTTATAATATAGATTTCCCGGAAAATCCAGCACTTTTCCGTGCTGTTATGACCCCATGATAAAGCTCAAAGAAATAGTTCGTTGTTGGTAAAAACCGAGCTTGTAGAGTTTGGACGTTTGCTGTTGCCATGGTGACATTTAAAATGGCTAGGTCATCAAACACTTTGGGTTGAAACAAAGTGACAATTAACTAAACTCATGATGTGATACTACGGAATGATTTGAGGTAGGAGACGCCGTAGAAGATGCCTATTTTTTTTCGTTATGGGTATTACTTCATCAAAAGTGTGCCACACAGCTACGACGGCCTGCAGTGATAGGATACAGGTTTTATTATGTCTGAAGAAATATTGAAAACTGTGATAAAAACGGCAGATAAAGGGGTTTTGGCCTAATTTTAAGTCATACATCACCATTCAATTGCACGAGTAGACTACTTGGTTCCTTCTTTGCAGTTTATTATATTTCAGCAAGTGTTACAATTTTTGATGTCTTGTGGAGAGTAAATTAATCGATATGCCAATGCAGTCATCAGTCTCCTCGCTGCCAACGTATGAGCTGATCAGCGGTGAAACAAGATAAAAACCCGACCCTCGACCAATCACAACTGCGATGAACAGCCATATGTTGCATGTCATAGTGATCAACATCAGGAAATAAGCGAAAGATAGCTCTGCCATAAAAAGACACGTCTTTAAAATACGAGTGAAGGCTTCTGACCTGAAAGTTATATGTTTTTGGTTCATGAGAAGGAAAAAAGAAACGTATTTCTTCAAAAATTGGCTGGCAAAGGACATGTTCGAAAAAGCTAAGCTTTGGTATCATATAAGGATCATGAAAAGATTTTTGCACATCAAAATTCAATAAAGTTTACTTTTCGTCAATCTTGCCCCATTTTTTAATTTTGTCTGTTCTGTGGATGTTCAATAATATTTGTGGTGTTTTATCAACATCGCAAAAACACTTCATATCTTTTACAAATGACCTCTGATTCTTGTCATAGGGCACTGAGTGATCGCATGACTGAAAAAGCGCCTTGAAGATTGAAATAAAGAAAATCTCACCTGATATCCTCAGAATAAATCCTATTCTTCGTCACAGTCGCTCTTCCACTTTGGTTTTTAATGCGTGATCGTAGATACACGTTTAATCCTTTGACACATTCGTACAGCACAGCCAGCGCTAGAACTGCTACTATGGAGCCGCTAACGCCTATAAATAAATAAATATATACATTTTGAAAACTGATATATACAATATAATCAATATTGTATATTCAATATATACAATATGATCAATAAACACAATATGATATCACAATTGTGGTATCATTCGAGCCATGCTAAAGGACTCAGACTAGATAAACTATTGAGGATGCACAATAATGAGACATGACTCTTCCTAGATAGAGTGCTTATTTTGAACATGAAACCAAAGCTTTGTAATACCAAAGAGCTATATCTAACTACAGACAGTACTGTTTCGGCCTTTGGGCCTCATCACCTTAGTACGTATATATATATATATATATATTTATTTATTTATTTATTCATTTATCTATATCTACATACTACGGTTGTGCCAACTTAAATATCCAGGATAAAATATGATAGGTTGATATTTTATTCTGTTTCAGTCCTTCTCGCGATTTCACTAAGGTTATCAGTGTTTATTTCCGGCTAAAACTTGAAGCCAGTTAGGCTAAATACTTTGAGGTAAATGTCTTGATACAGTTGCAGTCAAGTTGTGCGTGTTTTTCGGAGGTAATTCACCAAAAACTGATCGAAATTAAAGCATTAACAATGAGAAAATAATCTGCAGAAAGAGAATCATGTTTAAAATGGGGGGGAGAGGCCTTCATGATCTTGTCTAACAAACTTAATTTTGCAGGAATTTTTGTTTTTTGTTTTCATATTTATACATATAAATTATTTATCCGATATGGTCCAACGTTATGTGGTGAGATACAAAGGAAAAGTTGAGATAGCGAAGAAATCGCTTTAGAAATCGAATCAATATGTTCGACCTAAAATGTATGTGTTCCGGCTAAACTAAGGGACATATGTCCAGTCCTGACCAATTTGAGGTATCCGTCTTGCTCCAATCCAATTGGAAGCACGTGTCTTCCAGTCACGCTTACCTATAGAATTGCGTGTTCCTCCCCATAACCTTTATATCTTAAACCAGATTTATTCTTGGAGGTTTACCCTTGGCAAGTGTACAAAGCAAAACATGAAAAGTTTTTGGTATGTTTTTTTTTTGGTATTCGGTATGCCCTCTTTTCTGAACACAACTACTTTCTTGCGTTAACAACAAAATTTGCTCTATTCTCGTTCGTTGTGGCTATTATTTTCTCTCTGGCCTAAAAGAGCTTGGAAAGCTTCCATTAGTCATTGCATACCACGTACACTTGACTGATAGTGGTTAGCATACATGCATAGGTACGGTAACCTACAACTGTGAGTCTTTTTCCTTTGCTGCGAGGTTATTTCTTTTGCTGTGACAAACATAACGACATTGGATAAAGTGTTTATTGGATGACAACCTTATTGTCACTAACCTTTGTGTGCGAGCTTTTTGGGAGCGATTCTTAAATACGCTAAAACGAAAGGAATTCCGTAAGGTCTATTTCTAAACCTACCAATATCTGTTCTGTTCTAAGACTGAAGTATAAATGAGTTCACTAACCTTTTATTGTAGTAACTCTCCACTGTTGAAAAAGTATGAATATTTGATGAAGTTCGGTACTGAAATACATCTGAAAAGTCAGAAGCAGATAGGGGTAAGATATAGCATAAGTAAAAAATTAAAGCTTAATACCACGTGCGTATCGAAGAATTAATCTGTGCTTTTCTGTTATACTCTCCAACCGACGCAGCACCACAGTTTCTTTAGAAACCTACCCCCATTTATGGGATCGGATAGTTCGAAAATGCAAACTCATTTTCCCGAGAGGAAAGAGGCGTTTTGATTTTGCGTTGAAATTAACTCTGACTTTGGTCTATTTCACGTAACTGACGTTTGTTTGTGTCACATTCTCGACCAATAAGATCTCAGTTCCGGTTTCCGGCGCTCAAGACCGACTAGAAAACGTGTTCTTGTTTTTAGATTTCGCGGGACCAAGTGCTATTCATCGTTGTCCAATTGATCGCTGTAATTCCCTTGGTTTTTGTTTTTTATTTAAAGGGTGAAAAGTCCTCGTTTTGGGATGCATCTTGGAACTATGCTTCGTAATAATTTTAGCTTTAAAAACCCGGCAATAAATTTTAGACTTAGTCATTCGTAAACTTCGTAACCTAAGAGATACATATCAGAATGCCGCCATATGCGAGTCAGAAATTGATCCGCTATGACTTACAAGCTGACAATGTTGCATGACTTCATAAAATTTTGGCGCAGACAATTTCTTCATGATTTTTACACAAGCTTACGCCACAAGGCGGCAAGAGAGGTACAATTATACATGGCATCATTCTGTAGATGTAAAATTGTTACGTGCTACAACGACACACTTTCGAATCCGTTCGTTTTCAGCGTTTCTTGGTAGGTTAGTTGAAGTAAAAATTGTCATCACCACTTATCATCGTTATTTCATAAACCTCAAACAGATTAGAAGGAGTTGGATGTGATTATCCACACTTCTTCGTTCTGCTTCCTGTAGATAAAACTTAAGTTCAAAGTTTTCAGCGAAATGAAGATGATATTATAATATACCTCCTCACATTTGAACCTTTCAGTTGTCTACATCCATTTGGCGATTGAAAAAGACATCATTTACCTTGCTGAACTTGATTCGACCAATTCGCTTTTCTTGTCTCTGGCACTAGTTTAGTTTATTTCGTATATTTTCACTTTTTTCTTCTCTTTCTGCCTTTAGGACTAAAACTCATTTCGGAGGGGGAAATGATATTTTCGGTGAAACTCCCAATCAATATAAAATGCTTTTCAGACGTTTGTTGTTTATCAGCAGGATCGATATAACTATATAGTGCCTGCGGTACTATAAATAGTAAACGTAATGTTCCGGTGCAATACACCGATCAAGAAACTTCCTCGTTTTATATTGCCGCATTGCTGTCATAGTTGTTAACAAATGGTACGCATTGTTACCTCGCATATTCAAAAGAAGTACACCACAAGATTCTCCAGTATTTTAGTTAATTTTTTTTTAGGAAAAGACATAAACTACGCAATAGAAACCGCTGTAATCTGGATGTCGTGAAACTGCAGTACGTTCAAAGACCTTTCACATATTATGAGCTACCTCATAATATGTGTTAATTATTCAATTAAGATGTGAGATCCTAAATCAAATGACTAGTGATCCTTCCAATCTGATCGGCTATCATTAGTGCAGTTTGTTCACGAATTGCGCCATTTCTTGCTCTAATTTAGGATAAATTATGAATAAAAAAGACTACAAATTGCACTCTCTCGTGTAATTTGGTCAGCCTTGTTAAAGTTCACTCGTGCCAATTTATCCCAAATTGCACTCGTAATCATGTAATTACTTACACAAACTGCGCTCAACTCAGTTTAATTACCATTTTTTAAAGCGTTAACCGGAAAACTAAAAGTAAACCGCATACGTAATAACAACAGGCTTAAAGTGAGCGTTTATTTAAAAGTCAGATAAATTAACGGTCAAACAGTAAAAACGTAAGGAAGAGTGATCGCCAAATTGATGCTAAAAATTCAATCTGTGCCCATGCAATTATTTAGATTTGACCGAGCGAGAGATTCACGCAGCCGAACCAGGAGCGGAATAACTCGCAAGGTAATTGCCTAACTAAAAGAAAGCTGGAGTTAAAAAAGAAATTGAAGAGCAAAGAGAGTAAGGCGATAAAGATTGGATTTCTATTCCTGCTCTTTATGAAATCCAGTTTGCCCTCTGTGAATCACGTGCTGTTGTTGTGTTTTCTGCACTCTACTCTAACAGCAACCCACAATCCTCCAGCAAAAACTGACTGGGCATCCAAGATTGTCCGCTTTGGAGAAGGCCGCTTTGAAGAAGCTTTGCTTAGTTCGACCAATACTTAACTGGATAATAAATTTCAAATAATACAAATCATATGCCGAGAATAGTGTCCTGACCGGCCAACCTAGAAACAGCTTGTCCAATTTCATGACGATTTGCATCGCTCCTGAACACTTCACTATCTTGTAATAGTCGAGTGTGGTCGTGTAGACTGAGGAGTTTGTTTTTCCAGTGGGAAATTTTATATATAATAAATGTATGTATAAAATAAAAGCTATTTTAAAGTCATATAGCTCTTCCATTTCACTCTTCAGAATTGAGGAGCGTTAGGGCGGAGCGGAACAAGTGAATATGCCTGACGTCGAACTGTATAACAGTATACTTAACATCTCTGCGTCCTCGTCCTTGTTCTCATCCTCGTTCTACACTTCACGATACCAGTGCCATGGTAGTTTAAATGTGGGGAGCTCATCCATAAACAGCAGCACCACTTGCGATGCACCTTCCCTGATATGAATGGTAAGAAATGTTTTCAGTTCGTCTTTACTCATTACTTCTCGTAATTCCTCCAAGGCGCGAGAGAATAATCCCATAATCTCTGAGCCTTCTTTACACAGGGGATCCCCCCCCCATTAGCGATTGCTGTTCTGTTGCTTTATGAATAAAGTAGGGGCTGAAGGTTGACAAAAGGGAATTAAAAAATAAAAAGGAACCCAAGAAAGGGTTGATGCTGTTGGCCCATTGGCACACAAAAGCAAGCACTTTGAGATCTACTGTAATCATCAAAACCTTCTCTTTCATTGCATGTTTGAGGAGTGGCAGCCCCTCCATTTAGACTGCTGTTACAAGATCTGTTAATTCAACTACTTCTTGAGGTTGATCGTTGGTCTGCTCCCCGTCCTTCCCAGAGACCAGAAATAATTGACTGATAAACCTTTCTTGTAATGGATAGCCTACTTGAATTGCCCCTTTCTCGTACAATCCTACTACCTCTTGTTTTGTTTATGATAAATGCACGGGTTTGTATGGTGTGGGGTGTGGGTGTGGCTGGGTGCGGGGGGAAGGGTGTTGCACGTATGATTGGAATTGAGTTGAGCGAAAGGAAACTACCAGTGACTATCTTTTTATTGTACTGCTCATATGGGCGTAATCTAGATTGGTCTCCCTGCCAATTGGAGGAAACAGCGATGGGTCTCTGAGAATGGCGAGGCAAACTAGAACGTCAGAGAGAACAAAGAGAGAGTGGCTGATGCATTCTGATTCGCTCCTGTGATTGAAGGGCTACTTTATGTTGAAGATTTCACCACTAACTGATTTTTGCGTACATGACCGTACATGGAATTTATTTGCACTTGTAGTAGTATAGTCAACTGAAAAATTAAATTAATATGACAAAGAAGGTTATTACACATGTCGATTTCGGTTGAAGCGACGGGAAAAATATTATACTTACAATTTGTGTTCCATATGCGGCTAGTAAGCTTCGAAGTGCGATCTGTGGTGACACTTTTGAAATGTAAGTTGCGTAACGAACTTCTAGGTTTTTAAATAATTAGTCACCTGATCTATTTTTGCCGCGTTGCGCTAAGATAATTAAATATTCACAAAAAAATGACAAACGGCTTGAGAAATGCAAATCACATTCATAACATATGTTTTCACCGCAGTAGACAAAACTATCTGTAATGTCTCTACCGCAAAATTGAAGTCACGTGTCCGGGTTTCAAAGTGGATCACCGTGGCAAAATTTTGCCTGAGGGAGAATGATAAATTAAGAAAATTATCATTTATTGCATACACACGAAAATCATTTCAGTCTGAGAGAGTAAAGAAAGTCAAATTTCTTCCTCTAATATTTATTTTTCGAACGTATAAAGAGTTACTAGAAAAGTTTGTCCACTTGTTTTACTTAACACTAAGTCATTGGCGAATCAAGGATTTGCTATGACTTCATTGGTTTTATGAAGGCTACATAGTCTGGTCGGAAATTTATCTGGCCTGTTTATTAGAATAATATATTGTGTTCCAATCGATCGACGAAATCGGAATTTGTCGCGAGCATTCCATTTAGACTAATCTTCTCCTTCTTCAATGAATTCGAAATCCTACAGCAAACCCATATCGCTCGTTCTTTCCAATGTTTCCCCTGATTAAGTTTATGTTGGGCAGGTCTTCACCGACGAAAGCTTAAGTTTGTAGGTTGGCCAACTTTACGCTTGCTATAATGTGAGGTAGCTGTTATACCGTAGCTGTTGGCGTATTGTCAACAAATCAACACATTTGAATTATTTCTTGATTCGTTAGATTCAACAGCAAGTTATGGATCACTATTCGAATTCCATAGTGATCGAAGTTTCAGGTAGTTTTGTCATGTTTGGGTTGCCTTTTAGGCTGAATAGCTACCGGGTAATTTTGCAGAAATTTTGATTTGCTATAATTCCGGTTTTGTTTGACGAATTCTGTCTTTTAAAGTCCTTATTAGCCTTATCATTCAGGATTGAAGGTTTTTATTTTGCTCATCTGCGTTTGGTGAATATGGAAAGAAGATTCGTGTTCGTCATACACCACTGATCTTCTGGTAAAACAAAGCAGTAAGCCACATTGATGTGGGTCACTTTTTGATCTATCGATTTAAATTTTTACATATTCTTGATTTCAGAAAAAATTTTAAATATTATCTCTGCACCTCTTAACTCAAAAAGTTGACACTGTTCAGAAGGTGTTTTGTATTAGTGACTGCACCATAAACAAAATCCTTCTGATGACACTTTCCTTTATAATAAAAATTCATGAAACAAGATGTAAATCTTGGAACAGACAAGTGGCTGAGGAAAAGACAATAAGAGACCATGCGGAGCAGCTTTTCACTAAACGCAAGAAATTTGATGCAATGAAGCTATGAAGTGGTTAGTTATTCAAACAAAACTGTCTGTACATGCTAGGTTGAGTACGGCAAACATGATAAGGATTTTTATAAAAACACTCGATCATTGAGAAATGAGGGCTTCTATTTCGCCAACGAATACATTGTTATCTGATCTGCCATTGAAACTGAAGTCCTTATTTTTTTCCATCTTTTTTTTCAGCCGGGGCGCTTTTGATGTTAACATTTGCTATCACAAAATTGTTTTGAAAATTTGCTGTTTGGAGATGTGTCGACGATTTGGGAAAGGATATATACAGATTTCATGTCCGTTATATACATTCAAGTTTTTATTTGATTTGTTCCATTGTTAATGTATATTTTGTTACTAGTCAAAATCATTTCTGCTTTAGGATGAGTCTATGATGTTCAAGCACGGGTTGTACATAACAAGGTGGCCGGAGGGATTTTTCGGTTTTATAAGTGTAAGTTCATAATTTCTAGTCTTACGGAGAATTTGCGAAGAAAAGGTTAGTTTTTTCATATGTATCAGATTTTCTTATTCGCCTCTCTTTGCGGCCTGAAGACCAGGATTTTGCAAATTAGTTTTGTGAATTCGAACCGATTTTCATGTTCGTCACAACCCACTGATCTTAGGGTAAACATATCACGGCACCACGCTACAGCAGAAGTATAAAAACTTTTCGAATGAAATTTTACTTCAAATGGTTTTGATATCCATCTTCTAATTTTATAACTCTGAGTGGCTTTAGTGCTATTTACATGCTATTTGGCAGTACTCAGATGTTGCTGCTCGTAAGTGATCAGTAAGTTTATCTCTAGACAAAATTGTTTATTAGGACGTTTCTTTTGAACTCGATGGGAAATTGAATTAATTATGGACCAAATAAGAGGCCAATGAATACCAAAAGAAGACGACTTTCTGCGATGGCAAACGTTTTGAATAGGGGTACAACAGAGAGAAAATAATTTTGTCATTGTAAGAATAATTTTGGCATAGTGGAATGTAAAATGTACCTTTTCTGTGTTCATTATTAGCGTCAAAACGTTCTTCTTTGCGAAATTTAATGCATTGGAAAAAAAAGATTTATTAAGAAGAGAAACTGGGGCGCTGTGTTTCCTTTATAGAAAAATCAACCTATGCAAATGGGTCCGATGGTAAATTATCTTGTAAGTGGCAACTGAAGAACAATATCGTAACATTCTCTTACCTCTCAGACCATTTATATTCATATATTTTACATTTGAATTAATTGTGTCGTCAAAACAAATATTGGCTGTAGAAGGTAAATTATTTAGAAATGCGAGTATGCTTGATTCGACTCCATCCTTACGAGAATGTGACACTCAACAGTTCCCACTTCATCGAAGAAATTTGTTTTTGATCTGCCTTTATTTAAGTTTAGTGACTCCCTGTCATTCTGGAGAGGAGAGTACTTCATTGTCAATTATTTTACTCTGTTAATTTTTTAAAATTAATCAAGAAGTCCATTGTTTTGAATTGACACATTTATTGGTTATGTCGCAAACGTTATCGTCTTTCTCGCCTCGAGGTTCTGCTAAGACTTGTAGGTATTCGTCTTAATCACGTTCTGATCAACATAAATATTCATCCCAGTTCAAAAATAGCATTTCAGTCGTTATCGTAAATGTATAAAATGTTGAATCTCGAGTCAATGTTCATTTTGTTCACCGCTTTTTAGCCAAAGCACCAAAAAACAAATAAGCCAGACACCCCAATTACTGACTGGAGATGGAAACTTTTCGTGGATTGAAGTTCTTCGTCGTGGTGAGTTTTTTGCTCACCCAGTTTTCCGTTTACGGTAAGTTAATAAGCTTTGGCGCACGTTTTTTTTTTCCTTTCGTGTGTGTGGGTTTTATTTCTCTGCATTGGAAATGCAAAACCCACGGATTGCAACTCTTCTTTGAACATAAGTACCAATATTTTTACTGTAAAGCGCCATTTCTTAACATCCTAAAAGTGAAAAATAAAAATCTAAAAAAAAAAAAAAAAAAATATATATATATATATATATATATATCCAGCTGTAGAACGAATTGATCATGATGTTTTCGTGTTCTTTACAGATGCCATAGCTTATGAGAAGCTTCAAATGAAGTTTTCCGAGCCCCCTAGCTTTAAACCTGCCAATACTGCGATATGCACCTGGTTGAAAAACCTCGAGAGCCTTGGCTTTCAGAAAGAAGTCGTCAGAAAGTCGGTTAAGAGGCCAGGAAAAGATCGACCAGATGCTGAGGCAAGAATCGTGCATGCTTAACTCTATCAAACTTTAAATACCATTAATCATACCGAGTCTATAAAGTAAGTCTACCATTTGCGCTTATAACACGTATCAGGGTACAAGAATAAACTATGTTTAAATTGATGCTTTTCTTTGCGTCTCCAGAAAACGACTTTTTACTACAAATTGGTTCAGTGCTCTAAGGAAGCCTTGCGTAAAATTGCAGCGGAATTGAACTCAACTGTTCCAGGTAATAATACTGAGTAGGTCTGTTTATATTTGCGTCGAAGTATGGGCGTGTAACAATTTAAACTATCGAACGGAACTTGAGAGATCTCGCCTAAAGGAATTTGACCATCACGCCAGTGCATGTAGCAAAAAATCCAGTCTTCAAACATCTTTAGGGTAGGGAAAAAATAAAAAAGGAGGCAGTAATTACTCGAGAAACTATGCGTTAAACAAATTATTCATAACTTCAAACATGTCTTTGTTTCTCTACCAAGGTTCTTTTGGAAAGGAAATGTTTCGTAAGGTGGCTGGAGAAGTATCATTCAGGCGTTTAAATGCTGGTAATGGAATGTGTAAAGTAGGATTAGAGGTTGAGTTTAAGGGAGGCCAGGACTGCCGCGATAATACAGGACGCAAGAAGATGGATCTTTCCGACCCAAGGATGAAGAAAAGGATCCGTGTTCGCCGAAAGGAGAAAGTTGTGATTAAAAAAATCCGTACTCGTCGAAAGATTAAAATCGTCATTAAAGTCTCTACTAAAACAGCGTAGTTCTGGTTTTAAGAGGAATTATTTATGATAAACGCGTAGAGACTCGGGTTATAGCTGCATCCAAACCTGTTAAACCAAAAAAAATTGTTAATGTTATTTTTAGAATAACCTTTTTGACGACAGCATTTTTTAAAAACTGTTTCAGTAGAACTGAATGATCTTGAATACCCAAACTCACCTGAGATGACGAGGTTTATGACGCTTTCACTGAAAGAGGATTCCAGATTTTTATGTATTCATTCATATCATATCCATTTTGTTACCGTCCACCATAACTCTAAAATAAACGAATAAACGATCGCGAGCATGCAACGTTAATTCGCCTAATAAGACGGTCACACTGCAGGCTACTGCCGAGCCAAAGCGCATTTTTTTTTTGATAAAACTTGAAATTCTTTGCTCAACAAAAGCGCTGTTTTCTGCCCATTCAAGGTTCTGTTTTCTGCCCAACTGAAGTGGTATTCTCCATTGAACGCAGTTTTCTTACTAATGTAAGCGTGACTCTTCTCTTACCAAGAAGATAGAGCTGTGTTCCGTCTAAACAAAGCGCAGCTTATTTTCCAAAGACAGTGAAGCTCAATACTAACCAAAATGCAGTTGTGCTCTAAACCACAAGTTTGTTATATCGAATCATAATGTTTCAGAAAAGTAGAGGATAAAGTATTCCTTGCGAAGTTAAGAACCATGCAGGACTTTTTGCCATGATACACCTTTCCTTTAAAGGAAATTGAAACCGGGAAAATTTTTACAAGTGGAAACACATTAACCCACGTTTCTGTTAAAACGGCTGAATTTTCCGTTTAACCGAGCAGAAGGTTGTATTTTCCCGAAGCAAATGATCCTTTGAACAGCGTAAATCGAACTTTCGTGAATGTCAGGGAAAATTTATTTAGCTCCTGTTTTTGCATTGTGTCTTAAGGAAGCACAGCATTTGGAATAATCATTGTCACACACTATGCGATTGGTTTCATAGTCACAGTCGTTTGCTCGTTTTGTCTTAGTGACATATAATGCCAAAATGCAACATGCTGAAGGCACTTTTCAGAAATGCAAAGGGCCATTTTCCTTTTTGAAGAATTGATTTATATTCTATTTAAGGATTGAATATGAATGGCTTCAGAGATTGAAAATGAAAGTAATGTAAACAACTCCCCTCAAGACCAAAAACAAACTGCGCAACCGAAAAAGAGGGAAGGAATCGTTTTAAGTTAGGACGATTTTTTTATAGCCATCATTTCGAACCAAAAAATATTTATGAAAGGCATATAGTTTCTTCTTCTCAATCTGCTATATGCAAGCTTTCAAAAGAATGATTTGTAAAAACAAATCTCTCTGACAAATAGTAAACTTCTTTCGTAAAACGCGACAGAGAGCAAATATTGTCTCAATTTTTTTTTGACGATCTTCTTCTAAAAAAAACTTTTTGTGAAACATGTTTTTGCAAAAGATTTGCATACGGCATACGATATTTGTATCCCAAAGTGATGATTCACCATCCAAACGGAGACAAAAATTAATTTGAGGTACTGAATTTTTCTATCGTTAAAATGTTTTGGCTGTTCAGGGGCAAAAAACCGATCTGCCAATCATTTCGTAATTTACAAAGAAGCACATGTAACTGCATTCATGTAAAACAAAGAAAGGAAACCATCTCCCGACTGAATTTTTTACTATTATTTAGATGTCTTTGGGCCACAATCTTGATATTTTCTTTCTATCGAACAAGCGACCATCTAATTGCTGAGTAGAGTAGGCGATATATGTATGTAGCATTTGTCTCCTGTAGACACGACTCTTCAAAACACTCTTCTTTTAAGATTGACGTACTTGTCAATTTGTTTATCGTGGCAGTACGCCATAGATTTACATTTTTCCGTTCTATTCCTGCTCTTTGTAATAAGGAAAAGTCGTTAAACGAAAAAGTCACTGCAAATTTGAGATTAAGTATAACAATTATACCGGGCGCGGCCGAAAAACAGTAGGGAGATTTCAAATGCACCCATCAGGCTCTGAACTTGGTTTTGAAAGGTTGTTCTGTTGGATTTTTTTTGGATCACAATTAAGATCGCATTCTTGTTAGAAATATTTGCATTCATTTGTGTCTGTACCTTACAAATATTTGGGTCAAAAACATTTTGTGTTCGTCTACACTGAGATAGTATAATTTGAGCTGAATCAAAGCCACGTATAGATGAAAAACTGATCAGCTTTTTTTCTAAAACAGTCCGAAAGTAAGATATGATTAAGGTTTGAGTTGAATAGCAGGTCGGAAAGCGTACAGCGACTTTAGCTGGCACGATGTATCCTTGACGACTGATCCTTGCTGCGGTTGACAAACTTCTGGACCGGCAGGTAAAATAATGATTTTATATTAAAGTTGGCCCCTTAATCATCACTTTTTATTACCTGTATCAGACCTCAGACCGCCTCATATTTCATAGACTGCGGATCAATTGATGTAACTCTATTCAATTTTACGTAATGTTCTCTAAGTCATATATACGAAATCTGAACTTTCCAATTCAAATCTGATAGCATGTCGTTCTTTTTAGGGTCTCCGTGCCTCACCTGAGCCTGGTGTATCGTTTTTTGATTTTTTATAAGCGAACGACCCCTGTAATTCAAGTCTTGCACTGATTGAAACTTGTATTTATCTAGCGGCAAAGCGATTTCTGCACAAGGCCAGAAACGGTTAAAATCCGAGAAAATCATACCATAAGCTTACTCTAGATCCGTACAAGAGGCACAATGAAATATTTGGATCTTGTTAGTTTCTTCTATTATGAAAATCTGCTAAGGAAAAGAACATCCACGTCATTAAAAAGTTGCCTGTCTGCTTGTAGTTTACTTGAAATTCACGCGAGGTTTTTTCATGTTAAGAAATCCACATCATCAATATTTACAATGACTCAAAGCCCATCTATTGTACCTGTGCTTATAAATTGCCAAAAAATCTGCTGTTCTGCTCAAATCCATTCGTAGCTAAAGGGAGCGTCGTATTAATTCAGGTGTTTGGAACACAAGTTCGTGATGACAAAAAATTCCTTGATTACCTCAGTGCTTGCCGCTCTTGTTGTCTTTCAGTCCAACCTTGTTGGTGAGTTTAAGTGCCTTTCTTTCCCCAAGTTGCTCAAACCATGCTCCACATATGAAAGAGCCGATTACAAAAGCGAATGAACTAGTTCAAGATTCAATTTCGTTTTGAAATGTACTTGAAATCTACTTTGTGTATTCAAATTTTTTACAATTCAGTTTGACAAATCATTATTCTCGAGCAATAGACGAAAATAATTTGTTTGAGATGGCTTTAAATTGTTTTCTTCCTTAACTGGGACTTACTTCAAAGAGAAAACTCCCTCGTCACTCAGGTCTTGAGCCTCAGACGAGGATAAAAATTAGTTTTTTCATCCGATTTTAGCTGGAGAGACCGAATCAGAAGAAACTATCACCCTGAGGGCCAGAAACCCAGGCACTATTTCATTAACCAATGATCAAATGCGGCAAATGTTGCAAAAAGCAGATTTTGAACGCCATGGTTTCCAAAAGGAAGAATCGCGCACTCTGCTTTCAGCAGGAAAATTTCCGGCAAACTCATCAGCTTATATGACCAACATCTTCTACTACAAGGAGGTGAACTGCTCCCAAGCACAAGTGATGCAGGTTTTAATGGAGGCAGAGAAACTACTTCCAGGTAAAGAATGATTTCAGTATTTCAATGATAATTTGAGAAATAGTGCATTTCTGTAAGACGGTAAAAAAATTCAAGGTTGACTCAAGAACTAAGAAAATTGCTCTTATCCATCCATTTTTGGGTAAGAGCAAACCTGGTCAAATAAGGAAAAGAGAGGGAAAACGCTCATCATAAAAATAGATAGAGAGAAACAAAAAAAGTAGGAATAACATATTTTAAAATGGAACAGAGAATAATGTCATAAAGTTGATGAAAATTCATGAACTTTAAGTTTATAATTATTTCCTCCAGAGCAAGATCTAATAATGTTTGTGAAATAACACGTGTAGCGTTAAAAATTGCTGTACATTGAAGCTTATGTTTTTCTTATTTGTTATTCTTAAGGTACCATGAAGCCATCAGGGAACTCCCGGGCAAAAGTGGTGAAAGAGATGAGAGTCCTTTCAGGCGGCGATCCCATGGCCATGTGCAAAGCTGGGGTGGAGATCCATTTTAAACAGAAACCTCGTCAGAATTCCAAAACCATGGCCGCTCTTCGTCGCTTCAAGCGAGATGCGATAATTATCATCGCTTCATCGTGCGATGTCCTTATTATAGTAGTGAAAGAATAATAAAAAAAACCATTTTCACTTTAAGAAACGTTATTTGCTCTCTTAACAGGCTTGAAGGCGGGGGTTTCGGTGATTTTGTCTACAGGACTCACTGAGTTAGTAGACTATAATCAGTTTTGATTTCAATAAAAAAAATATTTAAAATATGTTTGCTTAGTTCACAATCACTGATGGCATATGTGTGCGTGACCACCTAACACAGAATTCCGAGACTGCTTCAAAGCTTTTGTTTTCTTACTGAAAGAGACAAAAAAAAGTCAGTAGACGGAACCTTTTATCAGCCACGAAAGTTCGCATAAACTTTCAAGTTGTGATAAAGTTTCTCTTCCTCTTTTTTCTCAGAGTTTTAATTTTCCAATCTCTATTTGGCAATAAATTGCGTTCCTGTAGCACCTTCCAAATTTTCAAAATTCCCCATCTTTTTTTGTTTTTTTCGGGAAGTGGAAATGATCGAGTCCGGCGTGCGCGAAAACAAAAATAATAGACTCAGAGACAGAAGTATCAGAATGATTCTGTTTTGTTTGGAAAATGGATAATTTTTTGATAGCTTTTAAAAAAAGCTTTGATAGCTTTATATTCTAGAATGTAAATTCCGTGGAAGTGGAGAAACCGGTAGATACAAACATTGAAAACAATTACTTTCCACCAATCCACTTACCAAGTTGTTTGCGGACAGTTTGTTATCGGACAGAGCAAAAAAGTCTATTAAGAGGAGAAACTGAGGCGCTGTGTTTCCTATAAAGAAAAACCAACCGATATAATCGGGTCTGATGGTAACTTATCTTGCAATTGTAAGTGGTAACTGAAGAACAATACCGTAACATTTTCTTACCTCTCAGAACATTTCATATTCATATTTTTTTTACATTTGAATTTATTGTGTCGGCAAAACAAATATTGGCTGTAGAAGGTAAATTATTTAGAAATGCGAGTATGCTTGATTCGACCTCATCCTTACGAGAATGTGACACCCAACGGTTCCCGCTTCATCGAAGAAATTTGTTTTTGATCTGCCTTTATTTAAGTATAGTGACTCACTGTCATTCTGGAGAGGAGAGTACTTCATTGTCAATTATTTCATTAAGTTAATTTTTTGAATTCATCAAGGAGTCCATTGTTATAAATTGACACATGAACTGGTTGTTATGTCGCAAATGTTATCGTCTTTCTCGCCTCAAGGCTCTGCTAAGACTTGTAGGTATTTGTCCTAATCACTTTCCGATTAACATAAATATTCATCTCAGTTCAAAAATAGCATTTCAGTCGTAAATGTATAAAATGTTGAATCACGAGTCAGTGTTGTTCAATTTTTTCAGTGTTTTTTAGCCAAAGCACCAAAAAACAAATAAGCCAGACACCCCAATTACTGATTGGAGATGGAAACTATTCGCGGATTGAAGTTCTTCGTTGTGGTGAGTTTTTTGCTCACCCAGTTTTCCGTTTACGGTAAGTTAACAAGCTTTGCTTCCCCTTTTTTTTTCCTTTTGTGTGCGTGGGTTTTATTTCTCTGCATTGGAAATGCAAAACCCACGGATTAGAATTCTTTTTTGAACGTAAGCATCTTTATTTTTACTGTAAAGCGCCATTTCTTAACATCCTAAAAGTGAAAAATAAAATCTAAAAAAAAAAAAAATATATATATATATATAAATATTATGAGAGGAAAAAACGACGCAACTACATATCCCGACAAGCCTGTTTCGTGAATCGCTTCACTCTTCAGGGGTTTAATGAAAGAATATTCATATGACTATCGTTTATATACTAAGAAAATTTACATAATACGCGGTAAACTTAAAAACTTAAAAGTTCAGCTGTTGCGTAGCAACGCTTTGTTTTTGTGTCGGCATGAAGATACGAGTTCGTTACGCTTATTTAGTGATGAAAGGTCGGGTCGGTAAATTATCAGGAATTTTTCTTTTAGGCAGAGGTTGCATTTTTTACTGGAACTGTTGTAGGGAGAGTTAGATGATAAGACGCGCCATGAAATAGAGTAGTCAATGTTGTCGTTCTTGAGTGTCCAGATGTGTTTGCTAAGTTCGGTAGAGTTTTTGTGCTTGGCGTGGCGGAATGATGCGGTGTGATTTCTGTGTCTTGTTTTGAAGTCGGTTTCTGTGAGTCCTATGTATGTTTCAGAGGTGTTGTTGTCGTTCCGTGTGACGGTGGCTTGATAAACGACTGAGGATTGAAGGCAGTTACCATTGAGCGGGCAATTGTTCTTTTGTCTGCAGTTGCATGTTTTGTTGGTTCCCGTGCCGTCTTTGTTGTCGGCCGTCTTTGGTTCCCGTGCCGAACTTTTAAGTTTTTAAGTTTACCGCGTATTATGTAAATTTTCTTAGTATATAAACGATAGTCATATGAATATTCTTTCATTAAACCCCTGAAGAGTGAAGCGATTCACGAAACAGGCTTGTCGGGATATGTAGTTGCGTCGTTTTTTCCTCTCATAATATTTATTCTGCTCTACTTCAACGTATTGAGCACTCTTCCACGCGAAAATCGACCTGCAGACTTCCTATATATATATATATATATATATATATATATATATATATATATATATATATACATATACATATACATATACATATACATATACATATACATATACATATACATATACATATACATATACATATACATATACATATACATATACATATACATATACATATATCCAGCTGCAGAACGAATTGATCATAAATTTTTTTCTTGTTTTCGTGTTCTTTACAGGTGCCATAGCTTATGAGAAGCTTCAAATGAAGTTTTCCGAGCCCCCTAGCTTTAAACCTGCCTATACTGCGATATGCACCTGGTTGAAAAACCTCAAGAACCTTGGCTTTCAGAAAGAAGTCGTCAGAAAGTCGGTTAAGGGGCCAGGAGAAGTTCGACCAGATGCTGAGGCAAGAATTTGGCCATCACGCCAGTGCATGTAGCAAAAAATCCAGTCTTAAGTAGGGTACTTGCCTTCAAATATCCTTGGGGTAGGAAAAGGGGAAAAAAATAAGGAAAAAGGAAATAAAATTTGTGTCCTGCATAGAATTTCATACTTTCGGTTTTCGAGATGAAATTGGTGAGCTGTGTCGTTGTTTTCTTAATTCAGTTATTAGAAATAAAAAAAAGGAAAAAAAAAAAAAAAAAAGGGGAAAGAAGCCAGCGTAGCCGATTTTGTGATGAAGAAATGTAGAATGGTTTCTGTGTTTACATAGCCTGATGTAAACACGCGGGAAGTTGGGAGAACACGAGATAAGCGTAGGAAACCACGACGCGAAGCGGAGTGGTTTCCAGCTTATCGAGTGTTCTCTCAACCTCCCAAGTGTTTACATCAGGCTATGTAAACACGGAAACCATTTTACATTTCTTATATAAAATAAATAATGAAAGAGGAACGAAAACCTTGTTTACATACGCTCATGTAAAATGGTTTTATGGCCAATCAGAGCGCGCGTACTATTTGAATTATTTTATAAAATGTCTTCTCGCATACGAATCTCGGCATTTTCAATTTCTGCCTTCTTGATCATCTCTTAGACATTAGAAGGAAGGAAGGAGAACTGAAGCATTTTGGTAGCTACCACGTGAAACCCAGATATGTTTCTGAGCAAAAATTAACAAATCAATAGAAACAATACGCTCACAGAACAGGAAAATCATGCACCTTCAGGATCCTTTGCGAAAATCAAAAAAGGAGGCAGTAATTACTCGAGAAGCTATGCGTTAAACAAATTATTCATAACATCAAACATGTCTATGTTTCTCTTCCAAGGTTCTTTTGGAAAGGAAATGTTTCGCAAGGTGGCTGGAGAAGTATCATTCAGGCGTATAAATGCTGGTAATGGAATGTGTAAAGTAGGATTAGAGGTTGAGTTTAAGGGAGGCCAGGACTGCCGCGATAATACAGGACGCAAGAAGATGGATCTTTCCGACCCAAGGATGAAGAAAAGGATCCGTGTTCGCCGAAAGGAGAAAGTTGTGATTAAAAAAATCCGTACTCGTCGAAAGATTAAAATCGTCATTAAAGTCTCTACTAAAACAGCGTAGTTCTGGTTTTAAGAGGAATTATTTATGATAAACGCGTAGAGACTTGGGTTATAGCTACATCCAAACTTGTGAACCAAAAAAATTGTTAATGTTATTTTTAGAATAACCTTTTTGACGAGACTGTTTGAGTAGAGCTGTATGATCTTGTAAACCCAAGCTCATCTGAGATAACGAGGTTTATGACGCTTTCACTGAAAGAGGATTCAAGATTTTTATGTATTCATTCATATCATATCTATTTTGTTACGCTCATGTTATCAATAATGAAACTGTTTTAGCACTTCCAACCTGAAGGAAGCAAAATGGGCTGCAATAAAAATGAGGGTTTAAATGGATGTAAGTCTCATGTCTGGTTTAATTAACTTCAAAGACAGAATCAATTTCGGTTTGTAATTCTTAAAGAGATTGTGAAGAGGCTTAAGAAACTCGGCTGGGCACTTGCGTGATTGTCCTTCTCCCACAAGTAAATGGTCGATCCCTTTGCTTGACACTTATAGAGCTTAAGAGCTAATGTCAGCATGCTCAAACAAACAGCGGCAAGTCACCCAAATTTGTTTTCACTCCTACTTTCATATTTTGTAGCCCAATATGTTCTAATAATTGTGGTGTAGTTTTTTTGTGAAAACGGCAAATAAAAATCATTAATAAACAAGGTAAAAGTGTTATGTTAGACTTTTCTACAAATTGTAGTGATTTATGCCAATTAAAGGTGGCGACAAGTAAGCGCACCATGTATATTTCATAGTCGCTATCAAGTCAATTTTGCCGGACTTTAAGTTCGTCTCAAGATAGAACAACACAACTACACAGGGAATTTTTTACAGTAAATTTATAACCATCCTTTGGTCTTTTAAAAGCTTGAAGCTCAGTAGATTCTGTTAAAACTGTCTTTGTTTTGATGCTACTTTTCGACATAGGAAAAGTATGTCGGACAAAAATATTCACCAAAAAATAAATATTTTCTTGCCAGCTTCAATAACGACAGGGGGATTAAGTTTAGATGATAAAACAAAGGATTATGTTCACAGAAATACCGTAGGTCTAGTACAATCGTCACATGAGGTCACTCAACTCGGGTAATATTCACGGTGAAAATTTGCATATTTGAGCGGTCGAACGGAAAAAGGCATTTCTCGAAAACTAAAATATATTTTCACAAAAAAACTACACCACAATTATTAGAACATATTGGGCTACAAAATATGAAAGTAGGAGTGAAAACGAATATTGGGTGACTTGCCATAATATTTCAAATTTGTTCGATGGATGCTGGCATCCTCTCTTAAAACTCTTCCGATCCTTTGTCAATAGTAATGAAGTTTGCGACGAGCTCCAAACGAAAAAAAGAGCCAGATTGAAACCTTCGACCCCCAGAAGTGACTTCCATCTAATTTCTGAATCAAACAAAAAGGACACGAGAATAAAGGAAATGATCACCAACCGAAGCTGCTCCTGATTGTTCGACAAATTCTTGTTGTTAGCACCTCAGGCGATGGAGAATATGTATACTGATGTTAGGGTTAATTGATGACTGAAAAGAGGGCGTTGCTCATTAAATTCAATGCGGAAGTTGCTCCTTTCATTAATTCAAAAAATAACCCCACCTCAACTTTCTACCTGACCAAAAGTGTACTTTCTGCTCAACCAAAGTGCGCTATCCTCGGCTAGACTCCGGTTTACCGAAGAGAATTTCTCTGCTCAAGCTAAGGACAGTTCTCTTCGTAACCAGAGCGCAGCTCCTTCCCTAATCATTGTTAAGCTGCGCAGCTGACCAAAATTTCTCCGCCTGCTAGAGCGCCATATCTATCCTAGGCATTTTGTCCTGAGTTGCATTAAAATGCGTCTGACTGAAGCTGAGCTCTCCGCCCAGCCAAAGTGCATTTCGCCTCCATACTATACAAAACTGCATCTCACTGTGTAACCGAAGGGTAGTCTCTGCCTCCCTAAACCTCTACAGTACGTTTAACCAGTTTTGACTTGTTTGTGTAACGTAGATCTAAAGCGCAATTTACATTTTAGTGGAACAAACCTCTCTCACTAGCCTGCAGAACAGCATAATTTTTGCGAGCGAGTGCCTAGCATTTTCTTTATGAAAACTGAAGCTGCTATCTTTGATTTTGACGGCAGCAGAAGGCTGGGGAGAGCAACTATGTACAAAGGGATGAACGACGACCAGAAGGAAGGAGAGGGAGGAGGGAGGGTAATAGAGATTAATGGCCTTTTTCACCGCCCCCACCCCCCACCGTCCACCATAACTCTAAAATAAACGAATAAACGATCGCAAGCATGCAAAGTTAATTCGCCTTATAAGACGGTCACACTGCAGGCTACTGCCGAGCCAAAGCACATTTTTCTTCTTAATCAAACTTGAAATTCTTTGCTCGTCAAAAGCGCTGTTTTTTGTCCATTCAAGGCTTTGTTTTCTGCCCAACTAAAGCGGTATTCTCCATTTAGCCTGAACGCAGTTTTCTTACTAATGTAAGCGCGACTCTTCTCTTATCCAGAAGAAAGAGCTGTGTTCCGTCTAAAAAAAGTGCAGCTTGTTTTTCAAAGATAGTGAAGTTCGATACTAACCAAAATGCAGTTGTGCTCTAAGCCACAAGTTTACTATATCGAACCATAATGTTTCAGAACATTAGAGGATAAAGCATTCCTTGCGAAGTTAAGAACCATGCAGGACTATTTGTCATGATATACCTTTCCTTTGAAGGGAATTGAAACCGGGAAAATTTTACGAGTGGAAACACATTTACCCACGTTTCTGTTAAAACGGCTGAATTTTCCGTTTAACCGAGCAGAGGGTTGTATTTTTCCGAAACAAATGATCTTTTGAACAGCTTAAATTGAACTTTCGTGAATGTCAGGGAAAATTTATTTAGCTCCTGCTTTTGCCTTGTGTCTTAAGTAAACACAGCATTTTGAATAATCATTGTCACACACTATGCGATTGGTTTCATAGTCACAGTCGTTTGCTCGTTTTGTCTCAGTGACATATAATGCCAAAATCTAACATGCTGAAGGTGCTATTCAGAAATGCAAAGGGCCATTTTCCTTTTTGAAGAATTGATTTATATTCTATTTAAGGATTGAATATGAACGGCTTCAAATGTAAATAACTGCCCGCAAGACCAAAAATAAACTGCGCAACCGGAAAAGAGGGAAGGGATCGTTTAAAGTTCGGAGGATTTTTTAGGGCCATCGTTTAAAGATAAAAAAAATCTATAAAAGGCATATAATTTCTTCTTTTGAATCTGCTAAGCTTTCAAAAAAAAAAAAACAAATCTCTCTGACAATTAGTAAACTTCTTTCGTAAAACGCGACAGAGAGCAAATATTGTCTCAATTTTTTTTTACGATCTTCTACTAAAAAAACCTTTTGTGAAACATGTTTTTGCAAAAGATTTACATACGGCATACGATATTTATATCCCAAAGTGATGATTCACCATCCAAAAGGAGACAAAAATTAATTTGGGCTACTGAATGTTTCTATCATTAAAATGTTTTGGCTGCTCAGGGGCAAAAAAACCGGTCTGCTAATCATTTCGTAATTCACAAAAGAAGTACATGTAACTACATTCTTGTAAAATAAAGAAAGGAAACCACCTCCCGACTGATTTTTTTACTATTATTTAGATGTCTTTGGGCCACAATCTTGATAGTTTTCTATCGAACAAGCGACCATCTAATTTCTGAGTAGAGTAAGCGATACATGTGTGTAGCATTTGTCTTCTATAGACACAACTGTTCAAAACACTCTTCTTTTAAGATCGACGTACTTGCCAATATGTTTATCATAGCAGTACGCTATAAATTTACACTTTTTCGTTCTATGCCAGCTCTTTGTAATAAGGAAAAGTCGTAAGACGAAAAAGTCCCTACAAATTTGGGATTCAGTATTACAATGATATCAGGCGCTGCCGACAAACAGTCAGGAGATTTCAAATGCGCCCATCAGGCTCCGAACTTGGTTTTGAAAGGTTGTGCCGTTTGATTTATTTAGATCATAATGAAGATCACATTCTTGTTAGTAATATTTGCATTCATTTGCGTCTGTACTTTACAAATATTTGTATCAAAAAATTTTTGTGTTCGTCTGCACTGAGATAGTATAATTTGAGCTAAATCAAAGCCACGTACAGATGAAAAACTCATTAGCTTTTTTTTTCTGAAACAGTCCAAAAGTAAGACATGATTAAGGTTTGAGTTGAATAGCAGGTCGGAAAGCGTACAGCGACTTAAACTGGCATCGGAGTATCCTTGAGGAGTGATCCTTGCTACTGTTAAAAAACCATCTGGATCGGCGGGAAAAGTGATGATTTTTCATTAAAGTTACAAAGTTTCATTATTGCTTTTGGCACCCTAATCATCACTTTTTATTACATTTATCAGACCTCATACTGTCTCATGTTTCATAGACCGCGAATCAATCGATGTAACTCCATTCAATGTTGCGAAATGTTCTCTAAGTCACATATACAAAATCTGAACTTTCCATTCCAAATCTAATAACATGTCATTCTTTTTAGGGCCTCCGTTCCTTTCAGGGTCTCCGTGCCCAACCTGAGCCTGGTGTGTCATTTTTTGATTTTTTATAAGCGAACGACCCTTATAATTCAAGTCTTGCGCTGATTGAAACTTGTATTTATTTGGCAAAAATGATTTCCGTACGAGGCGAGAAACGATAAAAATCCGAGAAAATCATACCATAAGCTTACTCTAGATACGTATAAGAGGCACAATGAAATATTTGGATCTTTTTAGTTTCTTTTATTGAGACAATCTGCCAAGAAAAAGAATGTCTTCGTCATTAAAAAAATTGCTTGTCTGCTTGGAGATTTATTTTAAATTCACACAAGGTTTTTTCATGTTGTGAAATTCACGTCATCAATATTTACTGTGGCTCAAAGGCCATCTATTGTACTTGTGCTTATAAATTGCCAAAAAATTTGCTGTTTTGCTCAAATCCATTCGTAGCTAAAGGGAGCGTCGCACTAATTCAAGCGTTTGGAACACAAGTTCGTAATGAAGAGAGATTCCTTGATTACTGCAGTGCTTGCCGTTCTTTTTATCCTTCAGTCCAACACTGGTGAGTTTTGGTATCCGTCTTTCCCCGAGTTGGTTAAAGCATGCTCTACCTACGAAGAACCAATTACAAAAACGAGTGAATGAGTACAAGGTTCATTTTCGTTTTGAAATGTACTTGAATTCTATTTTGTGTATATTTTAAATGTTTTACAATTAAGTTTGACACATCATTGTTCGCGAGCATCGACGAAAATAATTTTTTTGAGATCGCTTTAAATTGTTTTCCTCCTTAACTGGGACTTGCCTCAAAGAGAAAATTCCCTCGTCATTCAGCTCTTCAGTCTCAGGCGAGGATAAGAATCAGTTTTTTTTATCCGATTTCAGCTGGACATACCGAACTAGGAGACTCTATCACCCTGAGTGTCAGAAACCCAGGCACTATTACATTAACCAATGATCAAGTGCCGCAAATATTGCAAAAAGCAGATTTTGAAGGCCATGGTTTTCAAAAGGAAGAATCGCGCACTCTGCTTTCAGCAGGAAAATTTCCGGCAAACTCATCAGCTTATATGACCAACATCTTCTACTACAAGGAGGTGGCCTGCTCTCAAGCAAAGCAGGTTTTAATGGAGGTTGGGAAAATACTTCCAGGTAAAGAATGATCCTAGTATTAAGATGATAATCTAAAGAAATAGGCACCTCTATAAGACGGTAGAAAATTCAAGGTCGACCCAAGTACGAAGAAAATTGCTCTTACCCTTGCAACAGGAAACCTGGTAAAATGATAGTTTTCCCTAGAAGGAAAAAACGCTCATAAAAAAAAAATAGAGAGAAACAAGAAAGGTAAGAATAACATGGTCTAAAACGAAACATAGAATGGTTTTCATAAAGTTGGGTAAATCAATCATTGCTTTACATTAACTAAGTAATCTGTTGAACTCTAAGTTTTTAACTATTTACTACAGAGCTAGATCGAATAATTTTTGTGAAATAACCTGTATTGTATTGAAAAATTGTTGTACAGAGAAGCTAATGTTTTTCTTCTTTGGCACTCTTAAGGTGCCATGAAGCCATCAGGGAGCTGCCAGGTCAAAGTGGCGAGAGAGATGAGGGTCATTTCAGGCGGCGATCCCACGGCCAGGTGCAAAGCTGGTGTAGAGATCCATTTCAAACCGAAACCTCGTCAGACTTCTACAACCGTGCCTGCTCTTCGTCGCTTCAAGCGAGATATCAGCGCTTCAATATGCTGTATAATTTGTATTTTTTGCAAATAAAACCCATACTGGTCAGCTCTAGTGATTCTGTCTCCAGCACTCAGAGAGCTAGTACACTAATGAAGATCAGGTTTTGATTTCAATAAAACGAATATTTAAAATATGTTTGCTTAGTTCACAGTTACTGAGAGCATATGTGTGCGTGACTACCTTAAACAGAATCCCGAGACTACTTCAGTGCTTTTTTTACGTATGAAGATTTTTCCATTGATCTTTTTCATAACTGAAATGAAAAAAAAAAAAAAAAAAAGTTAGAAGACGGAACCTTTCATCGGCCACGAAATTTCGCATAAACCTACAAGTTGTGATAAGTTTTCTGTTCCCCTTTAATTTCCTCCAAGAGTTTTAACTTTCCAGTCTCTGTTTGGCAATAAATTGTGTTCCTGTTGCACATATCAAATTTTAAAAATTTCCCCATTTCTTTTGGCGTGGGCGAAAACAAAAGAATAGACTCAAGAGACAGAGCTATTAGAATGATTGTGTTTTGTTTAGAAAATGGATAATTTTTTGCATTAGAATGCAAATTTTCCACTAATTCACTTGCCACTTGCCACTTGCCAAGTTTTTATCGGCAGTTCAACAAGCCAATCACATTCAATGTTGTAGTTCAAATCAACCAAACACAACCTTGGTTTCAATCTCTGTAGAAACAGTGTATAGAGCGACATTAAACAATTTACGTCCCCTTGATCAGCCTTTAAATACAAATTTCCCCCTTCTTTCATAATTTGGCTATTCTTATTTTCTCGGAAACTGTAAGTTTTTCGATAAATTGGTAATAAGACTTCCTGTCGTCTGGTTCGGTCTATAATCACACTCATGGGAGACAAATCGGACTCCTGCTGCGCGGTCGTACGATTTTGTTATCACTTGTATGACTACAAACCGAATTGGACTCCAATCAGTCCTATTATCATTACTAATTACATTTAAAAGCAAGCCCGAAACTAAAGCTTCAATGTCTGCTTACTATCGGGGATAAAAAAAAATGAAAGAGTTATCAATATATTTTTAACCGGGGTACCTTTTTGCTTGTCGTTAGTGGTATAAAATAAGGTGTCTTTTCTACTAGAAAAACCAAGTGCGGCTATTCCCAAGAATGTTTGCAAAATCATTGCTTTATACAAAGCTGACTCTAAAATATGATTTTCCGTAACAGTAACCAATGTCATTTACGTATGGTGTGAATAAAACTAGCAATGTACAATTTTTTAGCGTTTTCCACTTATAAGCCCGACATACAATTGTCAAGTGAACTATGTTGGTTTCAGCTAATTCCTTGATTCAATCTGACCTTTTATCACTAAACTCTATTCTTTTCATTTTCAAGAGCGACTAAAAGTCCCAAACAGATTTATCAGAATGTGTTTTGATGGGCAACTGGATTGTTTTTTGATAGTCTGAGAGGGTTTCTCGTTACAGATTTAGGGCAGTGGAAAAATTGGTTCTTGAACAAGACGAAATTTTAAAATGTTGCTTCACCTTCAAACCTGAGATAAAGTAGGGTTTAGGAAATTGGATTATTCCGAACCGTTAAGTTCTGTATTATAAATCTTGTAGCTTCTTGTAAGAGTAAACCGAAAAGTTGTCTAATATTACAGGTTTATATTCTAACAAGAATGGATAATTCTTCGAGGATCATTAGTTACGCGCGTAGCTATGAAGTGAACTGTTAAGAAAAGCACTTTCAATTTATCACTATTCTCTTCCCAGTTAATTAAGGGTCTTTAATTTGGCTGTTTTGAACTCATTTGTTTGAGCCTCAACCAAATTTTGCTGATATGTTGGTACCTGATAACAAACGTCTTTGAATTGGCGATCTATGCATGCATGATTTCAGACGTTCGTTTGGCATGCTTCAACTGAGGCAATACCCGATACAAAGAATCGACCGTCCTTTCTGGAGACTTGTGGTTGTGTGTCATTCCCATACTACCGCATTTTGCCTCTTTATCGCACATAATTTCATATAATGTGTATATCGTCATTTTATTTCGTTGCAAAAGAGTACGAAGACCTATTCCTATTTAAGTGTTTTTTGAATCGAACAACACGATATATGAAAGGAGTGATCGTGAGGATCATGATTAAAGAAATCACTTGTAGTTATCATGAAAATCAAAACAATATTGCCTTTCCTTGTTTGTTCAAAAACAAAGCTACCTTCATGAAGCATGAAGAACGCCCAAACCTCTTACTTTTTTTGCTCTGCGCCATCATTATTCCCTGAAGGCCGAGAAAAAGGCTAGTCTTAAAAGTGGTATCTCTTTACAACAACGAAACGTTCGACTCAATTCGAGACAAAATATTTTCGTGATGTTGCCAATTATTGTTTATCTAGTTTATCATCACCAAAAAATCTCTGCCATTGAGTTACTTTTATTTTGAAGTTGAAAATGGCGTCATGAAAACGCCTTACACAATATGGCTTCCCTATCAAGTTATTTGGCTCGCCGAGTACGGAAAATGACGGGAATCCTGTCTTCTGATTGGTGACGCGAACGGGCAGTACGGGTATGTCAAGTCATGTGCCCTCCAGGGATTGCCCGCTTTTAATTCTGCACAGAAAAGACCTGTAGCTGCCTTGAATACTTTATAACCTCTGAGGATGGTTTTTTTCTTCCTCTTTTTTTCTCCAAGGAAAGAGTTTACCGGAAGCCAGTAATGCAGTGAGAGAGTCACAGAACACAGCTGCTGTAAATATTGATGAGAGACAAAGAAATGAACACCACTTCGAAGTCTATTCGATCATTATTGCAGAATATTGTCCTCCTCACTTTGATATGAACAGAAAAAAGAAATGACTTTCCAATATCCAGCTATCTTTATCATGACCTAACGCTTGATAAACCACGCACATACATTTTCTTCCATTCTCAATTGAGGTTGTGGCTATAAACTATTACGACTCTGCTCGTTTATGCAAAACAGCTGGTGCCAACGCTCAAAGAAAGATTATAACAAGACGCGGTAGAAACTCGATTCGAAATGAAGATAACTTGTGACTTGATGATCTTTGTCCTTGTGTGTTTTAATTTTGTTTACTTTCCTGCGGTTGGTAAGTTGTCTACCTTTAAGTTTTCTTAATGAAGCGCTATAGTACCGTGCCTAATTAGGAATGCTTAATAGAGCCGATCCTCAAAACTGTTGTTCGTAAGCGTAAATCAGGTAGCTGGAAAATCTCCAGATAACAGAGAACCGTGGCTAATTTTAATTAGAAGTGCGTTTTTAAAAGGCGCAAATCATTACCTAAAAATATTGCGAGGCATTAGACAAAGTTCCTTCAGCGGAAACAATTTTCTGTCCAAGTGATCTGCTGTTCCAGTTTTTCTTTCACAAAAATTCTCTCTTCCCTGCCTCATTTATTTTGTGCCTCCAAAGCGGTCAAGTCATGAAAGTGTTACTTTCTGCTTGCGTAGAAAAGTAAATTTAGCCGCATTTACGAACTGTCAAACTTTCAACTTATCGACTTTGTCAGAGCTCAGGATTGAATGAAACTGGATTCTCTTGTTTTTGTTGTCTTTACAGGTGCCTCGACTGAAGACTTGCAAATGAAAGTGAAAGAACCCTCAAGTTTTCGACCCTCGTCGTCTGAAATGTGTGACATGTTAGAGAAGGCAAACCTCGAAAACCGTGGCTTCCAAAAGGAAGTTGTCAGAAAGTCGTCTCAGAAGCCTGGAAGAACCGGATCGGATTTTGAAGTAAGAATTATGTATACTAAGAGAATACCGAGCAGTTTATTTATCTATTTGTTTTTTGTTCAATATCATACATTTATCTTTTACAAAAACCTATATTACTAAACATTACTTACAATACTAACTTTATTTAGATGTACAATAATAACATTTTTACTAGCAACGCCGACAATATTAATGTAATAATGATCCTAACAATACTTTCAATAGTAACAGTACAAATAGATTACAGTATAATGTAAAAGCTTGCAAAAAATGATCGTAGCATACTAACTATTTTTTGAGAAAAATTTGAAAGATTATGCAAGCAATACCATAATTTTTTTCTTTTATAAATGTTTGTACGCTTTTCTTCCCTGATAGGCGTTGCAAATATAATAAACTCTGATAATGATGAAACATTACGAAAAATATTAGTTCAAAACTAATCTTGTATTAAATGTTGTTACAGGGAAGTATGTAATACCTAGTTTATTTTTTTTTAAACAGGGAAATCTATACAAATTGGATTGATAAGTACCATGTGTGCTTGTCGTTTCTGTGTAGGAAGAGGTGCAAGAGAACAATTTATATTCTCTTGATCAACGTTAATGTTTATGATTGTATACGAAATGAACAATACATTTCAAACAGGCAGTTATTTTTTTCTTTAGACGGTGTTCAATTATGAAAAGGTGGTGAACTGCTCTGTGGGAGCCATTCAACAAATGGGAGTGGAATTGAACACATCTTTGCCAGGTACTGATCTTTATAAGTGAGTCTGTATTTAAAATAATCCATTTAAAGAATGTTAAAAGCTAAGAATTAAATACAGCTGGTTAATGAGGCGCGTAAAACAATTTCAAGACATTTTCTGTTTTCGTAGAAATTTTTTCAGTTTACTGATCTCGATATTTTCCGTACCATCTGCCAGGCTGACCATTTCTTATTGGCGAAATAGTAAAGTACATGTTCGTTTCTACTGCATGGAAACAATGAATTAAAATGTGTCCTAATCAATACGTAAACGCAACATTGTTATCCGAACGTGGCTTATTGTTTTGCTACTGTTTAAGTTTGGTAAACGCAGTGAGGGTGCACCATTAGTTTTTGCGAGTGTTTTTCGGAAAGGTGTAATCTTACTGGCGAACAATTTCTTCCTCTCCCAAGGTGCTTTCGGAAAGGAAATGTCCCGCTGGGTAACAAAGGAAGTGAAAGGGAGGCATTTCGACAGCAACGGGAAGTGTGCATTGGGACTGGAAGTTGATTTCAGGGGAGGCAAGGGCTGCGATGTGAGAAGCAAGAGCAAGAATGTAAAGAAAAGGATCCGTCGACTCTTCGGCTTCAACATTAAAGCATCAATAAGACTGAGGCTCAAGGGTCTGGTTTTCAGAGTTCCCCGTGTCAACTATACCAGCTTTCTTTAGTTATATTTTAAACCTTGTTCTATGGAATGATAGTGTAGATCTTAGCTCGAAAATAGTTCGTTCTGTTTCTTATAGTTTAGATTTCAAAGTTGTCATTGGCTCGATCTTGAGTGACACACGGCAATAACCATGTGACCCTCCAAAGCCTCTGACCCGCCCACCCCTCCCCAAGCAATAAATACTGGTCATTTTGTGTTATCAGTAATGATAATATCGTTATCACCTTGGTAAGCAATGAAATATTGTTGGTACTGCACTTAAAAAAAAAAATTAGTACTGTACATCAAAGTACAAGCGCTAGTATTGTAAGTAATGTTAAGTACTGATAGTAATATAGGTTTTTGTAAACGATGTATGGCATTAAAGGAAAACAAATAAAAAGATAAATAAACTGCTATGTATTTTCTTAACATGCATAATTCTTACCTCAAAATCCGATCCGGTTCTTCCAGACTTCTGAAACGACTTTCTGACAACTTCCTTTTGGAAGCCACGGTTTTCGAGGTTTGCCTTCTCTAACATGCCACACATTTCAGACGATGAGGGTCGAAAACTTGAGGGTTCTTTCACTTTCATTTGATTTTGGGATTAACGATTAGTTCCTTTTTCTCTTCTTTTTAAAAAGTATTTGAATTCATTTGCTTCTCTAAGTTACAAATATTTGTTTAAAAACAAAGTTTTGTGTTTGTCTACAGTAAGATAATTAATGAGCTAAATCAAACCACGTATAAACGACAAAGCCGATTTATTTTTCCTGAAACAATCCGAAAGTAGAACATCTTAATATCAATTAAGATCTGGGCTAAATGGCAAGAAGAGCGTCTCGCTCATATTCAGACAAAACGGTAAATGTGAATGTTAATAATCCGATAAGCAACCCGTTAACCAAATTGTCAAACACGCAGTTCAGAAATTGTAGTTCTTTGCTTGACCATGCGGTGTTTAGACATGCCCTAGCAAGGAAAGGGCTCTCGTCGAGCTTATTGTGTGCTCGAGATAACTCTTCTGTTGTTTTGCGTTCTTCAAGGAAAGCTCTCTTATGCCTGTTAAATTTACGCACCTTGGGCAGCTGGTGGCATGACATTCAAACCGAAAAGCGTTCTATTCTTTTCCAAGTAAGAAAAGTGTCCGGCGTAACTATTGCGCAGTTCTAATTTCGCAATATGTGTCCTACATGTCAGGCACATCACACAAACAAAGGAGTTTAGATAAAAGGAAAATCGTTAAATCCAAAAATTGATGATAGACTTTAGAAATAAGGATGTAATAGTCGTTGAGTTGAAGAAGACTGTATCATCAAAATCAGTAAATTCCGTCTTGCAAAGAAAACTCTTCATTTATATTATGAAAAATCAACATTTTCTAAATATTTCAGTGGCGTTGCAGGTTATGAAAAAAGGAAAACACAAAGAGAGGGGTTAAAAAGAAATTGAAAAAATAAGTTCGCTGTGAGAGAACAACTAGCCGATCCAACATAGATCTATCAGATTGTGTTTCTATGGGCACCTGGATTGTTTCCTGGTAATAGATTGTGAGGGGGGGAGAAATTGGCTAGTTCTGGAACAAGACCAAATAAATCTTACATCACGTCCACACCTAACATTAATAAGGGTTTAGTGAACGGATTACAATGAATTTTAAAGTGCTGTGTTACAGGTCGCCATAGCTATTGATAAAGTAAACCGGAAAAAGCTTCTAGAATCGAGTAATATGGTATATGCAGTGTAGAAAGTACTTGTAGTTATCATGATATTCAGAACAATATTATCAACACGTTTTCTCATAACAAAGCTGCAAGCATGAAGCGTGAAGAACCCGCAAACCTTTGACTTTTTTCATTTTGCGCTACAATCTCTATATCTTTGCAACTTAAACCCCGAGAAAAGGCTATTCTTAAAAGTGATGTCACTATACTACAACGAAACGTCCGACTAAATTCGAGCCGAAATATTTACGTGATGTCATCAACTATTGTTTGTCTCATTTATCATCACTGAACTATATTTAAGGTTGAAAATGTTGCCATGAAAACACCTAACACAATATGACATCCATATCATTTGGTTCAAAGAGTGATGGTAATCACGGTAATCCTGTCTTCTGATTGGCGACATGAGCGGGCAGTATGAGTATGTCAGGTCATGTCATGCCCCCATGGGATTGCCCGCTTTCGTTTAGTTCTGCACGAAAAAAGTCTGGCAGCTGATTTATATACTTCGTAACGTCTGGGGTTGTTTTTTTTCTTCCTTTTTTTAATTTTTTTTTGCAAAGAAAAGGGTTTTCCAGAGAATGGTTTTGCAATACGGCAACAGAAAACATGAGCTGTAAGTCTTGAAGTAAGTCAAAAAAATTAACACCACAACGAAGTATGTTCAATCATTATGAAAGGATATTGTCCATGTCATTTTTTTTCCTTTTAATAAGGACAGAAAAAAAAACCATATCCAATATTTTGCTATCATAAACATGACCTAACGCTTTATAAACCTTGCACATATCATATTTTCATCTCAGTTGTGAATGTGGCTATAAACTATCACGTCTTACTCTCTTTTGCGCAAACAGCCTGAGCCAAAGCTCGTAAAAGAGATTTTTGCCAGCTATTCCTGAAATTCGATTCGAAATGAAAACAGTTCGTGGCTTTATGATCCTTGTGAGTTTGATTTTCATTCAGGATTCTGCGGTTGGTAAGTTAATCCACTTTTAAGCTTTTTTTTAATGATGCGTTGTAGTACCGTGCCTAATCAGGAATGCTTAACGAAGCCGATCTTCAAAACTGCCATTCGTAAGCTAAAATAAGCTCAGTGGCAAGTCTCAGGATAAAACAGAACCCTGACTAGTCTTCTTTAGACTTGCGCTTAAAAAAAAGCGCAACTCCTTGCCTAAATAATACTGTAATAAACTGAGGTTAAAGAAAGATGAGCGAGGGAAAAAGAGAAAATTCTGAGTGCCCATGAGGAATCGAGCCTCAGACATTCGGATTCCGCGCTCCGATGCTCTGAGCCACGGAGACTCCACGGTGAGCGAGATCTATTACGAAGTTCATATGACACGCGTCCTGCATACTGCTAGGATTAGCAGTGCCGATAGCGTGATGTTTGTAGATAGAAATAAGAGAGATGGTAAGTTTTTAAGCTCGGTAAAGAAATAAAGAAAGGTGTTTTTTCGTCTTGTCACAAGCGTGGGACAAAAGAAAAAATTCTAAGTCCCCATGAGGAATCGAGCCTCAGACCTTCGGATTCCGCGCTCCGATGCTCTACCACTGAGCCACAGAGACACCACGGTGAGCGGGGTCTATTACGAAGTTCATATGACAAGCGTCCTGCATACTGCTAGGATCAGCAGTGTCGATGGCGTAGTGTTTGTAGATGGAAATAAGGGAAATGATAAGTTTTGAGCTCGGTAAAGAAATAAAGAAAGATGTTTTTTCGTCTTATCACGAGCGGGGGACAAGGAAAAAATTCTGAGTCCCCCTGAGGAATCGAGCCTCAGACCTTCGGATTCCGCGCTCCGATGCTCTACCACTGAGCCACAGAGACTCCACGGTGAGCGAGGTCTATTACGTAGTTCATATGACACACGTCCTGCATACTGCTAGAATCAGCAATATCGTCGTTTGAATCCTAAGGTTTGAGGTTCGATTCCTAATGGGCACTCAGAATCTTTTTGTCCCACGCTCGTGAAGAGACGAAAAAACATCTTTCTTTATTTCTTTACCGAGCCCAAAAACTTAACATCTCTCTTATTTCTATCAAACTCAGGTTAAGTTGTTTTAATGGTTCGCTATTCCAAGTTTTCTTTCCCAAAAATTCTCCCTTCAATACCCCATTTCTTCTGTGTTTCCCAAGCGGTCAAGTAATGAAAGTGTTATTGTCTGCTTGGGTAGAAAAGTAATTGTAGCTGGATTTTCGAACTTTCTAACCTTCAACTAGTCGACGTCGACAGGGCTTAATAATCTCTCGTTTTGGTTGTCTTTAAAGGTGCCTCGACTGAAAACTTGCAAATGAAAGTGAAAGAACCTTCCAGTTTTCGACCCTCGTCGTCTGAAATGTGTGACATGTTAAAGAAGGCAAACCTCGAAATCCGTGGCTTCCAAAAAGAAGTTGTCAGAAAGTCGTTTCAGAAGCCTGGAAGAGCCAAATCGGATTTTGAGGTAAGAATTATGCTTACTAGGAGAATAACTAGCAGTGTATTTATCTATTTATTTTTCTTCAATATCATAAATTGATTACATAAACCTATGTTACTAACACTACTAAACATTACTTACAATTCTACAAGTTATACTTTGATGTACAATACTAATTTTTTTTTTACTAGCGGTATCAACAATATTTCATTGTGCGACTGTGAGACTATGGTGAGCAAGGCCCATTACGAAGTTCATGTATGACACGCGTCCTTTTCATTATCCCAAGCGCGTGACAAGGCGAAAAAGCATCTTTCTCTATTTCTTTACCGAGCTTAAAACTTATCATCTTCCTAACTCTATTTACAAATCATGACTCTATCGACATTGCTAATTCTAACAGTATGCAGGACGCGTGACAGATATGAAATTCGTTTAAGTCTCTGTGGCTCAGTGGTAGAGCATTTGAGCGTGGACTCCGAAGGTTTGAGGTTCGATTCCTCCCGGGGACTCCTCACGGGAACTCCTCACGAGGTCAGTCGGAGGATTTGGTGGATCGCAAGGTTTTCTGGGGAATGGAGGGGCGATCAGCTGTCGCTAGCAGAGTATAAAGAAGGTGCTGTAGAACGTTAGCGGCCAAGTGTGAGGGGATCATCGGAATCCTGTCTTACAGAGCCTAAGGGGGGGGAAGGAAAAATCAGGTAACTTTTACTAGGATACAACCGAAATTTCATTTATGAATGAGTGTTAATGTTCATTGTTGTATAAGACGTGAACAATATATTTAAAACATGCTTTGTTTACTTCTTCAGACAGTGTACAATTATCAAAAAGTTGTTAACTGTTCTGTGGGAGCCATTCAAAAGACGGGAGTGGAATTGAACTCATCTTTACCTGGTACTGATCTTTATAATGCAAGCAAGTCTGTAGTAAAGAAATTCATCTATTGTCCGTTGAAAGCATTTTCTGTTTTTCCAAATAATCCTCCAGTTGGGTAATCTTGATATTTTCACTATGTGCCCGTATAGCTATTTCTTAAAGGCATGTCTGTTGTTACTGCGTTAAAGTAATTAAGATATGTCCTGAAATAATACTTTCAACCAATGCGCAAACATAACACTGTCGTCATGCGTCGATCAATACGAAGCTTCAATAATTCCCTGAGTAGCCCTCGGGTATTTCAACTTTTAGAGATTGATTCATTCAAATTCCCACCACCCCCCTTCCGGCAAAAAGTTGTGTTCAAATGCCCCACCCAAGTACAATTTTTAAATCGATTCTTTGTGATCAACGAATATTGTTGAATTTGGCAAATGTTCGTACTAGTTTTTGGTGCCGCTGTTTGATTTTTTGCTTGAATGTATCATTCTACGATGTTAGGATTTTCTTCTACGCCTTTAAAATCCTTCACATTTATGACGAAAACTCGTGTATTCCGCTAATTTCATTTTCCCACCCCACCCAGGTAGGGTTAAAATTACGGACGACAGTCAAATGCCCGTGGGTTGCCCGGGGGGGAATGTTGAAGATTCGAATTAATCGGAAAATTATGCCGAACACACGTGGTTTATTTTTCACCAAGTGATCAAGTTTGATAAACGCAGTGGGGGGCATTATTAATTTTTCGCAAGGTTATTCGGATTAGGTTTAATCTAACTGGTGCAATGTTTCTTTCTTCTCAAGGTGCTTTCGGAAAAGAAATGTCTCGCTGGGTAACAAAGGAAGTGAAAGACAGGCATTTCGGCAGTAATGGGAAGTGTACAATGGGACTGGAAGTTGATTTTAGGGGAGGCAAGGGCTGCGATGTGAGACGCAAGAGCAAGAATGTGAAGAAAAGGATCCGTCGACTCGTTGGCTTCAGTATTAGAGCATCTATAAGACTTAAGCTCCAGGGTGTAGTTTTCAGAGTTCCTCGTTTAAACTATACCGGTATCCCCTTCTTGTAACGCACAAACAATTCAAAACCTTTAACCGATGGCTTGTTAATGATAATACACTATTACGCGCGTAAATGTACTCACAACGGAAACGAAACTGATAAACGTACAGAAGCGAAAGTACTCAGAGGAAGAGTGATGAAGCTGTTAAGAAAGTTAAAGTTAATAAGGCGGAAATTGGGAACTTATGCTAATAAATGTGGTTGCTATTGCTCTTTTCAGTGTTAACTTGACTGCTTTCACTTCGCCCTAACCCTTTTCCCACCTATGATTCATCGGTTGGCTACCCTAGTTTCTGTACTTACTTTGCTATATTCTGCAAATTATTCCTACCTGGACTTCGAATGCCGTTTTGTTTCAGTAGGGAAAAATGTTCCTATATAGAGCGACGTTTTTTTCCAAAAAAAAGGAAAGAAAAAAGAGAAAAGATTCCCCAAAAGGGATTTATGTATTGTTCTTATCCTTGAGAGCGCTGTACTCTTCCTGAAACGGCATTTTACTGAGCCAAACTACTTTGCTGGTATTTTATGTCTTATCAAAACAATCTCCTCCACTTAAGCAGATCAGAGTGTCGTATGGTACTTAGTCCACCTGCTAAACTGTTCCAAATCGAACCCTGTCCTGGGATCGAAAAAGCATCGTCTTGTGGTAAATCGTGCACTGCCCTGTGACTAATCCAACACGCTTCACTGTGCCTAATCAAGCGTTGGACTTTGCTGGGCTATACTAGGGATTGTATTGCTTTTCCATTCGCAAAAACTTTTGATTTAGTTCTTGAGTTTTTTTTTTCAAACCTGGAAAATAAACCGTTTTTAATTTCAACTCAAATGCATTTTGATATATATATATTTATATCTAATCTTTGGCTTTCCTAGAAGAAAGGTTCTTTTGAAACCCTCTTCGAAAAACAATTGTTCGGGTCACCTCCCACAGCTCTTTTGTTTGCGAGAAACAAAGAGGCTTTTACCGTATGTAAATTTGTATCTTTGAGAAGCGTCTGTAGATAAATCATAGAATATATATGTTTCAATTCCTAGAAACGATCAGCAGTCATTTCAGTGTTATCAGTTGTAAAGATGCAACTTAAAAGGTGACGGTTATCTTTCTTTGATTAATAATTACGTTTTGTAATATTGTAAACTCCTAATTTTCTTACATAGCTCGTGAAGGAATTTCATTGACAAAACAAGAGATTGTCAAAGATGTTTTATACGACAAAATTTTATTTTCCTTGAAGTGCGCTGTCATAAGAACCACCTGAAAGTTTTTTATGCAGAACGTCGCATTAAATTGAATAAAATTCCATTTTTAGCACCAGACTTAGTAATGTTATCATCCTCATTGTGCAAGTGCAAATCATTTGATGGCTGTAAAGTTTGTAAGATTGTAACCTCAGCCTCCTTCATTGCCTATCACTCTTCCTGCGTTATTCGCGTGATAAAGGAAAGATTGCTCGACAAGAGAGTCTTCTGAAGAGTTATCTTTTCAGTACGCGACGACTGGTGTTTCGGAAAGAAATCATTGTTCTCGATTACTAATATGTTTACAAGCTTATGTAGGTTCAGACCGCTGTCATTATAATGATAATGGAATCCAATAAGTTATAGAGCCTTCCATCCCATCGGTGGATTATTGCATTTTTTATGGTAGGTTATTTTATTCAAAAACATTTTGAATGAAATAAACTTCTCTCCACAGAAATACTTTAATGATCTGACGTTTGAACTTGGTAGCTCTGCATTGATTCGATAATTTGCACACTGCGACTCCCCTCCCCCCCCTTACCCCCATTGCCCCTTTGGAAAACCTGAAACATTTTAGTTTAAAGTCTGATGGTTAATGAAAACCCTATTTTTGTTTGTAGACATGAAATCTAAGAAAGAAGCAGAGAATCCCATCTAGCCCGTGACAAACGATGAATGGTTACCTTCATGGTCAGATGCTTCCCAGCTCATTAAAGCGGGAAGCGGAAAATAGACTGGCTTCCACGAAAGGTAGTAAAAACAAAGCACGACCACGGAAGCTAAGTGATCAGTCAAGAATGTCTTCCTAGAAAACCAACAATACATTCATTCACGATCAGATGTAACTGATTGGAAGAAATAAGGAAATGCAATTGTGTAAGCTGAATGGTAACAGCAGGACCCCTGCCATTTCAGGATAACGTCATAACTAGTAAGTTTGGAGGGTTTCTTTGGAATTTAATTAGTACATATGCACTTCCTTTGTTAACGGGAAAGCAGATTGCAGAAAGGAAGTCATACCGAAGCACGACTGCGGAAGCTAAGTGAGCAGTCCAGAATCCCTTTCTAGTTCACCGACAATACTTGGCGGTCAGATGCTCTTAACCGCGTTTCAGCGATAAATTTTAAAAATGTTTTTATTGAAGGGAAGAAAGAATGAAATGCAGCTGTGTAAGCTGAATAACAACAGGACCGTTGCACTTTCAGAATGATGTCACAACTATTTTTGGAGGGTTTCTTTGAAATTAAACCCATATATGCACTTCCTTCATTTAGCGGAGAGCAGATTGCAACTAAGTTGCGAGGAAGCTTCAAGGAAGTTGTGCATGCTATAAATTCTGGCTAGGACTGAAAGTTACTCTCTGGCAAAGCTTTAAGTCTATTCAAGTCTTTCAAGATGAATCTTGGCATTTTTGTAACGATTCTGGTAGTTTTTTCTCTGTGGAATACAGCAGGTGAGCCCTATAGCCTTCAATTTTATGCATCATTTTAAAGAAACTACATTTCGGTTTCTGCCCATTGAAATATCTAACCTACCTTTTTCAAGTTTGTGGTTTGCAGCGCACTCGTATCTCTTTGTATAGTTTTGCCTTATTTGAGTCTCAATACCCCTCTCTTCATAGCGTTACAGAGCAGTTTCTAATATTTTGATGAAAATTTTAGCGACGTTTCATAAATAATATTTTTGAGACACGCACGTGCACATTTCGCATTTGAAGTGTTGTAATTCAACTGCTTCTCTATATTTTTTAAAATAAATGTGGACACAAAGTCAGAGGCACTTTGATTAAAGCGTTCAAGTGTCCCAGAAACCATTCGTAAATTATAGAAACATGAGCTTGGGTATGAGTACACCATGTTTGTTCAAACATGCGATTTTCAATAACTAATTCTTGTTTGCATGAGACGGTCTCTTGAATTGAATATGGAATCAACCAGTTTTTAGATGGCTTTTCTGAAATTATTTTGCATTTTAGATGCAAAATTTAAGTTTGATAAATTTCCATTTATCATACAGATGCCAACTCTGATGAGTTGCTGGATGTGAAAATTCGTAATCGCAAGTTTCGACTCCCAGAGTCTGAGGTCCGTGAAATGCTGAAGACGGCTGCGCTGGAGAAGAAAGGATTTAAATTGCAGGTTACTACCAAGATGGTGAAAGATCTAGTAACCGGTGAACAACATTGCCAGGTATCTGTTGTTCATATACTATACTCTTGTACCTTGAGCTCTCCGGGTGTTTTGTGTCTTTAAAACTCACGACATATTTATCCAAAGGGGCATGTGTGCTTTGGAGGACGAGGCACGTTAGTAAAGTCACTTTTTCTCTTTGGTAAGATAAATATATATATTGTAGGTGATACATGACCTGAAAAGGAACACATTCCCAGTAAAAATTTTGCAACATCGTATCGCAAACTCTATAAGTCACTACCAGCGGATTTCTCTGCGGAAAAAAGGGAAGCCACTGAAAGCCATAGCTGACATCAAATCATAAAATTGTTGTTCTATTAATTTCCTGAGCTCCTTTTATGCCTTTTTTTGTTACTAAAAATTCACTTTTCTTTTGTTTAGACATCATACCAGTACCACAAAGAAGTCGATTGTAAACGTACGCATAGAGTAGGAAAGCTGTTGAACAACCGCGTACCAGGTAAAATCGAACTAGTCTCCAAACCTAGAGAGTATTTAGGAAAAGGAACTTTTTCACCAACAGTTTCATTGTGAATTTAAACCGCGAATCATTGTTTAAAAAAGCAATTGAAGCTAAGTAATATCGCACTCTGCTGATTGCTTGTTTAAAAATGCCGGGAAACTCAGTGTGGATCTCTCCAATTCAGAGAGGCACAAATAGCTATTGGTTGGGTCTGTCTAACATCTTTTGCATATTGGCATCTGGAACTTTGGAGTAAGGAAGAAGAGTCTCTTAGGGACCGTTCATCATTTATCGCCGGGGGAGGAGTGTGCGGAGGATTTTGCTTTTGTCAAGATAGTATTACGTAATCTCCCCTGAGGCTCTATTTTTCAGTTCCTTCCCTTCCCCCCACCCCCTATCCCCCGTCATTGGCAGCTGATTGGCGGTCAAATTTCTATGATCACCCTCTATACTATGTTGGCGACGACTGATCTCCCTCCGTTCACCCTTAAAACCATGTGATCCCCCTTAAATCCTCCAACATCCACCCCCCCCCCCCTCAGTCGATGAAATATGACTTCGGATAAGGTAACCAATAAACTGACTATTTTTCACTATTCAGGTATTTTTGGACGGGAGATGACCATGAAAACAAGAGAAGCAATTCAAACCAGAGGTCTGAACAAGATGGGAAAATGTCAATTTGGACTGGTGATAGATATCAATAAAGACGAGGGCTGTTTTGGCCTTCAGAAGGATACTAAAAAGGCAGGCTTGAAACGCGTCAACAAGGAGGATCCGTCTTCGTTTCCCAAAGTTAGCGTTGAGATAAAAAATATCATATGATATAAATAACCGCAGCAACAAAGAAACGCACTCTTACTTTCAACATTTTCAACGCATTTAAGAAGCAATACGTCATGTGGCTCTTAAAGCCTTTATCTGATAGACATAAGAGCCACATGACGTAAAAAAAGTACTATTTGAGGATGAATGAACTGTACTTCTATGTTATATTTAAATGTATCAACGGTTGGCCTGCAGGAACAAGGAAACAAAACAGCAATAAAGATAACAATAATGACAACAACAGCGACGATGAGGGCTAGGATAATTACTCGCTCGTGTTAGTGAACATATGATGTAATACTAGACTTTGTTTTCTTTCGCTGTCTTTGTAGGTTTTCGTCGGTTTTGTAACAAACCTGATCGTAAACACCCAATAATTGAAACAGGACACGGGTGACCTTATAGTAGTATCGTCTTAAACTTTTATGTATCATTCATAGCGGTTAAAAAAAAAAACTAATTAAACTTGCCGAGATTAATCGTCATTCAGAGCCTGGTTGTGTGTCCTGTCCGTAAGCATGTCGATCAGTGCCATTAACATTTCCAAATCAAAAGTATGGCAAAATGCTGCTCGATAGAGGTTCACTGTTTTTTATTTATAAATACGTTATTGTTCTCTAATTGGTGAGGAACTTTTTTTGATTGTCCCTTTGTTCATTCTGTCTGAGACTAACAATTCATTTAAAATCCCTATTGATTGTCTGATCACCGCCGCTAAGCCCTGAAATATAAATCGCCGCAATTAAACGAGGAAGCAGATATTCTATTCAGTTTCTCCGTCAATTCAATATAATGTTACGAAAACGCTAGTTGATGAGTCGTTTGCTTACTGCTCCTTGTGTGTATTGGACAACCCTCAATGCATCTTAGGGCTGCAAAACAGAAATCGTTCCGGGCGATTATAGGGTACATGACACTCAGTTAAAATTTAAGGCCCAGTAAATGCTACCGTTTCAACGACCATTAAAGCTTACGTGCTGCTTTGATTTGCGTACCTATTGTTGAGACATATTTTTTCTGAACATATTTGTTCAGACGTATTTTTTCTGATAAAGTAGTTAATCTCTATCAATGCTATGCTGTGGGCACTTCCTGACACCTTGAGCCGGGAAACAATTCCTCTCACTGACAGGAATTGTTAGAGACAATTCTTACAAAGATTTATACTTATGATAAGTATAAATCATTGTAAGAATTTTCTTCAATTCAGTTTTGAAAATATATTTCTCTGTCAAGTTACTGCCTGTGATGTCAGGGCAATTTTCTCGTGAGTCTATAATTACCATAGACCGCAGAGGATATGATCTCAGTTCTAAGCCAGGCATAACCTCAAAACTTTTCCAACCGCAAAAGTTTTAAATAATACTCTGCTAAGAGTCTCAACAAATCCTTATCTATAAGGATGACTTCTGCACCATTGATTCAGTCCACCATATACTGCCTACGATTTCAGAATTATGATTATCAAACGTTAACCCACTCGGTCACTCTTGCAGCGTTAATTTTTAACACACTGAGCTTCCCTGCAATCATTGTTACGAACGCTTTAGTGATAATAGCGGTGAAGACCAGACACAGACTTCAGATCGAAAGTAACTTACTGTTAACCTCTTTGGCGGGGACAGATCTGCTCACAGGATTGGCAACTCTTCCCGATACCATCGCTGCCGATGGGGGAAGAAAATAAACGCTTCTTGAAAGAGAAGAAAGCCTGGATTTCTATCGGCATCATCATTGGTTTCCCTGTGTTGTGTGTTTCACCGATGCTCATCGTATCTTCAGCTGTGAGGTTTCCTGTGGACCTGAAATTGCTGACTTCTTGGCACTCTCTTGTACAATCGTGTCTCATGTTGAACTCACTTTATAACCCGATTATTTATTGCGTTAGGAGTCGAAGTATGCGCGAGGAGATGCTATCACTTATTAAAAAGACATAATAAAATCGTGTAAAGAATTGTATATTTGAAAAGCACACAGAGTTAAAAATATCTTTAAAAATATTTTTCCCTTTGAATAAAAACGTTCATAATTACAGTGTGATTGCTAGCATTAAGTTTTTTAAAAGTTGTAAAGCTACAAAAAACACATCACAACCTTGCGTTTATAAAACTGAAAAAAGAGTATAAATTATTATATGTGTGCAAATATTTTAACCATGATGCACCAGCAGAGGACAAGGTTGAAATTGTGTTTCTAAGAAAGGAAAAACAACAATTTCGAAATTCTGTATTTTGTCTAAACCTCGGTTGGAGAGATTATTGTTTTAATTTTTACGGCATATCGCTCGTCAATTTTTTTTTTATCTGAAATATTTAAGGTTAAATAATGTGCATCTTATATTTAACAACGGTCGTTTGAAATTTGTCTTTGTCTTCTCGATTCGTGGTTTCGTGGTTATCATGGCCTCGTTCTATTTTGGTCAAGTTTCTCTTTTTGGTATTTTCATCTCTATTCCTAACTTGAAATTCTGAGTTTGACTCTGACATCGTATGGTTTCCTTTTCACTTTGCCTTGCCCGAAAAAAATTCGTTAAAATTATACGACTTTGAGACGCAGTGACTTGAGAGTAACGTCGTTAAAATAAACTTGGCCAGTCATTCATTTCGAAAAATTGATGATGAAAAGTAAGGTGCGGTTGTCTGAGATTAACGACAAATTTTAATGACTAGCCAACAGAGAAATAAATGGTCATCAGTTAGGAGAACCTACTTCACTGGGCAGCTGATGGAGTTGAAAGTCCTAGGAGGCTCTTCTTACAGAGCACTTTTGGATTGAAAAAATATTTACAAGTAAGTGTATATTCTTTTCTATGGAATCCGTTTGTTATTGTGAATTCAAGTCAGTGACATTATCATTCTGACATGCATTTTAATGATTGGTAGCCGTTTTCATTTCTTTTAGGAAACAAATAGAGAGAAGGACCTTAGATATCATTAAAATTTAGATACGTGCAAATGAGAACGCTTTTCAAGGATGATATTCAACATCGGAAGAATTTAATTACTTTTAATGGATGAAATATTGACTGAAGAAGACTAATTGACGATTTTAGAATACTTCTTATAAGGATCTCAATGGGATAATAGCTTTTACGGCTAACAGTTAAAATTTAGGCCATTTTACGGGAATTCATTTTTTTCCGTCCATTAATTTCTTTCAGTAATTCTCTGCTCTGCATCGCCTGAATATTGCAGTGGGTCGGTAATACTTCCGAAGTTCTTGAGTATCAAACTTATCCTTTTCTTGTGGGAAGCGGAGAAGGGGAGTACGCGGTTAATTTCTTTCCGTTGCGATCAGAAGAAAGATTCCTACAATTAACTTTTTTCCGACTAACGGTTTAAACGTTGGAAATTTTATGTCTAACGGCTAAATTTTTTTTGCCGTCTTACGGCTAACGGTTAATCTCATTGAGACCCTCTTATAATCAGGAGGCACTCGAACTGTGCTATGATGTTTGATTCGGAGGTAAATTGGATTAAGGTGTGTGAGATTACAAAAGAAGTGATCTAAATATGGCTCGTCATTCATTTTGCAGCGGATTTGATATCTGAAGTCGTGTCAAAGGATGGCTTGAAAATTATTTGAAAAATAAATTCCTACAAGAGATCATTGGAAATCACTGTAGTATACACGGAAAACTTATTAGGGTTGCTTCTTTCAATTTAAAACACTGTTCCAGTATTCATTATAGCAACGAGGGTATTTCAGCGGCAGGACACCCGTAGAGTCGATTTGGCCGCCATGGGCGCTACACCCGGGAGTTGAATAGTACATCCGTGATGCTCTGCGCAACGCAAATGGTCATGTTGACAATGACATCACAACTCCAGCCTTTTCAAACTTTGCCAAATAAACTTCGGAAAAAAGATTGCTTCCAAATTGTTCGTGCTAGGATAAGACTGGGATGTGGGTGCAAAAAAGTGCCAACAGTATCTATCTATAATTGCCTATCACCATTTTGTTCTTTCTTTCCTTTTCTTTTTCTCGGGGAGGAGGGGGATTTTAAAATTTGATAACTTATGTTATTGCTCTTTTCTTAAAATCACGGGTAGTTTCGATACCATAGTCATATTTTGTACTGTACAAACTGAACTACACTCAACTTGAAGCGTAGTTAAACTGATACATAGGCCAAAATAGGCCATGATTAAAACTTCCCCCTTAGCATTATTCCATCCTCTTTCGCTTTAGAACACTTCCTCGCCGTTCTTATGTTACAGCTATATGTCTGCATTTCTTATCAAAGGTTGTCGCTTTCTTCTCACTAAAAGTAAATCCTTTCTAATGTGATCGTAGCTAGTAATCTCCTCTCTCTCTGAGTAAGCTATAACCAGAGGTGTCACCAGATAGAAGCCTAAACCATGACCAATTTCAACAGCCATAAATAACCACGTGTTGTAAGTAAAAGTGACCAACATCAGGAAGTAGCCAACTGATAACTGAACAAAGTACAAAAACGTGTTTGAGAGCTCTTTGAGAACTTTTCGCCTGAAATTAGAGCAAAACGAGAAACAGAGAAATAGAGAAGTAGAGGATACGTGACTTTGCTGATATGAACGCTGGGATTGGCTAACCCTGTACCAAATCCCTTAGGGGGTATTTTGTTTCGCGTGGCCTCGATCTTTGTTGTTGTTGTGTGAGATACACTTCCAAAAGAACCTTTGAAAATTCTTTTAAAGTTGTATGTTTGCAAAGCTTTTTTTTTCAATGTTGGGGCAAGGAGAACATTCATCTGTGTGGGAATGTGAAGGTGACCGTGGACATCCAGAAAGGAACAGGATTTTAATTAAAACCTTTTCCAATTCATGAGTTTGTGCAGAAGTCCGTAATAAGTTGTTACACCATAATTCTGTTTAAATAAATATCGAGGCCCCTTGAGTGACCTGGTACAGGTTGGCCAATCCCAATTCATTTGGACAGGATTAGCACAGCCACGCATTGTAGCTGTGTTTCAACGTTTTATCCTTTTGTAATTGCCAGGTTTTTTTTTATCATATTCCCCTTTCACTGTCTTTCCCATCAAAATATAGATCGACTCTATTTCTTTATATGAGTGTAGTGACCTTCTTTTCTATTACAAGCATGTATTTACTTTAAAAGTTCATCTTAAAATTAAATTGAATGCAAGAATCATACTTTGAGGAACCCTTCTAGCGTCTGTTTACCTTTTCATTCCTACCTTTTGTCGTGACCATTAATGTCTTCACTGTTCCTTCGGAGAAATCTGCTTGAGTCGTCTTCTCTGTTATGTAGTTTTAAAAGGGCATGAATTCCCTTGAGGCATTCTTACAAGACCGCAAGGGCAATAACAGCGACAAAGGAACCCGCAACACCTGAAGATGCCAATATTTTAAATAAGAAAACGCTCCTTTTTATCATTCACGGAAGCAATGTTTAAGGGTGCTTTCCGTTAACCAAGTGTAGCTGAGCCCAAAGAGAGACTAGGTGTAAATGAAATGAAACCCAGAATTCTTTTCCACTGTAGTATTAACTACTTGTGATGGGGCGTTCTTTTTACGAGGGAGCTTGTAAGTTTAGCTAAAAAGGAAGGCCCGATCGTTCTGTGTTGTAGTACAGACACGCTAGTTGATGTCTACTTTGTG